GGGGGGGGGGGGGGGGGGGGGGGGGGAGCTGAATTTATGAACAAAAGTACTGAAAGCTCGAAACATTCAGAGAGCAACATACCAAAGTAGTATGAAACGTTGAAGCTTAAAAACTTACAGTCGTCGATATATCTTTATCTCCCCCTTTGAATTTAATTTACAACTTGAAACGCCAAAATCCCAGCCAGAAAACGCGAGCACATGTCAGTGTTAATTTGAAAAGACCAAGAGACGACATCGAGCTTTTCATTGCGATGTCGCAGAAGGGCAAAGAATACATGTTTTTAGATCTTATCGATGAAAATAGATGCTCTAATTTGTTGTGCTTGAGAGAGAGAGAGAATGGTGCGCCAGATCATCTAATTTCCATCAAACTTTCTTCCGCCAGATCATCTAACTTTCGTGACGTTGGGGTATGCTCTTACATTATGCAAGACCATTCCATTAACTACAACTGTAGCCTGGCTATCAAAAACCACAAATGAAAGCTTACAATTGTACGGAAAGATTCCCCAGAAGCAAAAAAAACGGGAGCTTAGAACAAGCAAAGAATAAGTTGGAGAGGATTGATTTTTCGCCTCGTGGAGTTTAAAATTGAAAAGAAGAAATTATTTGTTGTATTTTTTGCGCGTTTGTGACCCACTGCTGCACATAGAAAAGTCTGTAAACCGCAGAATTTTCTTCCCAAAAAATTCTCTCTCGAAAACATAACAATATTCGTCACAAAATTGTCTTGCGCGAATAATTCCTTTCTTTTAAGGTATGTTCTGAAATCATCATAAGTATTAAAAATTTCTTGCATGTTTGGCATCATATTACGTTTCATTGTGAGCAAGACAGTCCAGATTGGCCATTTAGTAACAACAGATCATACAGTTCCATTCTCCTATTTTGGTAGTAACATCTTTCTACTAGAAATGCTGAATTTTTGATTCAGATTTAGAACAAATTCTCTTATTGTTACAACTCAACTTTTAGAAGAATTTATCGACGCTATCAGTATTTTACAACCTAACAGAATAGTTTCAAACAATGCTCGCATAAATCTCGCAAGGGTTCGCAAAAGTCGAAATCCTGTTTTGCTGGCAAATGAAAGCACCAATTTAACCCTGTCTTCTATAGCAAATTTCAAAGATGACTGTGTCATGCGGTCTTGTCTAATATGGAGCGAGAAGTGAGTCAACCTTATCAAGAATTTAGTGAGACGTTTTGAGCTGACACCTGATTGATCAAGCATTTTTCAGTCTAGGAAACACTAAAAGGAAGTAATGAGCAGTAAAATTTTCGCACAGAAAATTAAACAAGAATCAATTAAACAAAGATATATAATATATCAATAATAACAAATGATGTATTGCAAGGAAGCTTATAATGTTACTTTAAGACAATTGAAATAAAATATTTGGCTCATTCCATATAAAATCAACACAGGGGTTATTGGTGCGTTTGTGGAGTCGCCGAAAGAGGCCTAGTAACTACAATTTCAAATGCCTGTTACTCTGAAATGGAGTAAATTAAATCAATAAAATTTTCAGGATTTTTCTTGGCCTTGATCTTAATTGGCCTTAATTGGTCAATGTGAGAACATCATGATCAAAGTGACTTCAAAGTGTGTTGATTTGATGTGCAATGGGCCATTTAACAAAATTTATCTTAACCCTTTTGATAAAATTTCACCATTTAACAAAGAGTTAAAAATATTCAATATTTTACATATCAAACGACACAACCTGCATCTGGCAGCGAGGTTATAGATCTTTTACTAACCCCAGACTCAAAGAAGACCATAACTCCCTTTTACCACATTATAGAAGAATCCCCCATCGCCCTATCCCTGAAACAAATGAATGAAGCACATATTTCCACGGCTGTTGCATGTCTCAAAACTGTTTTTTTCAAACTTTTGACAATCGCATTTTTTCTCGTAACAAGAAAAGTCGGATATTTTCTCGTAATGGGAAAATTTGAAAGTTTCCTCGTAATGAGAAAGAGGTTTGTTTCATGTCTTCAGTTCTCTGGAGACAGAACTATTTCTTTGTTCAATTGTATTGCTTTTTATCACACTGATTTTTTGAAAGGACGAACTCTCCAGTACCACGGCCAAATAATGCCCTACCCCTATGCTTATAATGGGCAGCGTACATACTTTTGGCCTATTGCGTGGAGGAAATTGATAGCTTCTTTGATTCGATAGAAATACAATCGAGGGGCTTAAGGGGTCAAATTGGCGTTGGTTCCTTTTCATCTCAAAGTCTTAGAGAGAAGAGGGGTTTGTGGCAAACGGTGTCAAAAGAGGCTTCTTCCAAAGTCACATCACGCTTTCAAATTCTCTTTGATTCAAATTAACAACATGGCACAAGTTTTGCCATTAACGCCTCGTCTGGAAGTTTACTGGCAAATGGCACTCAGTCGAATTTGATTCTGCAAAAAAGACGAGAAAATTGAATTAATATAACTAGCAAAGTTAGCAATGCCTCAAAGTAACATTTACATTTTTGCGTATAAAGAACAAGACGGTTCTTAGTTGCTTCTCGGAGTAAAACACAACAGCTGCCTTGTGATCGTATTAGGCGTGAAACTCGGAGTAGCAGCTTAGAACCGCCCTGAACTGCACACAAAAAGCTTGTACAGCTCTGCCTATCCGGCATCAGTCACGTTCTGACAATTTTCAGCAGATGACAATTTATATCTATATATACAACGACTTCGTTTTATTACGATTTTTGAGTTGTCAGATTGATAATTCGTGAGGGACAAGCAGATACTTTGCGACAGAAAAATACAATAAAATTTCGAAAAATGTAGAATTTCTTACAATGAAACGTCTGTTGATTGAAGTATTGACCTAAAAGGCAAAATAAGAAGGTATTAAAAACTTTGTTAATATTAAGGGGCGAACCACTACTCTACTTTAATGTCGTACACATTTGACACATTTGCATCTACCTTACTAACTACTCTATAGAAATGTCGTACACATTTGCTGAAACCATAAAAAAATTAAACTGATCCACGAAAGATCAAAGGGCTTAAAAAAGCCAAAGAAAAAGGTTATTGAAAGGAATACATGGAGCGCCTAAATTTCGCCCGTTTTATTTGCTTTTAATGAAGATGCTAAAGCTTGAGGGTAAAGTCTAAGGAGAAATACACAACTCGAAAGACGTTGAAGGACAATCACTCCCTCCAAAAACAGAACAACAAATCATTTCTAAAGAAGAAGTGATCATTTGATATGCTTACTGGTTGGTCATTCTCTTCACTGGAGATCCGAACCCTAAACCTGCAAAAAAGACAGATAAATTTTGATGAAGCTAGAAAATACACACTCGTCAAACATCTCACCCAACAGTTTAAGGTGGCTCAACACGGTGGCCATATGAGCCAACATTTGAGTCAACATCGTAAAAACCAAAAATGGCTGCAAATGTGGTCTAGTTTACACGGGGTCATCCATATAGTACGTACGCAGTTTGAGAGCCACTTTTTGACCCTCCCCCCCCCCTTGTACGCACATGTACGCTTTTCGCATATCCTCCCCTTTTGCGTACACTGCGTATGCTTATATCTTTTTTGCCCCCCCCCCTCGTTTCAAGGTATAATACAAATAATTGAGAGTTTCCAGGGGAATTCAGGGAATTGTCCATACTGACCATTCCTTGTTATAATATATGTTAATGCAGTTGTCTAATTTTTGTAATCATGTGAAGCACATCGAAGCAGTTTTCAACATTGAACTTATTGTATTTGGCTTTCTAAAAGGCAAAGCCTTTCACATAGTTTTTATTGGAAGTTCATCAAACAGAGCAGATGAAAACATGCAACAAACTTCCCATTAAGATCTCTGCCATATGAACAATGAATGAGCAAGCTGGCAAGGTTCAAATTTCACGTTTAGGAATTTCCTAAGCGTGCGTACTAGATACCCATTACACCCTTTCCCCTGTTTTGATCGACTCCCCCTCCCCCTGAGTGCGTACATACTTTATGGATGACCCCACATCAAGAAAGATATTTTCTGGGCTTACTTTCAAATGAGAGTTTTAAAATAGTTTCGCAAAATATAATATTGATTCATAATTACTCAAAGTTCAAAACAAAAGTTTTGCCAATGTTTGGGAAAGCGGAAGTTTCTTAAAACAAAAACAGTCGAGTCGACACCTCATTCCTGCTAAAGAATTGGAAATTTTCTTTATTTGATTACTGAAATACAAGAGCATTCGGACGAGATGAATCATGCAATGAATTTTATGGCATGATTAAACACGTTGCAGGCGGCGAACTTTCGTGATGCAGTGAAAGTCAACAAGATTTCAAATTGGTTTCAGGCATTTTGATTGGAAAGGTCAACAAAATCCGAATTTTTTGATATTCAACCAGTGATAATGTCACGATGTTACTTGATTCTTGTCAGAAAATTAAGTGGTGCTTCGAAGGTATTTTTAATTTGCGATGCATCACTATAAATTTGCTTTCGAAAAATAAGATACCGCAAAGATACCGACTCAATTGTAGTAACTCTACCGAAGATACTCAAATGCACGAAAAGGTTTGTTCATGTTGTCAAAATTTTCCATGCAAACATAAATTGATTTTTACGACTCAGATGGTGAACAGTAATGCTGATTGGGATAATTAGCGATCTGAAATGGGTTTAATTGAAATTGCAGAAATCTTACCGAATAGATCATCCTCGTTGTCCTCTGAAACTGAAGGACGTAGGTATTTTAAGAACCCAGGGTCTTCGACCTATAAGGAAAATCTTAGTAAGCATTTCATCCCACACTTGGATGAGATAGCAAATCGAGTTTAAAAGTCAGCTGACGTCAGACATTCTAGGAGTAATTGTAATAATTCAACGATATTTCAAGTGGGCAAGTGGGCACAGCTGGGTTGACACCCATAGAAGAAACCAGAACATGGGGGAAACAGTGACTTGACCTTTCAGACTTGGTGGACGGTCATCAATAGTTGAATTTTCCAACGACGATAATTCACCTAACGATTGGCGATTTTACTGAACAGTTAAGGATTTCATGGGCTAATTGAAGATTTACATAAAACCATATACAGTATTGGGGGTTGCCTGCACCATCCCCCCGGTTGTCTACACCACCCACCCGGTTGCCTACACAACCCACCCGGCTGCCTACACCACCCCGCGGTTGTCTACACCACCCCCCCCCGGTTGCCTACACCATCCCCCCCCCCTGTTGCCCACACCTGCGCCTGAATAGAAAAGAAAGCTGTGAAGAGAGGGGATGCAAAAGTGGGTCAGCAGTACTTAGAAGAAAGTGGAACAAAGGCATTGAAATGAAGAGGATATCTGTCAGCGGTAACATGAAAAGCTAAGATGACAAAATGATGATTATCATTATTATACCCCATCCAACTTGACCAAGGCCAAAAAATTCCCATCCAACCTTGTATATTTATACAGAGGCCCTGGACTGTTGGACAGCACAGTCAACATTAGCTGGTAATCACAATGCTCATATCGCTTCATCTATCCTCACGCCATTTTCCTCACCCTCTTCTTTCTTGCCCTCCTTTTCCCTTCTCAATTTATATAAGTAATAAGCCAACTACTAAATCTTACAATGCCTGTTTATATCTATAAATCACTGTTTACCTTTCCCGGTGTCTTTTTCTTTGCAGGAGTTTTCCTAATTGATCTTCTAACTGGGGTTTTCATCGCAGGAGATATGTTGTTTTCTTTGTCTTCCGCTGCTTCAATATTTCTCAATGTAACATCCTGTTCAAAGAAAAAACGTTACGATGAAACATACAAACTTTGTATAAGAACATGAGAATATTAGATACAAAAATTTAGACACAACTCCGCGCACTAATTAGAACAAAAATTTACAGTCCTATAATAGAAAACTTGATTGTTTGTGGGTTTTTCAACATTTTGAAACCTAACATAAAAACTATTCCAATGTCCTTTTATCAAAGTTACTGCTCGGTTTTTTATTTAGCACTGAATGCTTCAACCTTGAAATACCGCGTAGACATTTGAGCTTTATATAAACTCGTGCATTGACTCAAGTTAGCGTTGCATTTTACTGACAAAACATTTCAACATTTGAAAAACACGATAACTCAGCTAAAATCACTGCCATAGATCTAAGAAAAAAATAAATAGATTTTTTCAAGTTATCGAAGTCAGCTAGTCATTAACTTTTGTTATATCACTATACTATATAATACATTAGATATACATTATACAGTCAATATATACAAGATATAACTTGTACCAATGTCTGACTTGTGAAATAAAACGAAAATAATAAAGAACACAATGTAAAAATATTATTTAAAGATTAAAAAACAAAAATCCTAATTTAAGATTAAGTAACAAACTAAATGAAGTCTTGTGATAATCTTTTATCTTTTTAAAAAACTGTGAAGGATTTATTTGGGAACTTTGGGAAAGAAAGAATGGAAACTTTAACTTAGATGAATTTCCGGATGCCAGGGCGAAATATGATCTTTGTTTTATCCGTTGTCGTTTTTGTTTGTTCTCGCGGTATGGCAGTGTTTGCTACTTTCAAAAACATTTCTTGTTTCAATAACCCTGTTAATTACAATCTGTTCTGTTCTGTTCTCTTCTTTTGGTCTTCCAACAGAAGCATACCTGCGTCAAAGATCTCTAAAACACGTTAATTACAATCACATAAAAATCAAACTAACAATTCATAATTAAAATATTGAAAACAAACTTACGCTTTCGATTTTAATCCACAGATCATCGTTTTCATCTTCAGGCATCTTATTTTTTGATGGCGTTTTTCTTGTCGATCTTCTCACTGGAGTTTTCAACACAGGGGAAACTTTGTCGACTTTGACTTCCGTCTCTTCGTTTTTCTCCAATGCTATGTGCTGTTAGGAAGGTGTTATTAAAAAGCAATATGATAGACTTGGAAAATGAAAACATCGTTTAAACCTCTTTAAATATTAAAAGGAAATTAACTATACAAATATAAAGAAACAGGGGTTTTGATTGCGAACAAGAACAATATCATTACCAAAATCATCTTCCTTAAAGTGACATCATCCACATACATTGATTAAAAATGTCTAGTATAAGCCACAACATTAGTACCACAAGATCTTATCACTTTGCTGTGTCTTTATCACATAATGTTTGAAATCAACTCACGTTTTCGGGTTTTATCCATAAATCATCGCTTTCATTATCCCGTACCATATTCTTTGACGGAGTTTTTCTTATCGATCTTCTAACTGGCGTTTTCATCACAGGAGACACCTTGTTTTCTTTGTTCTCAATTTCTTCATCTTTCTCCAGTGTCGCCTCCTGTTTAGAATTTGCTTCCTAATTATTTAATTGAGGTATAAAAATCAAATTTGAAATGCATCTTACCATAAAGTCGATTTCAAAAATTTTTCAACAACAAGATTTTCGATTCCTGGCTTTGAGCTGCAAAATACTTTGTGCTATTAATACACTTTTCGCCATTTCATTCCCTATTGAATTAATCATATTTCTATCCATTTCCCATCATTTCAGTTGCATCATATACTGGGTATTTAGCATGAATAACCAACCAACGTAAAACTAACTTCTTTTAATCACAAATTGAGGAATTTCACGAATTTCTATCCATTTCCCATCATTTCAGTTGCATCATATACTGGGTATTTAGCATGAATAACCAACCAACGTAAAACTAACTTCTTTTAATCACAAATTGAGGAATTTCACGACACTGAAAAAATGCAAAGTCATATGGCAATCCATACCGATTCCGATTTTAATGATTCCATCTTTGCCCTCATGGCTTCTTTAAACTTTCTTACTTCCTCCTGTCTTGAAGAAACTTTGGCTGAAATGTTCTTCTTTGTCTACAAAATAATGTAAATTTATAGTAGAACCATATTATCCAATTACTGTTTTCTGACAGTCGCCTGTTAGTTGATCCTACCAGAAGATTCAAAAAGAAGATGGCTACATACGAAAACTTGGATCTAAAACCTATCTAATTTATTACGTATTTTACTACCGCTGCAAGTTAAAATAAACAGTAACAAAAAAAACCCTTCTGCGAACTCCGTAGCAGAAACATAACATAAAAACGACACTAAAAAGGTATTTTCACAACAATCGTGAGAATATAGCCTTAATCAGCACGTGTACCAGGACACAATTCAATTACATACAGTGGCAAAACCCCAGTTAATGTAGATCTCTTTGAAGATGCATTGAAATAACCTTCAAATGATCAATGGTGGACATTCTGTCATCAATAATCTCGACTATGATCACAAATCAAATGATATTCTGCTAAAAAAACATCTTAAAACCTCACCTCTGCTGCCTTTTTAGGTTTCAATGTTCGTTTGGGCTTTTCCTTCACCCAATTCTTCAGTTTCAAGGTTTCAAGTTCAGCGAATTTGTTGTTCACATCTTCAACCTGAGCAAACAAAACAGCAAGACTATTCTTTAACTACCCCTCGCACTTTATTGTGTTAAATCTCAAAGAGATGACACTAAAGTACATTTGGGTAGCCATTGCCCCTTTGATTATGTTAAATTTACATACACTCTAGTCAGATATACTATAAAGTACTCTGAACATTCTAGGACTTAACATGGAACATTCCCGATGTTTTCTTTTACAAACTGTTTTCATTATTTCTAGAACATTCCTGAGCAACCTTTGTACACTAGGGGTTTCTAGCAAGTTCCATTTAAACTGTATAGATAAAGCTGTTGTAAACTTTTCTGTTCAGTGTTGAAAATATCTTTAGAAAGATAACTAGTTGAATTCAATAGATCAATGCACGTAAATGAAAAATAGGAAGACAGCAAAAAGTAACCTACCTGATAATTTACCATATCCCAGAATCCTTGGAGGTCAGAAGCAGTAGCACCCTGTTCAGCTTTGTGGCTCTGGTATAAAAGAAGGACCGGTATCAGAAAAAGCCAAATATTAATTTCTAACTAAATGAAGGCGAATGAACTTGACAAAAGAGACGTAACATTTCATGCAGATTCCAGAAAAGTTGTTAACCTTCCTCCAGACAAAAACATCCCAGAAGGCCAATCTCCCTAACAAAACAATATAAAGTGGGCGTGACTTGGGTGTGTCAAAAGAGCTTCTATTGTTTATGTGGACCTTCCTCCAGTCAGTGGTCGTGCAACCGTAATATTTTCCTGACTCTGACTTCATGATGCAATGGAGAAATGAAAGGATAAATCATTTAATTCAAAGCTTGAAGTTCATTCCACTAATGTTCAGTTGATATATTGAAACATTAGCTAATGACAGAATCTGGGAAAGTTAATACCTGATGTAAACTGATCAAGTCTTCAAACTGCTTGAACCTTTGGTCAATAAGTAATTGTGATTTGCCAATTACACTTCTTATTAGACCAGTCACTGCAATTCAAGAATATCACTAATAAATATCAACAAGCTGATGTTTATTACTAATTTCTAGATGCAGCAGTTAGAAATGCTGTTATGCTAATTGTAAAAAGATTCAATTCAAATAATGTATTTCAGATAATTTCCATGAACCATTAAACACTTACCATCTTCAGAGAGAGATCCTGTTAACTCTTGCTCATCCAAGTAGCTACTCCATAAGTTGTTCATGTGCCCAAGCTTTTGTCTCTCTTCATTAACTAAGTTTCTAAAATGTGCAGTACTTTGTATCCTTCTTGGTGTGAAACTCCCGCCTCCAATCTCTTCAAGCATATGGCTTGGCAGGGCTGAAGGCTTTTTGGGTGTTTTTCCAGGGTGCCCTTTAAGCAGTTGCTTCTCTGATAGATCCTCCATCTTACTGTCACTTGGCTCCTTGCATTGCTTGTCTGCTTTGATTGGAGTTAATGATGGTTTGTTAATGTGCATGACCTGGTCGGTTTGCTCCTTTTTACTTTCGTCTTTTAATGAAGAGTTGAATTTCTCTATTGGGTCAACAGTGATACTTGTAAGGAAACTTCCCATTCTCTTCACATCCTTTTCAGTTCCATTGTCAATTTTCACAGCTTCATTGAACTTTGCAATCACATCATTTGAGGTGAAATCAAATATGTCCTTGGATCCATTCCTGCTATTTTCATTCTCATTTTTTATGGACTCATTGAACTTGGCAATGGGGTCATTAAATTTTGATTCTTTTAAAACAAAATTCGATGCAGGAGAGTTTTTAGAGAATTTGAAGGTTTTTGGCAGCATATCATCTTGGTTAAATGAAAACACGAACCCAGTTTCAGATGATTTTGATTCTGGAACTATTGGTTCCGCTTTGGTGCCTTCGAATAAGGAATACTTCAATTTGAAACTTCAAAACAGGTTTAGATATAGAAATAGCTACAAAGATAAAAAAGTATGTCTTTATAAGACCAAAACGTTTTGCTTGATTCTATAAAGATATAATCTATTCTGTTTCAATTTTGGATATGATTCTCCAGGCCTTTTCATTTGACCCAAGGGATAACTCACAATTGCATTAGCACTCGCGCAAACCCAACCACACGAGCGTTTGGTCACTCATGCAAAATGGAAAATTGTATCTTTTGTGAACCAAGCAAGTGACATAGACAATACTAAGCTGGTACATCAAAACACAGGAAATCTAAGTTAGCACTGATAGACTATTTGGTTTATAACAGAGTAAAAATCTTACTGATGTTCCTATGCTTAATTAAAATGGCTTATGCACCAAATTTAAACTAGTTGTGATTGGTTGCACATAGGGTTAGGAGGGCCTTTTATTTTTCATGATCATTGCTAATTTAATATTGTTCTATTGGATCAATACATTTTCAATGAAACAGCATATTATAATTTGATTGATAACAATAAGTAATGAAAAATTTTTACTTACAGGCCTTCTCGTCTTTGTTTAGATTTTCACTTTTTCCTTTCTTTGATCTGAGCTGGGTGGGTTTCTTTGTTGCAGTCAGATTCTGTGGTAAATACATGCAATATTCTAAGCTATTTGTTAAAAACACAATCAATGGGAAGTCAACTTATACATGGAAACACATCATCTATATTGCATATACTATAACTTTAGCTAGTAATGAAAACATTTTCAACACTCATATTCCTCATTATCAAACTTTTTTAGTTATTTTTCACTCTTTTTTGTATGAAACAGTAAACTTAAGCTCAGGCTGGATTGTTCTTAATTTGTTCTTAAATTAATAGTAGGCAGTAAGGAGTAGGCAGTGTGATTGCTAGCTTTTTTACTCTACGGAGGTTTTCAGGCCTCATTTGCCAACAAAGTAAGTGAGACAACCTTAATTTGCCACCAAATTTTAAAGGACAAGTGACACGCTTTTGGCGCCAATTTTTTTTCTTCTTTTAACTTAAAGTAAAATGCTGTATGAGAGTGTTGTTGAAATATTTTTCCTTTCTGAATTCATTTTCCTACTTAAAAACCCTTTCAAAATTATGGCGGGAAATGAATCACGTGACACCGTGACGTAGATTGTGATAATCTGTTATTGCTGCTACTGGTATACAGTGCAATATTAATGTTTACAACACGCTTCTAAACAAATTTAGTTCGCCTGGACCTGTCGCGTCGTGTTTTGTAGACTCTCTAATAATGACAGGAAAATTCCGAGTTATCACAATGTATGTCACAGGGTCACGTGATAAAAAGCAAAATCGCGCCCCCTGCGCCCCCTGATTAGAATTTTTTGTTCTAAACCAGGAAAAACTTACTTCTAAACGATGATCTATAAGTTAATGAAAAGAAAAGATAGGGTGAAAAGTGTGTCACTTGTCCTTTAATATTCACCAAAAAGCACCCACATATGGCTAGAAACCCTTGTTTTTGCGATAAAACATAGTTCAAAATTGCATTTTACAGTTGGTCATCATCAACTTGTTCTTATCTTTTGACCAATTTTGAGGCTTGTGTTCTTATAAAATTGTTCTTATTAAAAAGAGTGTATATATCAATGACACTGAATTATCTACAGGATATTGAAAAATAGACAGAATGCTGATCATTGAAAATCAACAAGAAATCTTGACAAAACAGTGGGGAAACATGATTTCCTAAACTGGCATTTGAGTAAAGCCCCCTATGACAGAACCATTCAATAAACCATAAACAAATAATTTGGCCTCAGATCTCTTCCCTGTGTTATAGCCTCCAGCTGTGAACAGAAATACTTTTTCCACAGGTGTCAGCTTAAAGAAGGAACAATTATTGCATAACAAAATCTAAAGCCGCTAACCTTGTTGCCCCTTTTCATCTCTTCTGATTTGGCACAGTTCTTTGCATATGATCTTGTTATTCTTCTCGAGCAAGTTTGATTTTCAAGAGCAGCTTGCTTTCTTGTTGTTCTCTTATTTGCACTAGATACCAAATACTTTGTTGGAGAGTAGTTCACATGTTTCACCACAAAGCTCTTCTTTTTTGTTTCAAACTGTCTTTTCCTATCTCTTTCAAGTTTCCATGCAATCAGTTGCTCTCGCCTTTTGTCAACTAGATGGGAAATAATGATTCATTATATATCTATACATATAATATATAAATATATACAGAACTACTGTCTAGGTAGAGCTGTTCACTATAGTTGCTAATGGTCACAATAAGCATGAAACTCGGGGTAGCTACTAATAACTGACATGTTCACATCTTCCTTTGAAGAAGCAATTTGAAACAATTTTTGGGGGAGTTTTGTTTTAAGGCAATCAACAGCTCGCCTCGAGCCATTTGTCCATCTATTGATTGATTTCATTTATTTTAAAGTAGGAAAAGGATTTATGAAATTAACTGAGAGAAAATATGAGAGAGAAATAACCCACTAAAATGGTAGTGGAGCTACCTTGCTAACAGAGCAGCTTCAAGCTCTGCAGTGTTATCATACATATTTTTGTTCAATAATTTTTATCATGTCCAGACATTAGCAATTTTGGACAGAGCATTGGTTGATTAGGGGTAATGAATGAAACATGTTTCAACATTCCGGGGAACTGCTAAAGTTTGAATAAAGTTAAAAGTAACTGAAGTTCATAATGAATGGCCTAAAAGTTTTTAGAGTAAAACTAGTTTTGTATCCTCTCAAAGTGTTTGTTTTATGAGATTCAAGCAAGCATTTGCTGCAATATAAGCAAGCATTTGCTCAAATTTTCAAAGTAAACTTGGCCGCGCATGAGGCAAAGTTTCCAGTCTAGTCCCAGATGTGGTAACTTTGATCGGCATCAATTACCCAAAGATTCAGCAACTTTAACATTAATAAACAGGGTCAACCAAAAGTTTTCATTGACAGCTAGAATCAACTTCATTGCAGTAGAGCAGCACATTCCCTTGATGGTGTACTAAGCAAACTTGACAGAGTTCTCTGAAGTTAGGCCTATTATGCTACCAGTTTTGTAGTCATCTGGTGATCGTTTATTAGAGTATAACCAGAAATATTTCATAGGCACATGAAAAGGAATTCTATGAAAATTGAAAAAAGAAATTAGGTTTTTGATAAATAGACGGCCTCTGTAGACTGTAGGTACCTTTTGGGGCTTTGACTTCTTCCTCGACCTCGTCGATTTTTCTCCTCTTTTGCACCTCCATTGCTCTTGCCTGTCTCTTATGCCCTTCATTTTGTCTTTTAACAGCTTCTCTGATATTTCTAGTATCAGTTGCACATTTATATGCACCACGGATTGGGTTTTTTGCCCTTCCCTCCATCGTTATCTTTTAACAGATCAAAGGAAGCCTTGCCACGGTAATATTTTGAATTTGAAGAATGCGCGCCAGCCAGCAAGTCGTTGAAAACTTACTACTTTCAAAACTTTGATTGGTTCCCATAACGAGATTTGGATATCACTACGAGACCTTGGACAGGGACGCTAGTTTTTCCATACTGCCTTTAGTCATAAATAAGCATGATTCAGGGTCTCCGACGAAGGTGGGGGGGGGGGGGGCAGGGGGGCCTTGCCCTCCCACTTTTTTGCAAGACAATAGATTTTTTTCAAAATCTTTTGTTATGGGTGTTAAATTTTCCCTTGGCCCCCCACTTTTCAACCTTTGTCGGAGCCCATGTGATTGATTATTTCAAGTAAAGGGTTAGGGTTAAGAGTTAGGGTTAGGGTTAGGGTTAGGGTTAGGGTAAACTAATTACGTCATCAGGTCGAGCAGTATGGAAACTAGAAAGCTTCAATCAAGTCAGGGCTATTAGTGCCACAGGGCAGTGGTGTACTAACAGGGGCGAAACTACCGGGGGGGTGTGGGAGGGTGTGACACCCCCCCAATCCAAAAAATAGTCGATTTCGCAGGGCAATCGAAGATTTCGCAGGGCGCCAAGAAGAGCTTTGTTGCCACGCAGAAATGCCACCTCTGAAGTTCGTAAAGGGCCGTTCACGAATTTTGAAATGGAAATATTATATTTGTTATGATATGACCGGGAGACTCCCGATTTCAGAGGTCATCTTCCGACCTCCCGACAATTAAAAAATCCTCCCAATTTTTGAAAAAAAACTTATAATAAAAATAAAAAGCTGGTATAACGTAAAGAAGAATCAAGATCACTGTCAACAGTGCAACTTTTTCATAACGGACGAAACGATTCGATGTATTCACAACATTACAATAGTTACGACATCGGATAAAGCCAGACGCCAGACTGCCAGAAGCCAGACGCCAAACTTTTTAACATTTGTTGTTGTTTATTCATCATAAAAGATAACCTTTCTTATAATTTCAAACTAATCTAAGTGACATAAAATTGCCAAAAATTTTTGTAGGAGTTAAATCGGGGTTCGCATGGGTTCGCATGGGTTCGCATGGGTTCGCACTGATTGCAAGAAAACATTTCCTATAAAAATATAATCATAATTGTGCACAGTGGCGTTTCTAAGCCCAGAACTTTTTCAGCCCCTTCATTTGCCCCCCCCCCTCACTTTCTAAGAAAGTTCTTCGATATTACTGACCTATTGATTACGAAGAACTGTTTTTCTATTAACATATTACAGACAGAGAAAATAAAGAATCCTGAGTCATGTTGAGGCCTCAGAAATGACAAAATGTCAGGAGCTTCCGGGGGCTTCGTCCCCTGGACCCCTACCAGGGCGATGCCCTGGACGCGCTGGGGGGGCTCAGAGCGCTCCCCAGACCCCCAGCTCTAATTTTTCGCTCGCTCCGCTCGCGATGTCCCCCGCTTTTCTTTCTCTACAGGTTGGAAGGTATGGAAACTGCACATTTCTGTTCAGGAAAAAATTTTCCCAATCAAAACAACATCTTCCTCTGTCATTCACAACTACGTGCAATCTGAGATGAAAGGTTGCCGTTTCTTTCCTTCCCCAACGTCTAACACTAGAGTTTTAGTTCTTTTAGCACAATAGTATTTTGCTAAACTTTTGTCTGAAAGATGCTTTTTAGCCCTTTTACAAGGTATAATTTCAAAAAATTTCTTGGTGGGTCCTCCTACCATATTGGGTCCTCCTACCTCACTAAACTCGACTTTTAGCCCCACTGGGCTAAATTTTGTTGCGCTGTCTACATCATGTACCCCCCTCCCCCCCAATTAGCTGTTTATTAGCTTAATTTTGCAAACCAACATTAAATGAAGTGAATATAAAAAAACAATTCACGCTCACGTAGAGAAATAGAAATTTCATAGGCAATGAAGTTTCAAGTTTGTTTCTATTGCTTAGAAGTTTGTCCTTGGTAAAGACCAGTGTACACTGGTAAAGCTTTCACTAGTTACCTATAGACAAACCGTTGCTACTAGGTCTGCAGGGCACCACTCAGTTTTGCAGGGCAGAAACCCTTTTCACCCCCCCAAAACTATTGGCCAAGTTACGCCCCTGTGTACTAACAAAGTAACAAGGGGGGCTCTTGCACAATATGTTGTGAAAAACAATAACAAAGGTAGAAATTTGCCAATTTTAGGCATCAACAAATGGGGCACAGCCCCCTAGCACTACATCCGTGCCACAGGGCCGTCGGAATCGGGGCTGCGTGGCTGGATCCCCCCAATAATTGGCAAACTGTAGTATATTTCCTTTGTGACAAGTGCATTGAATGAGAAAGAATACAATTGGCAGCCCCCCAAATATACATTTCATTCCGAAGGCACTGTACCAGCATGAAATTAATTTCGCAAGAAGGGACCGCTGCAGTTTGATACGCTGAAAAAGACAGGACATAGTCCCCAACTTAAAATGGTACCCTTGGGCAGCTGCCCCTCCTGCTCTCTTTCAGGAGTGCCTTTAAATATTCACTCCTAAAAGAAGATCATAAATCTTGTAGATAATCGATGACTAGTTTATTTTCCCGCATTCTCTACGAACATTCTCATTGTGTTAATTTCCATCAGAAATTCAAAAAAATGGAAAAATCTCCCTTTTTGCTGTCGGTCTTTGATAAAGAAAAATTATTTTGCAGAAAACGATGATAAACTTCAAAAACCAACGGTGTCTTACAAGATACTGACGATTTTGCCCATTATCAGAACAAGGATGTTACGCTTATTTTATGCCTTAATATAAAAAAACGCGCTGAAGTAAACAACTGTTTGATTTTCCTTCGATTCTGGTGATTAATATTGTTTACACTCTCAATGATTCTGCAACCATTGAGCATTGAGAATAACCAGGCAATCAAAGTCTTGCTGCCAGCCCATTTTACTTATAATTGCCATGTTTTTTGTAAAAGCAAAGACTTGGAATGATGACAAGGCCATTTAATACCCACTTGCATGGAGAATTATGTCAAAATTGTGCCTATGTTTAGAGCCTTTGGTTGCAAATATCCCAGCTGGATGGGTCCATGCAATACACTCATTTCTTTAACAAGAAACAAAGGTCAATGTTGAGTACTCCAGTTTCTTAATGTTCTGGAAATTTCAATACTCATTGTTTCTTAAAAGTTTCTTAATCATGACGTCATGAATGATGTTAGTCACGACAAGAAATTGCACCCAAGGCACGAATCGGCCCTCAAATCAAAGTTTCGACCCTTTTTGCATCGAAAGATTTTCTTCTTTTGGAACCGCATACGGCAAACTTTTGTCTTTGTCTTCGCAAAAATTAAGCATGTTTAAGGTTAGGGTAAACGTTTCCTAGATAAAATGATTCATTTTTCGATTATTTCACATTCAAGTAACCGAGCTTTCAAGGCACACAATGATACCAAATTTGAAACTAACAGACATTTTGAAAATGGAAAAAATTCCGATGAAAACGAAGCTTTCCATACTTTTTTTATCAAAACTTTTAGTTGAGGTCTGAAAATCTCTTGACCTGTTGAGCCGATTATCGTTGCTTTGCGGTTGTGGTTGCATGTCTCATTTACAACATCGCATGGCACTTCCATGTATCCCATGTACGCAGAGGCGGATCCAGCGGAAAATCTGAGGGGTGCTTAAGGGCGTTGCCTTAATAGCCATAATAATGCCACACCCTACTTTTCTTTACGGTTAAATGAAGGCAACACCCATCTCGATAAATTAATCTTTTTTAAATTCAAGTATTAAAGAATAACTATATAGAAAATAATCTCTTTTGTTAGAAGCCTATTTGCTAGCAATGCTAGTTAAAAATAACACTGCTACCTTCGCAGTTTGTACATCACATTAATCAATGAATGACATTTTAGGTCGCTAGTCAATATTTGATTGCTCTGCAATATTCAGACGCTGGTTCATTTTTGTAAAAAGGCAGCTAAAATGTTTCAAACAAAAAAAAAGCAAAATGAATCATTGATACGTTAACTGACCATTACTATACGAAAATTGACTTAAAAATCATCGAGTCATGATAAAATGGATTGGCTATACCCTAAGTGCCAGAATCCGCTGAGTCGTGATTTTCATAACTGACCTCGTACTGATTGACAAAACAATTTCTATCAATAGCAAGTTGTCAACAACGGATGCAAGTATCACATGAAACAGCAGCGATCACGCCGATTCCAAATGACCCCTATAGAGAAGGCCTAGTTACCATGACTCAATGCCTTTAAATCAATACTTGTAAGAATTTATTGATAAAAATTGACTGTTTTACTAAGTACCTTGTGTTGAAGTAGTACATTTTTGGGGTCATCTGCATTTGGCAAGAAATGGGTATCGAATTCATTCTGGTAGTAATTACCATACCACCCCAACAACCAAAAATCCTTGGCACCACTTTTTTGGGGGTGCGCATTTTTCTCTGTAAAATTCGATATTTTTGTTGAATTAATCCAAGAAATATTCTGTTAAAACGTTGTGCATTTAAAGCCTGGTAAAGGAAACTACCAACCTGAAAGGCCGAAGGTCAGAACTTCCACGGGACAGTACTTGAACCTTTGGCATTTGCAGTTCAGCGAACTCATCGATCTGTGTATTTCCACAAGTCACGACACCATCCACCACGCTCTTATCAAAAACCTCTCTCACGATTGACTGAATACTCAAAAGCTCGTTTTCCGTTTCAATTTCTTCAGTCGACTGGCAACCAATAGTCGAGAACACCTGCAACAGCAACGACTTTATGTCCGCCATTGCTGCTACACGAATAGGTTTAGTCGTTTCAGTGACGGTATGCACCATTGTTTATTAAATGATTGATAGGGGTGCTCAGATGAGCCGAAATTTCGCAAACGGATTGGTTGAAGCCTTGTTTTGATTGATAGGGGTGCTCGACATTGCGGAAAAACATATCAGAGCGTGATGTGATTGGCTCAGTTGCAACTTTGACCTTAGAGGTTGATTGATAGGGGTGCTCAAGCACCCGTAGAATTGAAGTAGCTCATTGGCCGAGAGTGTGGTTTGATGGACAAGTAAAAAAATTGGTTCCAGGGCAGCTCAACATGAAATTTCTAGCTATTTATAGTTTAAAGCAGATACAGGTTATGCTAACTAACGCATGACCGTATGTCATCAGTTTACTGGAAAATGCATTTACATCATCTAAAAGGATTCAAAACTTTTTTCAGAGATTAGAGAAAATGCATTGAATGTTATATCTCCGAAAATTCTGACCGGTGCTCAAGCACCCATAGCACCCCCCTAGATCCGCCTCTGGTACGGCCGTGTTTATTTAAACAGGCTTATTGATCAGTGGTGGCGCCAGAGGGGGGGCAGGGGGGGCTACAGCCCCCCCGTCGGAGGAGGCTAGCCCCTCCGTCGGAAGATAAATTATGCTTGAATTTTTTTTGTCGGAGCGAATTTTTTAAGTTTTGGCGGAAATAGAAATTTCTAAAAGGACTGTTATCAGAATTCAGGAAGCTCATCCCAAAACAACTCATCGACACATCAATTTCATGGTAAATAATAATCTGTTATAAGAAGTTTGAATTGGTTGTTTAGATGTTCAGTACCAGGTGTTTTCCGCATGCTGTTAAATTTGATCTTATGTTATGGATAGTGCAGTTCGTCCAAATCTTGCTTGCTATAACCAACCTACAACATCGGAATATTTTTGTGCGATAGCGATATGGCAACAAATGTTACCCGTTTCAGTGTTAGATGTAGTATATGTAATGACGTATTTAACAATGATTACGCTGCCCGCCACACGAAGTCCAAGCACAAAGATTTGGCTGCAATGGGAAGGACTGCTCCTACGACGGCAATAGTTGAAACGGACTCGCAGCAGAGAAAAATAAAAAAATTTTTTCAATCAAAAGGCGGTACTTTTCCAAAGAAACGAAAGGTTAATGATTTTGAAACTGAAAGAACAACAGAAGACCCCGAAGAACAAGAAGTTGAAATTTCGAAAATTCAAGACGAAGAGCAAATCGAACGTGGTATGTTATACGTTTTAATATTTAAGTCCTTTTAATACGAGGAAAAACACTTAGCAAAGGGCTTCAGCCATAAAAACAATCAAACTCATTTACGTAGTAGCTAAGCCATTTTACCCCATCCCAACCATACATATTTGTAGTGTTTTGGCCCCTCCTGCCCTTTGCTAGGAGGGGCAAGGGAGGGGGCAAACGTGCCCTTAGTAATATGTCAAAAAACGTAGTAAAAAACACGATTACACCATTTTGATAGCATTTTTAGCCAATCTAATGGGTGTAGCCACCAAAATTTTCCCGGGGGAGTACCCCCGGACCCCCCGAATTTTCGGCTCGCAACGCTCGCCTTCGGTCTCCAGTACCCTTACAATTCCTTGTCGCCCCCTAGCCCTATCGTTCTCTAAAAAAATTAGCCCCTCCGTCGGAAGTGCTAGCCCCTTTGTCGGAGGAAACCTAGCGCCACCACTGTTATTGATCTTAAATCTTCAAGTGACTTGATCCGGATTACACTGTGGTTTACGAGTGTACCTTGCAAGTGCAATCAGTAGAATGTCGTTTTCTCCGGACTTACAATTCCTCTTTATACAGGTACGAAAAAGATATTTTGTACCCAAAGAACCAATCGAATGGCTCAGAAATATGCACACGGCCTGGACAGATGTCGGGTAAGCAAAACGTCTCAACATTTTTGTATTTGCTCTGGTCCGTCTTTTATAGCCAAACACAGCTATGAGGGGAAAGGAAAAATTGTTTGCCAATTTTTGACAGGGCATAGTTTGAAGTGGAGGAAGAATTTAAAAAATTTGAGACACGTTTTGGTAGCTTAGGATCTGCGCTTTCTGCTAATACACGTCAGATTTTGATATCTCAAACGCAAGGGTACAAAATAGCTTTTAAAGGTGGTACAGTCATGTAAGCAATTAATTTGCCTGGAAAGTACCATTTTAAAATATTTGCCAATTATTTTTATATGGTTGGAATCAGCACATTCTTGTGCATCGAATGATGTATATTGACATGTCTTTGACAAGCGCCTACCGCAGATTTCTGTCTATTAAATGCGAAAGACAAAATCTTCGTCTTTCAAAGACAAAAGTCTGCCATGTGCGCTGGGCGTTACTCAGATACGTTACCAAAATTAGAAAAGGGAGTGCTCTTTCCTCGATTACACTCTTTTTTATAAGAACTAGCAAATTTAAGTTCAGGCTGACTGTTCTTGATTTTTTCGAAAATCTGCGGCTGGATTGTTCTTAATTTGTTCTTAAATTTAGAGGGTGTAAGCAGTGCTATTGTAGTTTTTTCGCTCTAAGGAGGTGTTCAGGCCTCATTTGTGAGTGAGACAGCCTTCAATTGCTGACAAATTTGAATATTCACCGAAAAAGCACCCACACATCGCTGAAAATCCTCGATTTTTTGAGAAAACACGTTGTTCAAAATTGCATTTTGCAGAAGCTCAGCCTTAACTTGTTCTTAATTTGTTCTTAACTTTTTGACCAGTTTTGAGGCTCGTGTTCTTATAAAATTGTTCTTATAAAAAAAGTGTGTAGTTCATCTACAGAGAGATTCCCCTCCATACACCATACAAATTTTCCATTAATTTTCTGTAATTATTCGTAGTAAATTTCTGTGTCTAACCTTTGTAATCTTGCTTTTTTCTTTGTTATTTGTTATTATAAAATTATTTACATTAGGCGAAGCAAATTTTTAGCTAATATAACAGCTTATTAAAGCCTACTATTTATACTACATTTACAAATCTTAAATTAATTACAATGAATGGATAAAATAACATAGGAAATGTACAAAATTAAAAGGATGACTCATTAGATAAAAATATACAATTATTCGATGACTATTTCAAAAACTGTTGACTGTTGTATGTCAAATGATTTTTGTATGTAGTGGAATTTTATAATGAACTGTACTAAAGTGAACAGAATGAAGTGGAATCAACTGAATGATAATGGCATTAAGTGGAGGGGCAATTGAAGGGGCTGTTGGGGAAATTTCATGTCACTTTTATATGCTAAAAATGCCCTGAAACATTTGGTGGGCCAAATAATTCGCCTCTTGCTACGGATCTCCTGCATGGTTTTTGAACATTCAGAGACGGCACCACAAGATAAGAGTAAATTGAGTGGCATAGGAGGACCCATGATGGTTGGGTCCGACACGAAAGAAAATTTCTCAAAAAAAGCCTTCTAGAATGACTAAAAATGTATCTCCTAGACAAAAATTTAGCAAATAACTATACTGCTAAGAATAGACAATGCGACTTTTCTAAGAAAATTATCGATTTCTAGGAAAAATTTGGCAGGTGAGGAGTCATGCTAAAACTCTAGTGATAGACATTGGGAAGAAAGAAAGGGTGGCTAAGATAACAAAAAGCTGTTGCTTTGATTGAGAGAATTTTACTTACTGAACAGAAACGTGAAAATATGCAGACATTGCAATGATACAGAAAGTTATCTGCTGAATTGATGTAAATGATAGACAAATAATAAAAATATAATAGTGGTAGTTTGGACTTCGTTTATTTTGCTGTTTTGTATTCACGATTATTTTGTAAATACCTAGCTATGTAGTATTTCAATTAATTCTTGTTTATGTAATATTTTTGGCGTGTTACTTTACAGAATCAGTTGAAATAATGGTTAAGAGCAAAAGGGTTAAGATTCGATTGTATGTATGTTTAGGTTCTCGACGATGTATTTATGTGGCGAGATGCTTGTAAAAGTTCTTGTCGACATGAACCATGGTTTTAGTTGGAATACGTTTTTGGATTTATGGGATCGCTTGTAATGGTTTCGATAATTATTGTGTGTGTTTGCGAGGACAGTGCTTGTAAAAGGCTGTGCCTTATTCTACGAGAACAAAAAGACTGTGCCTTACGAGAACAAATCGACGTTATATCACGGGACAACCGTAAAGAAACATAGAACATTGATATTAACCTTATTCGCGGAAAGATCACACGATCGGGAGATAGACGTTAGAACTTCATATTTTGTATCTGTGTCTCAATTCTCACCGAAGGACCCATTTGTCTCGACGATGCATTCTTTTGCAAAAAAAACCTTATTGCAGAAATATACCTAAATAAGTTAGAAAGTAAAAATCAAATAAAATCAACCAGTTTAAAAACAGTTTGTTCCATTTTTCTTCATACGCTGTTTCAAAAAAACGATAAAAGAGACGATCAAAAATTTTCTAAAAAAGAGGGGGCTTCAGCCCTCCCTCTAGCCCCCCAGTACATACATACATATGCAAACATATTTCATTTTTCATTTCTAAAGCAGGTCAGGATCTGGCAACAAAATGTTGACGTGGACCTACCACAAAATAAAAAAATTAACTTCGCGCCGCGCCTGATTGTTTCGTTCCGGATCATTTGATTTGAAAATAATAGTTGCATGTTTCCATGTCAATGATATGGAAGGTGGATTCTTTATCATTGTTCCATGTGGCAATTGTTCGGAACGAGGTTGTTAATGAAAATGGTCGACATGGAAGTGTACGAGACTTGTCTTGATTTGATCTTGTGTCAATATTATTGTGTTTGAAAAAAAATTGCTGCGATGGGAACCATGGTGGTAAGTTTATAAATAGTGTTTATAACTTAACTAGTGCTTGATATCTTTGTGTAAGGTCATAAGCTGAATTTAATGTTGCATGCAGGAAGCAAAGCAGCCTATCAAAAGGGCAGTTTTTAAGCATTTTCATTTCTGCCTTCGGCGCCAAAAAGGGAGAAAAGTTTACTGGAAAGGCAGTGTCGAAAGTTAAGTGGTTGAAAATATAAACATTCGCGCCACACTACAGGCTAAGTGTATTATAAACAGATTAATTGTTGTTCGTATCTTTTGTGTTGACTTACGGCAGCAAATAACAGCTGGTTTCACTTTCACATAATCATTGTCATGTAAATGCCGTGTGGTTCGATTCACTCGACCTCCCAAGTGTTCATCCCCGATATCAAAACAGTATTGTAAATTCAGAACGTTGTGAACAAAAGCTTCGAAATATCGCATCGTTAAGTTTTACTAGCTCCATTTAAGAAGTTTTTCTCTAAAAGTAAAACATATATTTTTGTTTTTAAAGTAATGTCTACTTCTAGATATTTTTGGTTTTTAAGTAATTTAACTTCTCTGATCACTTCAACTCTACTTAAACAGTTTCTTTAATTTTTTTTCTATGAAAACGAATGCCAGAAAGGGGGCAGCCTTGCAAAAAATAATTCTCAAAAAGAATTTATTATAACCACATAATTTTTTTGCTCTCGGTTTTTAGTATGTTTAGTCCTGCTCTCTTAAGCCAGGTTGAAAATTTTGCAAGTTGTGTAATGAAGTGTAAATTTGAGAAAAACTTGGCACCTGTTTGTAAGTTCATTGTGTCTGGGAGGGTTATCAAGTTCACTACACTAGAAACACCTCTACTTTTTTAGGTAAAAGTTCTTTACATCTGGTTAGCAGAAAATGTTTTTTTGATTGCAGTGGGGCACAACTATTAAAACTTTACAATCAGTATTTAATTCTTTCAATTTCAATTAAATTCCTGATAGTTTGATCAATTTAGCAAACATTTTGCACCAAATTGTCTTGATGCACATAAAATTAATTTTTTTGAAGCACCTCTAACAAAAAAATTGCAGATGCACACCCAAATCTTCAAATGCTCATGAAAATATTTCAGTGCACACAACAAACTTGCCAACATGCCTTAAAGCTTTTTAGCCCCTTCAAATGGTAATGTCCTCCTTGATCCCTGTCTGTGATTATTATGCAAGACTATAGTTTAGATACAAACTTTTTATACATGACTTGATAAATCTGTTTTTATGTCTATGTTAATTACTGTCCTTTTTTCTTTCAAGCCCTACGGGAAAATATATCTATATTGCTGAGATCTTTGGGCTAGGATATTATTTTATTTGCATTGAAATTAAAATTTAAATCATTGGGGAAAATATTTAATAGTCTGCTATATCATCAAGCCTATAACTTAATTTTAAATATTTTTCTACCCTCGACATAACACTGTGGATCCCATTGACTAAGCAGTAGAGGTTATTTTATATCAATTTTATGAAACAATCCTTTATATTTACATCTTAAAGGCTTATTTATTAATCTCATATGTACATTCAATTAAACTCAAATCAAGTTTATTAAAAATATATGCATCAACAACAAATAAGCTTTGATTATCCAAAATCCAAACCAAAACCAAAGAGGCAAAAAGATACTGATGACTTACACTGAATATTGTGCTTTTAGATTTTCCCATAACAAGGTTTACAGTTCTGGGTTGATAGCATTGGACAATTTTGAAATATTTTTAGTTCCTTTAATGAACACTTCAAAAACTGTAAGGCTATTGCTTGTTTTTCTATTCCAGCATTAAGCAATCAAGCTTTTTTCTTTCAGCAACAGAGTTTTCAATAAACATGGTTAGCTTCTCTGCAAGTATAAAGATGAACCCTCTGGGGCTTCTTCTGGCCTTAATCTGTGTGACGAGTACAATATTCTACTTCCGTAACATGATTAGAGAGAGCAGGCCAATAAAAAGACTATCGTCTCTTGCTAGTCGCTTAAAATCACAGGGATACAATGTGGTTGGGCTACAAAGCAATGACATTTCAATGAAAGAGCTTTTGGTTGCTGCTATAGAAGTTGCAAAGCGTGGTGGAATCAAAGTGAAACAAGTCAGAGAATCAAACAACTTACAGGTGCAGCTCTTTCTTCTGTTAGTCATTTGATTAATTCCATTGAAAGCATTGAGTGGTTTTTTATTTATAGCCTTCAGTAATGCTTTGTTATTTTATGTCCTTTTCATATATTGTTGTATCCCAAAATATTGTAGATTGTTATTTGGGAAAGTAGGTAGTCATTTTTGATATGATGTTATTGAATACTGTGTAAGGATGTTTCTAGGGTAGCTATAGACTTAGGAGAGTCAAAAAGTGTAGTCACATTGAGAGGAAGGACCAGGACACTCAATGTCCTTAAAATTAACACTTGGCCTAATAATTACAGCTGATTGCTAGGTAACAAATAAAAGTACTAAACTGAAAATTGGTTACTAAATTTAGGTAGCTGAAAGCATCTGCAAATCACAATGAAGTACGTCTTTAAACACTGTTTCTTTTCTACTTGTTTTATGGCTATTTTGATGTGACATAAAGCAGACAAAATAAGCATTAAAACAGTGGTCATTATAAATTTACTTTCACATGCTATATTTATATTTTAACAATATTCCAAGAGATGCAAATAAGACGTTATTTGGTAAATTGGTATTATGCAAGACTGAAGAAAAATATATAAAGCTTTTAAAATAAACCCTTGGAAGGAGAGGAATAATACTGACTCTTGAACCAGAACTGTCTCTTGTGCATTTTCATTGCACTTTGAACTGTCAATAACTTTGGGGTTAGTTGACACAGCAAGTATCTGATTCAAAAAATGTTCAACTTATCCAGGGTATGATTTTTGGCCTGAATAATAAAAGAAATCCAATGGGATATTAAAACCTCTTATTTTGTGAAAGTCTGTGTTGTCTGGGGTACAATTTAACAGGATTCAACTCTATCTGCAAAATTCATTCTTGTATGCTAAAAAGCCGCTACTAATTTTAAATTCAGTATTTAGTTTTCTCCTTTCATTTGTGTAATGTGTGAAATCACAGCTAATTCCCTGATAATAGAATATGTTGTTTTGCCAGTCTAGTATTCCCCCCCCCCCCCACAGTTTACCCTTGTCAGATATAAAAACATAAGTTATTGTAGATGAACAGTTGAATTAGATAGTCTTGATCTGTTTTAGGAGCAAAGCAAGGGAGAGACAGCCGAAGGTGTTAATGACCCTTTAACTGAAGGAGACCTGTTATCACATCAACAGATGTATTACAGTTTTAAAAACACATGGCCTGACGTAGCAGTAGTTTCAGAAGAGAGTGGGACTTCAAAAGTAGTTGATACTGCAGCTGTTGATCAACTTGAAACCGATGGCATTGAAAGCAAATTATCTGATAAAATGGATATTTATGTTCCAAAAAGTGATATTATGATATGGATTGACCCATTGGACGCTACAAAAGAATACACAGAAAATCTAAGGCAATATGTTACTACTATGGTATGCGTGGCGGTTGGAGGGAAAGCGGTTATAGGTGTCATACATAAACCGTTTTTGGGTGAAACGTTTTGGGCCTGGTATCAACACGGTCATAATATACCGCAAAAAACTGATGGCATGTTGCATAAATCGCCTAGAATAATTGTTTCAAGGTCACATGCTGGAACTGTAAATGAAACGGCAAGAAAAGCATTTGGAGAGGATGTACGAGTAGTTGCAGCTGGGGGTGCAGGTTATAAGGTGATTGAACTTGCCAAAGGCAATGTAGATGTGTATCTTCATTCGACAAAAATAAAGAAATGGGACATTTGTGCTGGAAATGCAATTTTAACATCGTTAGGCGGGAAAATGACAAGCCTTAAAGGAGCCGATATTGCATATGATAAGAAAGAGGATGTCGTTTTGACAGATGGGCTTTTAGCGACAATGGCTGACCATGAGAAGTACTTTAAGGAACTGAAATCTCAGTAAACCTTTTTAGGCTAGCAAAGATTTGCTGCTTGCTCCAAGAGTTTCGAATTTTGAGTACGTTTATTGACGCGACCAATTGGTCTATATTAGATACAAAATTCGTCGTGTTGAAGATTTCTAGAATACCATATTATTAAGTTATTGCAAATTGTTTTTTTTCGAGAGGAATCATTAATGTTAGTATGGTATATGGAGCTTGTAAAAATGGTATAGAAGCATCAAGGAGAGCCATTTGACTGTTTTCTTAGGAAACTGGGCTTATAGTCGCCAGTTTCTTAAGCTATCGAAGTTGGTTGCGATAATCAGCAAACAAATTATATTGCTTCAATTTGCCTCCCTTCTCACCAAGGTATGGCGAAAGCTGTCAGATTAGTACCTCCCCCCCCCCTCCTCCATTGCCAAGATGAAGTTAAAGGTGTAAAGTTGGTCAAATAAAGCTAATAACGATGGTTTCCGCAAAAGATTTTCACTACTGCAAAGTGTCAAAGTGTCTACTGACAAAAGGAATTTATTGTGGGAGATGTTCATGATAAAGATGGGCGAACGTTGCCGGCTGGTTTTCAGTAGAAAATAAAAGTGTCCATTTGCGGGCGGAACCTTTTGAACATTGGTTCTAGTTTATCAACCTTTGACCGTAAACAGACCACGCCCACGTTATGATACAGTTTTATCGCTTTATCAAAATTATTCGATACGACGCAGGCGCCTTGCTGACACGAAGCTCTTTGTCTATTATTTGAAGGAACGAAGTTTTTTCTTATTAACCCAGAAGATGCACATAGTGTGTATCTCATAAGTTGCAAGGATATTCAGGTTGAGCTAGTAGTTGGTTATAGAAATCTAAGTTGATTCATTCTTCCAATGTTTCGTATGAATGCTTTAAGTTGAAGAGGCAGAAATGCTTTTTTATAGCAACGTGATAGCAAGTTGTGGTGTCGCTCAGTACAGTTTTTTATTGCAAAAGCGAAGTCTTCTTGTCCTTTTGTCAAGAGAAGAAAATTTCCTTCACCATATCACAGCTGAATTACATACTCACTTACCATTTTTCCGAAGACTTGCTTCTATCTGCAAACTTTTACATAGATATCTTACTGTATGAACTGTCTTGATCCACGCCCACTTGGCAGCACAACCAGCATTTCTAGAAAGTAAACCTAGTTCAGTATTGTTGGCAACATATTCGTACTATATAGCGTTTGAGCATTCCTGCTTAGAACTGTGTAAATCTAGTTTTGAACGTTTACACGATAAAATCATAAATTGTGTTGAAATTTAGAAAACATATTTTTGCTGTCGTTTTAGTTGAGTTCCACTGTTCGATTTTATTTGCTGTTAAATCTTGGATGAGTTTTAAAATGATAAGTATAACGACTTAAAGTTCATACATTGTTTCAGTTTTCTTCGAACATCTAGTAGCCACGACATTTGTTGTCATATTCCTGAATTCTGATTGGTCAATATGGTATGGAGAATTTAGGTCGCTCAGCCAATCAAACATTTTGAACCTACGTTGTGTATGGCTCCTTTCTGATGCAATTACAACCCTCATCTTTCCAGTCATAAGAAATCCGGTACGTTCTGCCTCTTTTCTATACTGTGGCTAATAGTTTCAGCAGGCAATGATGCAAAAACCGACAAAATATTTCAATCTGTTTAGAATTTTTCAACATATTCAGATATTTACAAAACTACAAAATCAATAAACGTTTGATTTCATCAAATCATCAAGGTTGAAAAAAAACGAACGATAAACTTTTAGCCTACAAAACAAGCTTAGCTTTGACAAGAAAACCAACATTCACTACATAATCTTCAATAATTTACACTTTTTATTAGCTTAAAGTACGTCTACAGGTCTACATCTACAGAACCAAATATCAAAACATCTACCAGGTATGGACGAACTTCCAAATATCAACGGGGAATACCATAACAATTTAGGGTTTCAAGTTTGCAAAAGACAAATGATCCAGAAAATGAATACATAAACTACTTAATCTGTTATACCGATAAGGTGTTGATCCTCAAAGGTAAAACCCATTTTATTATAAAAAAATAAGTTGGATCAAACGTTAAGATAGACAAACAAATGTTCTTTGTATCAGTCTATAACATATATTTATATATATACAAATAAAAAAGTCTTTGAAAAACATTGACAAGGACAAAATATTGTCAATATCCAATCTTAAGCAGCCCTCCATTGAATAATGGTCCGCCAAGCCGAATACTTAAAAGAAATCCATGAGGTTGGTTTACTGTTAAGGACACATTGGGAATGCCTTAAGTATGGACCAGCAGACAACGAAAACGTCTTCGTAAAAACAAGAATTATATCTCAATGTCATCGACTTGCCTGCAACCGGACATGAAAGCGTGGAGTTTGTTAGCGTTAACATGAAGCTACAAATTACTATACCGATGACGTCACATGAAAGCTATAGGTTACTGTGTATGTCGGGACCAGCAACATTGTCGAAGTGGTCATGATCATTAACATCGCTTCGCTTCTTCTTAAGGACGTTTGACTTACACGTACGTGGAAACATTTTAAGCACATAACATAGATATACTAAACGGTCATCAGTTTTTTTAACTTATTTTGTGGTGTTTCAGCGCAGTTTTTTGCAAATATCTACGTTTTTTTAGCAACACCAGAATAACGATGTTTGTACGAGATCAAAGTGCTCTTATTTTAGCTACAACAAGACATAAATTGTTGCTGAAATTCCACTTACAACTTGGTATTAGTAGTAAAGCTTGTAATGAAAAAAGGAAGAAACTAGGACCATAAGTGAGTTCAAACAAAGCAAACTTATTTGCTGTTCGAATCCCAAGTGCAAAGACAACCTGCTTGAACACGACTGAATTTTTTAAATCGTTCCTTTTTTATCCACATTCGTAATGCCTTTTGACCAACATTACATCGTCAAACTTGTGTGTTTTCAATCAACAAAATGAATGCCCAAACGAGACTTTGTTTCCCTTACTAATGTATCACGCATTGGCAGCCCTATCGCCGTTGTTGTATACGCTTTGTTGACGCTGTGCGTTTTGTTGGACTTCGAACTTCAAGTGGTGCAATGAACCATTCGTCGTCGTGAGGTATTGTTCCGTTTTGCCTAGGACCAGGATGGGACATATTACTGTTTGCCTGTCCTCCATACGAGCTACTTTCCGGTACCCGTGTTATTGCTCCAAAGCCTGAACTCGTTGAAGCTCCGTTTTTTTCAAGCCCATTCCTGTAAACACCTTTCAGATTCGCACCATTTTCAATAAATACGTCATCTTCACCTGTTGTCGATAACAAGGCAGTTCTATTCCCAACTTCTCCTGAGGCAAAGCCGTATTTTGGGTGAAAGTGTGGGTCATTTCTGTATGAGAGGCCATCTTCCGTCAAAGAGGAATCCTTTTTAGACCTTCTAAGGCTCTGGAAACCAAAGTGTTTTCTAGAACCTTCCTCCACGTAGAAGCGCTCGTGAGGCTCCTGCTTTGACGATTCGAAGTCCGCTACCAAATTTCCACTGGATCTTCTTTGCTGATAATCTGTTTTCTGAAGAGGGTGTGCCCTTGAATCATTTTGGTGGCTTTTCTCTTCAAAAGACAGTGACCTGCGCAGGCGCCTTGCTGCCTTCTTCAGCCAGCTTTTCTCTCTCTCTGCTCGAGAAGTGTCAGGAGGAGCTGAATTAGCCTCTGCTCCGTGCGAGTGATAGCGAAGCACCTGCGAGCTAGGACTTTGAAATCTAACCGACTGTCTGCCAAATTTCACGTCGTTTGGACTGGCACTATTCACCAAGCCCTTAGGATTTATGTCCTTATGATGAATAAACGAGTTACTGTTTCTTTGAAGAGAATTGCTTTGAAACGAGCTGTGATTGAATCCTTGTCCCTCATGTTGATTCGACTGAGGTGCGGCCTTTTTCCCCCATGGTTCTACTGTCTGTAAAGATGGCATAGTATCAACAATCAAGAAATCCTCCGAAAGGTTTCTCTTCGCCTTTGGTCGGTCCTTTGTCTTTTTTGGCTGTGGAATCAGGTAACCCCCTGCATCAATGATCCCTTTGCAATGCCTTCTAGCTGCTGCATGGACATCCTCTTCAAATTTCACCCCTTGAGCACTTTGCTTTGATGATTTCGTTTCGTCTCTTTTTGATTCAACCTCGTCATACAAATGGCCTGTTTCAGTTGCATGCTCTTTGCGCTGTGAAGCAGCTTTGGCTATACGAGGTGCTCCATTTGCCTCATTTCTGACACGAGGCTGTGACAACTCTCCTCCTCTTTTATCTCGAAGTAGCACAGTTGTCTCCCTCTCTAATGCTTCCCTGGGGCTATCTCCTCTGCAACCTGTCTCTCCGTTAGTATTCACATTTTCTCTTGAACCAAGAGTTGAAATAGTTTGTTGACCAGCAACATACAATTTTGCATTGTTATTTTCATCTGATGATCCGCCGCTATTCAGCACAGAATTCTTCTCAGTGAAACTCTTTCTTGCAGCAGCCTTCAAAGAGCTACCATTGCCACTCAATTTTCTTACAATTGTTTGTGCCTTTTCCATCTTCTTCAGAACTTTATCGCAGTCATGCAAAGTCGATTGTCGAAAACTTTCCATATCAGCACTTCTTCTAGCTAATCGTTTTTCATTGCTCAAAATATCACAAAGAATACACGAGTCATCATCAAGATTTTGCATGTCTCTGCTAATTTCCTGCTCTGGTACGACGAAGACGTTCTGATCTTGATGCGAATCTCCCGCAACAACTTCGTTTTGACTTTCAATTTCCCTCGGTTGATCTGCGTCTGTCTCGCATGACTTACTGCACAGCTCTGCTGCACTGGGAGGCTCTGGCCATTCTTCTATATCCGAGTTACAATTATTGTTATCATCTAAAATCGATGCTCCAGCTTCATGCTCTTTCGATTTTAACGGCAAAGAGGCTGGTATACGCGCAGCATCGTCGACAGCATTAACTAATACTCTTTTCTGCTGAACATACTTCACTTCATACGTCACATTCTTACTCCCCCAAGTATCTGTCTTTGCAGGTATTTTTCGGCCTATTAGTCCGAACATTCTCTCTGATGTTTGGCGCAGCGTGCTTGAGTATTCCCCTACACCTAATCCTTTGTTATCCAATCGTTTATTTATGTCTTCGAATGAAGAACCGCTAGAGCTTTGAACAGTTTCACCAATACAATGTTGGCGTTCTAAACATGCCCTAGGCCTGAAATCATCTACAAATTGAACACCAACATTTTCATTAGAATTTCTTTCTGTCTCGCCTAATACATTGTTCCTATTGGATTCCATTTCGTTGTCGTTTTCTGAAATTTGATTCCAATATTCTTGCTTCGGTGAATTCTCCTTATCAAAAAATACTGCTTTATTCGCAATGACCCTGTCAGAGGCAACGTATTTTTGTGGACTATTGGCAACCTTTCCTTCTGGTGAATCCGTTTTCTTGACACTTCTAATTCGAATTGTGGTAACTGGATTGGATCCTTTCAAGTAAAAATGTTTCTGCACTTGATTGCTATTTGTGATGTTTTGAATAGGCCTATATCCTACTTGCCCATTCCCTACATTCCCATCTGCCTTTATTCCAACTCTCCGAATGGTTATAGTTGTCGATTTTTTATGAACATTCGCTTTCTTTTCCTTGCTGTCTTCTGAATAATAAGGATTGTCTTTAGATTCACCGGCAAACCGAATTTTCTTCTTATAATCGTGTCCATTTTCATGTACTGGTTTCCAATTCTTTCCCGTGATTTTATCCCCTACTTTTCCGTTGAGATTGTTCACTCCTGGGTTTGATCTTTTAGTCCACCCATTCGCGGCCATTATTTTGAAAACATGTGGGTCCTTTGCCTCGTTATCGCTTGAATTGCTCGAATCATTACTGTAATCAGAGTTCGTCAAGAGATTGAAATCGCCATAGTCATCATCCTCATCATCTTCGCTTGATGAGAAGGTATCAATGAAACCATTCTTTATTCTATTATAATTTGAATGAACTGAGTTCCTGCAATGATCAAAAGATATAGAAGATTTTTATAATAGAAGTAAAATACATATAAAGTTACGAGAAAGAAATTAAAGAAATTAAAGAAATTAAAGAAAACGGCATGCGGCTTGACAATCAAAATAGGTGCACTCCCGTTTGTAAGGAGTACGCCGATTGTAATGTAATGATTTTTTCGTTTGGGAGTAGTTGCCTGTTCTACTGACGTGACTTGTGGAAGTCTTTTCGACGCCTCTAATCGACCAAAGGTACAGTAGTGTCCCACATATAAGAAACAACTTTTTTGATTTCAGATCTGATGCGTTTTTTTTAGTAAATGAGATATTAACTTAAATCAGGTAAATGTTTTTTACAAAAAACCATATTATATCATTGATCATCTAGTCAGACACCATCTCAATGATTGTGATAAAAATACCATAATATTTTGAGTTGTATTTGTAATTTTCCAATTTTCCAGAAAGGTGATTTTTGCTTAGTTTTCATTCAAAAATCTTTTTCATTTGACCAGGCTCAGTTTGATTTAATTGGAAAGCTGATAACAAACAGTTCTTATGGTCAAAGATTGTAAACCCTCACTTTTCCTTTTGTTTAAATAACTGACAAAATAGTAAGTGTAGAATGATAAATGTTTTGTTCTGTTTTTCAAAGGATAAGGTTATGTGAAAATTTTTAAATAAGAAACAAGCATGTTTTCAGACCTTCACCAGTTTCTTATCAAAGGGGCTATTTTTTTTGAAATCAGGGTCTGTGTTTCCTAAAATTGTGTTTCTTATATGCGGGACACTACTGTACATGAACAGGTGACGTTATTTTTCAAAGAAGACCCTGGTTATGGTAAGAGTGCGATTTCCTTTGCCTAGACATGAGTATATTTTGACGTTTTTTCACTCATTATAATTCAAATTGAGCAACCCCATGCATAAGCACTGGTCCTCCTTGACCAGCACTGGATGCAGAAAAATCATTCAAAACCATTGAAATCATTCGGGTTCCACTATTAAAATTGTTTACCCTCGTTTGCTGACCCTTTTCCAAAAAGATACACGGAAAGCAAAGTAAACGGCAAAACAAGTTTCTCTGTGTTCATTTCTTTGCCCCTCTCTAAAAACTGGAGGGAGGGAGGAAGGAGGTCTTCAGATTTCCAGAAATTTTGCAAACCGCAATGGAGTATATAATTAGCGAGGAGTATCTTTCATGAAAGAGAGAACTTTAGGTACCAGAGTGAAAGAGAGGGTTCTCCCTATCAACCAACTCTTTCAACAATCCTCTCTTTTACTGAGGCTCTGGCACCCAGGGTATAAAGAACGAGACAACATTCTTGCGATAATGATGAAACTGATATGGAATTGTGTGCAGCTGTGAATGCAAAAGTTCAACCAGAAATATTCATAATTCAACAAGCAAAAGTAACCTTGATGGTGCAAAACTTTGTATGTAGCAGGTATCAGCTGTAAGCAGCAACTTTTATGAGCAACCGTATGCCGTAATGCCTCGAATAAGCGCCCGGGCGCTTATTTAATTTTTGAGGCTCCGGGGTGGTCACTTATTCGAGGGAGGCGCTTAATCGAGAGGGGCGCTTATTTAAAAAGTAGATTTGGGTGCAAATTGTTGTTCATTAATCTTTCTTTTTGAGTTGCTTTCCAATTATGTTTTTGTTGAAAATTCGAATAAGCGCCCGCTTCTGAAGGTTGAAGGATGGGCGCTTATTCGAGTGGTGGGCACTTATTCAAGGGGCGCTTATTCGGTAACTTCACCTCTAGAGTGGGCACTTATTTGAGAGGGGCTCTTATTTGAGGGGGTCGCTTATTCGAGGCATTACGGTATAGGGAACCAGAGTACAACAGCACCAAGCTGGGCAATAATGACTATTCTAAAAATCGTATTAAAATTATTCTTTTCGACCATTAGTGTAGAATATTACAGTTTGACGTATAGGCAACTGTATCCTGTTCAACTGATATCCAGATAGAACAGAACTCCTTGCGTCTGACTAGGTCTTCTATTTCATGTTATCTGTTATGCTTTTGTGTTTCTCAATGTACTTGGTACTTAAGAACCCTTTAAGATATTTTTCAGGACTAAAACCACAAAGAAACTGAGTATAAAAACTGAGTAATTTGTTTTTTATAAATAAATGCGTTTAAAGTGAAAGGGGTCTTTAGTCTATCAAAATTCGAATTTGTAACAGGCCTTGCCCTCTCTCTCTCTCTCTCCGATTATAAGAGAGGCCAAACTTGGTGGAGATCTCTTTTTAGATCAAAGTTTCCAATTAAACATCCGTTTTAATTTTCCGTTGCAATGCGACATCCTTAAAATAAACAAGGTCTTTGGATTGGCTTATAAACGTTTGGGCAAAGTAATAATTATACAAACATCGTTTTGTATGAAAGGGAGTAGATTTCATATTAAGCCTCGCTCATGTTTAGAAATTCATTTTTCTGTCGTGACAAAGGAAATAAAAGAAAAGGATTATGTTTTATCATCAAAGAACAAGAGGAAGAAAAATAATGTCACAACTACTGGATTCACACGTTGATCTCGGAAAAAATATTATTTATTTTTCAGATAAAAGTTGCTCTTGGCGACCTTGCTAAATCAATATTTTTATGCTAAATGAAAAGAAAATTTCAAAAAGGCATTAGAAACCAAAAAGACGTTCACGATCGCAAAACACAGCAACTACGTAAAACACGGACAGAAACGTAAAGCATCGGCACAAACACCCGTACTGAATGAATCACTGCCGCGAATATAAAACACGTACACGAATATAAAACACGTACACGAATATAAAACACGTACATTATCATAAAGCACGTGCAGGGACATGAAAACAAACACGGGCATTAACAAAAAAAACCGTCATGGACATAAAACACATGCATGGTCATAAAGCATGAACACAAACACAATAAGCACAAATATAAAACACGAACACATAAACGCAATTAAAAAACGAAATGATGATAAAACTCAGACACCAACATCAATTCAAAATATGTTTATAGCATGTTTTTCATATCAATTTTTTTTCGCTTTGAGTCTGTCTTTTGCGACCAGCTCCCTAAAGTTGAACAGTGAATTGCTTCACCTCCCAATGTTCAGTTTAGACTCATTTTTTCGGTCTTAGTTTGCATGAAAAGCGTCTGACGCAATTTTTAAAAGCGCTTGCGTATAATCTGTAGATCTCATCTGGATCCGATCCCGTGTAAACACCTAGGATTGGATCCACAGGTATCCGGATACTCTTGGATCCGATCTAGTCCAGGTCTCGTGTAAACTCGTCTAAATTAAAGTTTCTTTAATCGTCAGCTGATTTCAGGAAAGTAGATAGGAGGAGTTTAACGGTTGCAATGAACTGGTCTATGCAGATGATTAAGAAGACTCCCAGAGCCATGATTTTGAAGGCAAACAAAATTTGTTATAACTGTTTATTTAACTGTTTATTGATCTCATTATTTACGATACCTTTTGTTTAGCCTTTTCGTTCTTCTAGTTTTTTCGCCTGTAATTTTATATACTGAAGATGACTCCAGCTAAAGTTAAAACGCTTATCTAATGGATTTGCCTTATTAACGGATTTGTAACCTTTGTATCAGGCACCGCGCAGCTATTGGGCTAGCAGGGGCTATAGCCCCTCATTTTTTTTGCGATAATTAACATATGTTGGAAAACTTTTTGGAAAGTTTACGCAATATTGAATGGTATACTCCTAAGTAAAAGCAATTTGATTGGGAACCCTTTTTATTCATTTTCTAGGTGTTTTTCTTGATGTTTGATTATCCCCAACTTGGGGACCCCAAGCTAATTTTATCTATTCTATAGCTATTTATATCTTCTCTGAGCCAGACTGTTTAATGAACTCCAATAGAACAGAGCCAGTATTTTCTAAAAGGGGCGTTTTCCGGCGTTCTAGAGGGCGTTGCCTCAAAAAGTTTTCGGTTACGCCTTTTTCAGCCCTCCCTTATTTAGACTGGTGCGTGGTCCCTGCTTTGTATTGTCTAATTTTCACGATGTACTGATTTTGTCTACTAAAATGTAAAAAGAAATGTCGGATGGGTTCAAGCTAAAATAATAACTGTGTCTTCTTTGTGTCGTGGTACTGGTTATAAGTTATCAAGCTACGTTTCCCAAAGTCTGGATCTGTTTATTTATGTCTTCATATTTCATCCTTTCAAGGAAGGTTGGAATTCGACAAAAACTGCTTTGAGTTGCTCTCCAATATAAATTTGATTACAGTATGAAAATAAAGAGTTGAATTTCAATTAAACAGTATTATGCAAACCCATTTAACATTGAAAATGTTTAGGTGCACCTCTCACTGGATTTTTTACAACCATTTTGGTTGGATGTCGTCATAGGTTCAACAGGACATATTTCAAATGCTCGTTTGGAAAATTTGAAACAAATTACCGATCACAGACATTTCTAAGAGAAGGAACGAAAACCTACAATCCTTGCCAAAAATAACTGGAACGCCTTCCCATTGCAGCATGCAAATAAACAAAGCAAATCTAAAACTACCTTACCAAAACATCACTGCTACTTCAAAAATTTCGACCACCTCCCTCCGCACAATGTTGATTTATTTTCTCAATACTTTCATACAGCTTTCAGTGAAGAAAATTTTACCTTCAGGATCAAAACAGCCCAATTGAACAACATTGTAATGGGGGGTAGGGGGTGGGGGGATTTTTCAAAAAAAGCTTCAGCTTTGCGCAAGTGTTCCAACAATTTTGGCAAGGATTGTACATTAATCTTCAAATTTTATACATTTATCAATTGGCTGGAGGAGACTTTGATGATTTTTCCCTACGTTGGTCATGTTTCCCTACCACTTTTCCTTTAAAGATGACCTTACCAAAATGGCCTTGAAACAAGATTGTGTCTTGGTCAATACAGTGTCCAAATTTGTTGAAATTTACCGCAATGTATATAATTTGATTACATCATGGATATAATTTGATTACAATTTTAACTACCTTACCCTGAATCCTCCCATTTATGCACAGAAGCTGAACTTCCTACGACCTTGCGCTCGTCTTTAAAACGATGAAAATCTGATGTCGCTATGATCTTGAAGGAACTTTCTACATAGTGTGAATGTTTTCAAATTGAAAATATTTTAGACCACTAAACTCATTGTCCCGTCAAAGGTTGAAACTATTGCAGCTTCAATGGCTAAATAGGTCTAATTTGATTGGTTGAGTAGAACTTCTCAGTTGGTTAAGTACCAAAATGATAATATTGACAGAAATTTTTGAAATGTTGAAAACAGAAGGATCTCTCCTGATTAAAAGTATAGTGAAGCAGCTGTCCTTTTATCCTACTACTGCCGGGAGAGACAAAGGATCTTAGAAGAGGTATAGCCATCTGGTTTCTATATCTTCGCCTCGGAGTTAGATCAGGAATATTATTATGGTTATTTAGTTTTAATTGTAGATATCGACGTCATCACAAGTCCTTAAAGTTAAGTAAGAAGAATCAACAGACAATCATATGTTCAATGCTGCCAAAAACCAAGCTAAGGAATACAGCTCAATTTTATTGAGTCGTACCCTAGACAGTGGCGTAACCGGGGTTGGAAGATGTGGGGTGGGGGGGGGGGGCAAAGAGGAATTCGAAAGGGTTGGAAGACCGCTAGGGTGAACACACCCTAAAGAATTTTTGAAAACGCCCGATTTCGAAAATGTGTTTGGAAAAGCTATGGCTTTTTTACGTGGCAATGGTTGGCTAACCAAACACAAGTCGTCATATGTAGCTTTCTGTGACTGACCCCAGTTTACAATTGTCCACTTCAGAATAAATATGTTAAAGATTTTCTTGCATTTTTAAAAGAAATGTTATTTACATTTCGAAGTAAGAAAATGCTAATTCTTTACGGTGATTAATCAGCTTAATATCTACGTAAATATTTATTTACCCGTCATATCTGAGAGTAAGCAGTGCAAAAATAAACATGATGAACTGCAGTTATTTCAAGATGCTTGCGTGTTTACATTAAAAATCTCGCAAGCATTTTTGAGTAAGGAAGTGCTTGGTTTGTAACTTAAAATCGAAGTAGCAAAACAATTAATTGAATGATTGAAGATGGGCTGCGAATGCAAGCTGTTGTTAGGAGCTTTGGTACTTGACAACGCCCAAGGCATGCAAAGTGCGAAATTTGGCATACCACACTAACAAAACAATATTCTCTTGTTTAATCCGGAAAATATTTTGTTTCCCGCCGACACGAGGGCTGTAGACACTCCCAAAAAATTGATTTTCAAACATTTGAGAGAGATAGTGATGTTTTGTTTGGCAAATCATGAATTTTTCTTACAATTTACAATGGACAGCGGAACATATTACAGATGGAGGGGGCTTAAACGTTTTTGGGGACTGAACATGCTTAAAACTGAGAGCAAGGGGATTTTTGAATGGTAAGTACATTTTATTAAATTATTGGAAATCTAAGGACCCTCAGCTTCCTCCCCCCGCTTCCGCGGTCCCAGGTGGGGTGTTCTCCCTCGTGCCCCCTCTCGGTTCATGTTTCGTAATCAAACGACACATCAAAAAACGGTATGAAAATCCCACAAAAATTCCCACGAAGGATAGTGCCCTCTCTCACTCACAATTTTCTGTTCCTTACTTGACGACAAATCAACTTTTCAACAAGTGATGCGTAAAGTGATGCGAATTTTGAAAGGAAGTTCCTCTTTCTTGCAGGATAATTTTTCCTTCTCGAAACCAACATCAACAATGAATGGTTTTTCTTTTGATTCGGAAAATAGCCTGCCAGTGAAACCTATTCATTCTTAAATTCTCATTAGAAAATTCACCACCTTTTGACTGTAGCAGATTTTTAACAACAGCACAATGCATAATCCGATGAACAGTTTTACAAGTCCAGTCAAATGATTTGCGCCCATACAAAGCAGCAGCAATATAGGCAGGGCTGATTTGCACATTGAAAGGGTTCCCTATCACAATTTAACCGTATTGCTGGGAAAGGGCCCAGCCAAAGTGAAAGTGCACAATTCTTATCGTGCAAATTTACAATACCGTTAAATTTTCTCGCACAACTTCTCCTTCAGATGAGAAAAGTGATAAATCGCTCCTGCTGCTTTGATTTATCTTACAACTCTAGGATGAAGCATTTCGTTTTGCAAAGAAGCGGAATTCTGAAGAAATTTCAAGACATCAAACTTAAAATGAGATAGCATTGACGTCATTTTCGAGTTAGAGGACCGAGAATTCGTAAAATATAACTTGCTTGACGTAGTTACAAGATAAAGAATTGCGATAAACGGCCACTCAGTTCGAATTTGAAATCAAGCATCGCGTTAGCTCACATCGAAGCAACGATTTTACAATAAACGTCAAACGAAAGTTTTTGTCGTGTTATTTGTGCGTTACTTGCAAAATATTCTCATTGAATTCGACAAAGAGAAACGTAAACCGCAATTTACTCTTTGCAGACAAATGTTACAAAATTGCTGTTTCAAAACATGACTACCAAATTCTAATGCAGTAGAATCAAAATAAAAACGAAAATTTCAACGAAAGTTTCCAATACTTACATTGTGGTTCGCTTTACAGCCGTTTGGGGTTTCGATGGCGTCATGGCGAAACGTCGAATGGGTAAATCCACTGGCACAGACCTCAGTCATTCCATTCACAATGTATCTATCAACCATTGACCGAGTTAATTCGATTTACACCAAAACCTGATTTCATTCCGTTTTACGTTTGCTTTGCTAATTCCCTTTTCAGTGCAATTATTCCCGATTAAATCCCAGGCAGTCTGTCGTTTATCGTTGGCTTATCAATAAACAATACATTTGACCCATTGAAATCTTGTAAATATATATCCAGCAGCATTTCTCTTCTCTAAATCAAACACTCACGCTCTTCAATGGAAATGTTTACTACTAGAAAAGAAAAGACACTCAGAATGCTCCTCCGTCGCTCTAGCCCAGACTGGAAACTTTGTTCCTTGCGCGGACTAGTTCATTTTCAAAATTAGCGACAACGCGCCTGAAATTACGTACATTTAATAATTTGGAAGTTTAGTAGTGTAAAATGCTATTAAATAGAGACTTTGCACGGCGAATATGCAAAAGCGTGCGGATGGAAAATTTGAATGCGCGAGCCATATATTGCGGGCGTGCGACAAAGTTTCTATTATGGGCTCTCAAGCCGACATAGGAAAATGCATGTAAAACCTCTTGAGTTTTGACGCACGTAGTCTGAGCCGTCGCTATAGGGGGCTTTAGGGGTGTAACACCCCCCTTGAAAAAAATTCCGTTGCAAAAACAAGTATCCTAATTATTAGCAGTTTATTCATTGTATTATTAAAACTAGCTGAAGGGGTATTCGTGCAGAAATAATTTAAAATGAAAATGAAAAAAGAAGTACTTTGCCATATAGGGCTGCAAATAAAGGATAGCTCATCCACTTTGTCGGGAAATTGGACCAGGAAACCCCCTTTGAGCATCATAGCTGGCGACGGGCCCGCACGCATTAAATCCACTTTCGCTGCAAACAATTATTTCCCTCTCTGATATAAATTTGTCAAATAGTGATAATTTTTGACGAACTTAATCTTACAGCAAGATTGTTCTTGCGATTGATATCAATTGAATGTGTCTAGTTCAAACTCAGAGAATGCATAAATTGCCTTAACATAAAAAGTCACGTCATTTTCATAAGTGCCTGCGCGCATGAGCATAAAAAGGTGTTGGCAAACTGGACAGATGAAAAAAATCGTTTCATTTGAAAAAACGGTCAGGCTTCATTTGCCAACACAGTGAGTGAGAGAACCTTCACTTGCCGACAGGTTTAATTATTCACCGGAAACACATGGCTAAAAATCTTCGATTTTTAATAAAACGTTGCTCAAAATTGCATTTTGCAGAAGCTCAGCTCAGTTCTTATAAAAAGAAAAGAGCGTAGTTTTAGGCCGAGTTTCACGCTTGGAACAGTAATTAGACAAATCCGACCTGACCGAACGTCGCCAATCAGGAGTAAAACGCGGAGTAGCACATAAGAAACCGTCCTGATTTGAACAGCAAAACAGAAAGACTTCGTTATGAAATATTCCAAATAGAAGTCTCTATTTTTATACTGTATTCGCACGAGAATGGCAACGGGAATTTACTTAATTGTTATAACATAGGTTGAAATTAACGTACTCTAGATTAAAGTTTTACCATGTTATCTTCAAAGCTACAAAATGTCTTGAACAATACTCATTGAAAGATGATCTAGTTAAGCAAAGACACTCGTTCCTTCATTTAGAAAAGTAAATCCTTATTTTCAAATATTTTACATCCTGTAATCTGCATCAGAAAGAGAATTTAAGATTTAATAGGCACGCGCAAATATTAATTGTTTCCTCCATAACAAGTGGGCCTAACCGAATTAATCTTCGATCTGCTGCCTCAAAACGGTATTAACTGTTACGAAAGCCCAGAGGATTTGTAGAATTGCACACCTGGTCTATTTCTTGTGTTCAAGTCTAGGCTGCTGTAATAAGCCAAGGATATTAACTTGCAAAATGGGCAATAAGACACGACGTTAGTTGATGCTAACATAAACGTTTGTGCATAGGCGCCAAAAACCAAAGAGCGTGGGAGCATGATCCCCTTTGGAAATTTTGAGAGGGGGCAAAGCACTTAAAGGCATTTGACATGCATAAGTACAGCGAATCCAAAAATAACTTGATCAGAGCACGCACACAAGAATGTAATTGGAAACTGCTCACGTGAAACCACTGCGCGCTGCTCTAGGATTTCACCAATTTGCAGAAAGGCGGAAACTGTTCACGTGTTTTTCTCTGTGCGAAATTTGATTGGTCAACCGCTCGTAGTCGAGTGGATCTAAGCCACTTTTACCTGCGTCAAATGCCTTTAAGAAATCAAAGGAGGTGCTTTTAGCAATCGAAATTCTCTATCAAAAGATCCGTTTTCATGATTTTATTTATCGCCTCCTGAGATAAAATGCATCCGTGTAACTTTGCGAATAAAATATTAAACCAACCCTTATAACAATACCATTACTAGGTACTCGCCTATGCTTCTATGTACATGCAGCTTATAAACCTCCACTCGGCCACCGAAAACGTCTGTTCAATATCCAGCGCGCAAAGGATTGATGCTGACAAATATACGCTAGGCCTATAACGTCACGATGACCTTCGCTGAGAATACCAGTCACGTGTTCACTAAATTCACATTACCAACATGCAGGGCTGATAGAAGCAACCTTTTGGCGGCGCATAACTTAAAAATGGCTTGTATAAAGCAAACATTTCAAAACATACTTAAATTTTCCGTATGACATTCTTCAGAGTGTAATACGACAGCATATATAACAAAAAGTTTGAGCTCGAGATACAAATTATATTCAAAGCATAAAGAAATTTTCTCCAGATAAAATTGTAAATTATCAAACACAGGTCCTCATTTATAAGTATTTCTGACCAGAATTACATGAGCTTAGAACGAATCTTTATCTGAGTTCCCGGATATCTCAGCTTAGGAAACAATTTCTGTAGCAATAAAAGATATCTAAACCGCAGCGATACAATTTAAACTTTGAGCAAAATAACGCACCTCTGAAATTCCTGGCTTTACTGCTAGAAGAAGGCATTTCCAATGATACCATTTGAATGCAAATAAGGTTTATCCATAAGCATCTGAAAACTGGGCAATTTGGGTTGTTTTCACCAACTTTAAAGAATTGGTTCAGAGCAACGTTGGCCAAGAAACTGAAGTAATAACACTGAGCACCAAAGGGCACAAACCTATAGAGAATTGAACGTGAAACAAAGGAAAATTCCCTCATGAGGACAAAAATCCACCAGTCTTTTAAAAAGAAAGGAATTTTGTTTCCCGAAGGATTTTGTCACTGCCCGGATTGTATCTCGTGAGAATTCATAATACTTACAAAGTCTGCTGACACATGAATTTCTTTATCTTCGTGTAAAAACATTCTTACCTTTGAAATAACCCGCGCTGCATTTCTCACATTACAAACGAGCTCCGGAATAAAGATTTACTCACTGCCTCAGAAAGTCAGTTTTATACCATGCCAGTGTAGGCGAGTGAAGTCCAGGCACCTGGTAGGAAAACCTTGGAAACATTCATTAAGGAACATTCAGCCATCTCTCGTTGGCTGGGTGAGAACTGTCATGAACAAGAACTGCCTAGGAGACGCATTTACATAAAAAAACCAGTGATTTTTTAAATTCAAGTACTCTATAATTAAAAATCTAATTAGATTAATGAATAAACGCCAGAATAACATCGGTCAAGTTCATTTTTGAGCTACTGGAGCACACTGGTTGCTCAAAACAGATGGATTCAACATTCCTTTCTCCAATTTGTTTATTCAACGAATAGGCCGCCAACATTTCCCTTCAAATACCCGTGGCTCGAACATTGTGGTTTTAAGTCTCTCGATATTTCTATGCTGATCTCATGAGGTCACGAGGGTCCTGACCTCTTCACGTGGGAGTCAAATACCATGGCAACTTGAATAAATATTAATAGACTGGATCTTTAAACATATACTTCTTGCTTTATGTCAATATGCTGAAATTGTTACATTTCAAATTCGTGGCGTTGCTGGGGTTCAATGATATCAGTACTTCACAGCTCCTAAAAGGATAGCAAGACACTGACTAAAGAAATATATGCATTTGGCTGTTAGAAATGATCTTATAATGCATTTTGCATTAAGAATTGTACCACAGCCGTCTTAATCAAAGCTAATCGGGTGAACTACAATCGGTATAGAGGGGACATGGTTGTGTCAATACGACGAAATTGATATATGACCCACCAAGGGTCTAGTCAAGGCAAATGCCATATGCGCCTCTTCTTATTCTTAAAAGATAGCTTTGCTATTCAGGTTTTTGGTCTGTTTGCCTCAAAAAGCTCAAAGCATCAAGGACTTAACAAAGTTCCACATGCATGGTCTGACAACATGAACTGTTCCTCTGCACGAAACCCATCGCTTCAACAGCACCTCCAATTCGGTTCTCGCCTTTCACTCTGGAGACTGATGTAGAAGGACAAAAGCAAGAATTTTTGTGTTTCCTTCGATTAAACCGTACCTCTTCCCTTTCAATTCGCTTGCTGATTGGTTTGGTTCTCTTCTCGTCTCGCTGCCGCTGTCATGAACTTGAGGCGGTTTTGAAAAGACTCGTGAAAATTGACTATAGTTCGCTCAGCAATATCTCTTGTTTCATCGCCAACAAACATATATTTCATGTGGTATCTGGTTTACAGTTAAAGGTGAAACATAAAATATAACCGTCTTACCCACTGACATCTTATACCATACGATTTACATAGGACGTTTTTCACAGCATCTTTTGAATTATTGCGTAGTTTTCCAAAGTATTGCATAGCCTTCTGTACTGATCCAAAGTATTGCGTAATATTGTGAAGCTTTCTGCAGAATTGCGTAATTTCCGTAGTATTGCGTAGTTTTCTGTAGTATTTCGTAGTTTTCTGTAGTATTGCGTAGTATCGTGTAGTTTTCTGTAGTATTGCACAGTACTGTGTAAATTTCTGTAGAATTGCGTTACAGTCTGTAGAATTATGTAGTTTTCGTAGTTTTCTGCAGTATTGCGTAATGTTCCGTTGTAAACTACGGAGCTGCTGTGAAATTAAATCGTCCTTGATCATGAAACTCCAAGATTAACCGTTAAAAATTGAGAAACTATATTGAAAACTCATTGTGTGTTTATGAAGAGTTTATGTTCAACTGCTGTATACTATAGCCTTTGCAAAACTTCTAGTCCTGTGATAAATTCTATTCAACGGCGCTTGGGACGGCTTCTAGGATAACATATATTTACCTTATCAAGTCGTACCTTATATTCTTTTTCGTTTTTTCATATCTTATTACGCCCAAAGACGGGCGAATATAAGCAAAAGGGAGACGTGTCTACATGAAAGGATACAGAAAGTCACATATGACATCGACATAGTAGAAGTGTGTTGTTGCTCGACAGACCAGCTCGATAATGAAGTAGATTTCACTGGCGACCTGGAAAGAGTTAAAAGGGATGAGAGAGGAATTAGGGTCAAGTTATCAGAGTAAGTACGTAATAAAAGCAATGTTACAAATCCGATGTGACATGTTAAGTGCAGAGAAGCTCAAAACTGATAGTGCGATCGGATGATGATAGTTCGGATGGTGGAAATGTTGACAGTTGTGATGTTGATGATTAAGAAGATGATGATAAGAATGAGTGATTGACAGTGGTGATTGATCATGACAGTGATTGATTGATCATGACAGTGATTGATTGATCATGATATTTATTGATTGATGATGAAAATGATTGACTGATGAAGATGATTAATCATGATATTAATTGATTGATTGATCATGGCAGTGATTGATGATAATAATGCTTGATTGATGATAATAATGCTTGATTGATGATGATAATGATTGATTGATGATGATAATGATTGACTGATGATGATAATGATTGACTGATTATAATAATGATTGATGGATCACGACTCTACTTGATTATAATAATGCTGTTGACTGAGAAATGATGATAATTTCTAAACTTTCAAAAACAGGAAAGCTTATCAAAATTATCAAATCATAAATATTGCAACAATTTTGATCACGAAACCAAATTATTAAAGAGATAATTTACAGCGCGTTATTATTTATTGAAATTCTTTCAGCGTCGCAACCTCGAAACCATAATTAGTTTTACGTACACAAATTCAATTTGTTGCTCCACATTTCTTACAAAAGGCGCTTAGATCGGACGCCATTAACAAAATAATTCGCTTTTCTGCAAGAGAAACAACCAACTTTTGTGGCAATGTAATACTACCTTTGAGGGTTTCTAGGGAAAACTTTTCCAATCAATAAAAATGTTTACTGCAACTTTAAAACTTTCCGATCAAAATTCTACATCATTCACGTATTAGGAAACAAACAAATTCGTGACCGCTTTCCTTCTTATTTTTGCTTCCTTTGCCTCTAGCTTTTCCACTCAGACTTCACATTTTTCCGACATAAAACTTAGAAACGGCACGCCATTATCTATGTTGTATTATTTCAACGCAAGGCCACGTATTTATGACTACGGCTTTTAAAATACAGGTTGCCAGGCAAGTGATTAGGCATTGCTCAGTATAGTTAGGTGTACTTTTAAGGACTCTTTCTTTACACCAGACTTGCTTCAATTCGGTATACACGCAGCAAGTAAAATTGAGTTCCCGTGTGAACAGAACATCCCGGTGAATTGATTGCTAAAAGAAGCTCTACTCGTGCAAACATGGTCTGCGTTGCAGTGTTGTATTAGAGTAAAGAGATAAAAGCACTCTCACCGTAGACAGACATCGGGTTCTCTCCAGGCCAAACCGCTGGAGGAATGGACCAAAGAGTGCTAATATGTAGAGCAACTGAGCTTCGTTGTTGATCAATGGTTTGAAGTGCACTTGCAGGAACCTGAGAAATGGAAAAAAAACAATGTTGTTATACAGTGTGGCGAGACAACAGTTAATTTCACTAAAGGAAATGAAAGGGAGAGAAAGGTTATAAAAAGGATACTGGGCATAGCAAGAGGTGGGGAAAGAGTGGGGCTGAGACATACAAAGGAGTGGGAAATAAAAAGCCAGTTGAATGTTGAGACCACTTCAGCCCTCTTTTGATTTCACGGTCCCTGACAGCACAAAAAGCAATACGTAGTTGCTAGCTAAAATAACAAATGAAAGGAAAAACTGTATTTGTAGACAAAAGCATATGAAAATCTATGAGCGAGTGTTGAAAGTGGCTCCACTATTGAAAGCTTACATACAGAGAGGCCAACGGCATAGTGGAAACCTCACTTCTTAAAGATTCAACAATTTCGTAATCCACCAAATGTTCAATTCACTCAGAGTCTCTAAAACTCTATAACAGGGCCCTGTGAATTCGATCAGTGCACTACTTGGTTTAGCATTTTACAGCATTTTGCGAATACAAAAGAAAACAAAATCAGTTCGAGCTGGAAGAGCAGTTGTCGTTTTGTCTGAAGTATACCGTAAAAGCTCTATTTAGCCGCCTCTCAATCCCCTTCTGGGACTTAATCTCCCCCCCCCCCTAAAGGGCCTTATAGAGCTTTTACGGTATATGCTAATAAGAACAAAAAGCACCTACGTTGGAAGAAGGACAAACTGGCCATTGCTTGAGTGATGCCAAAATGCATGAAACAATGCAAGCACATAATCAGCATGGTTCTCACAGTGCAATGCCTGATTGGCAGTGAAATCGAAGAAGGAAGGCAGTGACGACATCGTAGTAAAAGTCATTAAGGCCAAGTCTTTCTTGAGAACTTCCGAAACTTTGTTGTTGACGATCATCCAAGATGATTCCTAGAAGAAAAACGGTACAATGGTCATTATGAAATGTTATTGGGAATCATGTCTTTGCGAAGGTTCAGAATTCTGTATTGCAAAGGAATTGCAATGGAGCTACCATTTCTGAAATCACGGAATCAAATTTACAAAACAACGAAAGCGCGTTTAGAATAATCAGTTAGGCAAGGCTATATCATATCTTGGAGATTTCAGACATTTTACATACCGTACGTAAGTCCTCGAATAAGCCCCCATCTCTGAATAAGCCCCCACTCTCGAATAAGCCCCCCCCCCTTGCATAGGTTTATCCTGATACATCTGCATTTTAAGTATACTGTCCATCCTTAATTAGAGAAAGAAAATTTACCCTGGTAATACATTTGGCCGCTGACAAATAAGCCCCCACCTTGGAATAAGCCCCTTTCCCCGGGGGCTTATTTGAGGACTTACAGAAAAGGCTAACGAATAAGGTCTGGGCACAAATTCCTCGTTTCTTCACTTTGCCTTTGAAGTCTGAACATTACAACCACACATTACAGAATATAAGGTTTGAACAGGAATACGAAATAATACCATAGCTTAGATTAGAATGTTACCGGTAAGGAAGTAAGAACCACTGCGATAGCATTGATCCAAGACATGATATTTTTGTGAATTCCAAGCTCTCGGCTTTTCTCACTACTGCAATAAAAAAAATGCAAAAAAACTAGCAACAAGTGACCAGTATGACATTTGATATACGAATCCGAAATTATCAAATATAGATGGCAACGTCTTTGGCTCTCTCTACCTCAGAACATAAGGAATGCTCAATCTAGGAATGAGTATTACGAAAATATTACAAGCTGGAATTGCACCAACTGCACGTGCAAACTTTGTTGGACGTTCGTACCACAACTTGGATTTTTGTAACACTATTGCTCACTATTGTAACACTTGGATTAAATTGCTCCGATTTTTATAATACTACACTTTCAATTCTGTTTTTAAAAGTTAACTATATGCTTGAAATTTTATGTATTTAATCTTGTATGTATTTATTTGAAGTAGTAGTTTTAACAGTTGGCTTGGATTAGCTCATTTCACTGTAAATAGCTATGTAGTGCCAACTTTAAATAAATTGATTATTATTATTATTATCATTATAGTATCAGCAATATGTCAAACTAAATATCAGAAGACACCATTTTTTGGCTATCATTTGGTTTGGTAATAAACAAAGCAAAACCCAAGCTTTAAAAATTGAAAAAAAGAGTTCAAGATTCGAGAGGAACAGTCTAGAGATTGTATATACCTTTTATAGAGAACATTAAACAATGCTTCTCCGACCTGCTCGCCTTTGATTGGCAGGGCCATCAACTCAACACACGTCACGTGGAGGGCATGTGACGTCGGATTGGGAAATTCGTTAAAACGCCAGTCACAGGAAGGAAATGGCGAAGGCATCTTCCCGGAAATCGCTGAACAGTGTCAAGAAAAACGTAAATTTAACAATTCAAAATGTTGCTGCTTTAACGGAATGGAAGAAATTTTGCTTCATTTTTGTTCGATTGAATTGTCAAAAATCACGATAGCCTCGTTGTAAAATCTAGCCTCTTTGCGAATGATTACAAATATTGGGAATTTTTTATAAACCTGTGGGATATGAGAGAAGAAATTTCGTTAAAAACAAACAAAGATGGGGGTTCAGATCGTCCGAGGCAGAGGGCGGGGAGGATTGAACCTCCCAACAGCCTATCATTTCCATAGCAAGGGTTTAAAAGGCGAATAACAAATCCATGTGTCTCAAAATATGAACAAACCAAACCTATCGACTTTGGAACAAAACAAGCCCGACCGGAATAAAATAACAGGCAAGTGTTTCGTGTTTCTCACAAGAAAGGATACTGTCAACAAGGCGACCAATCAGAGTGCAGAAGTATGCGTGATCAGGCGCCCACGTGATATCCTCGGTGCGAGACAGGTATTCAATGAAACCTTGCGATAAAGCCCTAGAAGGAAAGAAAACACACGTTGAAATAAGATAAAACGCTACTATGGCTACAATGGGCAATTCATTTATTTGAGGCCTGATAATCTTTAAAAGAGGAAATCTTTTATATCATCATGAAATACCGTATTCTCTTCTGTATTCCCGCCTCTCTTATAATCCCAGTTTTCTCTAAACATTGGAAAACTAATCCCGCCTCTTCGATAATCCCGTAGGCGGGTTCGACTAAAGAATTAAATAAATGGGTTGCAATTGTGTTTGGAGTCTTGAAGGACATTCAGCGTAGTGTTTTATCGTTCATGTTTGATGATAGCAAGGGTTGATAATGTGTCAGCCAATCAGCGTCAATTTCCAACCAACTTTCGTGCACTTTCTTCACAATTTGCATGCAATGTTGCCGCACAAAAACACAGGAGAACAGGTTGAGCATTCAAGCCTGCTTTCAAAAAAGAGACGTTGAAAAATTAATCCCGCCTCTCTGATAATCCCACCTCTCTAATAATCCCGAATTAACCATCGAGATTATTGACAACAGCAAAGAATAAAGAAAAAGAAGACAGGGAAGCTCTGAAACACAGCAGAATCCAACTAGTAGGAGCCTCGCTTATTAAAAGGTTACCAGCCAACAATGCCATCATCAGCCAACAATGCTTAATATTATGTGTATATGGTCAATGTTCGTACCAGCCTGGGGGATGACAAGGAGTCTGGGCACCAATAATGGCTTCTACGAGCTTCTTCTTGACAGTCGGTCGATCTTTGAGTTTTTGTGCGAAATAGTGCAGAGTGTTATAGAGGTATGTAATTGGACGATCTGAAAAATAAATACAAAACAACATATTAAGTATTACATCTTCTGGATATACACAAATAACATTAAATATCAAAATCATGTTTCGATTCGGAGCCAGAACTTGTAATAGCCTAGAAAATGTCACCCTTAACCCTCTTCCGATACCAAGCATAACTACAGTAGCCTATATTGTAAAGTGGTCTCGCAGCTACAACCTCTGCGCAGCTTTATTCTGCACTCTACCCAGTCTTTTTCTAACGCTATAGCACGTGTGACTAGGAATGGTTTTGGAGTTGGGATTTTAAGTCAAGCATGAGTAAGAGCTTGTAACAAAATTAATCCTGTTCATATCGTCGCAGTTTCTCTTCGGTCTTACCCTTCTCAACCCACACGGTTTAGGGTTTACAACAGCCTAAAATAATTCACAATATCAACAGAAACCACGCTTATTTGTTCTAGACAGGCATCTGCAGCTTCAGATTTTACATTATTGAGTTATCTCTTTACGTTACTTGAGATTTTACATCTCTTTAATCTTTAAAAGTGTTGTGCATTTATTATATATTTTGTTTATATTTTTTAAATGTTCTTTCGCTATGGCATGCATTGAAACTAACATTTCAGTAAATAAGGAATTTCAGAAAGTTTATATTGCAATCATGAATTTTCATCTTTTTCCAAAATCACACGGCATAAGATTATTTTTTGACCTATTGTGACTTAGCTTCTTACCCTTAATACGAAAAAGAATTTAAATGAATAAAAAACTTATAAACGTATGAATTTCATTCCGATTTCATCCCCTCCCCAATCTTTTCAGCTAAAATTGACCTTTTCCCCCTAACGTAGAGAATTATAAGAATAGAAACTGAAGGGTGAAACAAGACAAACCATGAAACTTGTAGAGGGATCCTAGCGTATCGAGAAGACTCTCAAGTGATTTGGAAACTGGCGGTAGTTCTAGGAACCTGTGTATCACAATATCAAATACCTAGGAAGAACAAGATAATGTTTGAAACAAGTCGTGTGAAAGGAATGTCATAGCAATTCACAACTATTGCAATGAATTAATAGCATATCAAATAGCTAAAAGATAAAACAATAAACAACAGTGATTGAAAATGAGAGGTTAAGTAAAACTCTTTAAAGATAAAATAATTCAAAATTAAATAATATGGGAAAATTTGGTTTGATACAGATTTTTGAAAAGGAAGGCTTATATTTGGAAATTGGAGGATAAAAATTCTAGCACTGAAATAATTTGGGCTTGAGCTCTTCCAGCATTACAAAACTGATTAAAAGGATGGGGAGTGCCGTACAGACGGAGATTCTCGAATAGGAACAGTCCTACAGCCAAATTCTTGCCAATTTAGGAATGAATTGGGGTTGCCCCGGAAATGTTGGATGTAATACATAGATATTCAAAGTGACGTACCGGTAAGAATCTGAGACAGACATTACCAAAGTACATGGGCAGGTATGAAGTTTGCGGTGGCTTGATATTGTTTGCTTCAAACAGGCCTTCGAAGTAGAGTTTCTCTGGGTATTGCTGAAACAGAAAGGGAAATCAAAATTATACAAGAGTGGTATATGCGTCCACAAGAGCAGCCATCATGAGTTCTTAACATAAAGGTAACTGGATACAATATTTGAAAAAAGCTTGATGGTTTATCAATATCGTTAACTACTTTCTTGTTTTCCTCTTTTTACGAAGATCCTCTGAGCCAGAGATGCACTGCAATGTTTAATCACATCAATAAACACGGTTGTCAACAGCAATACCCATCTCCCCTCGAAATAATGTTGGTTACATGCCAGTATGATTCTGGCTACGTAGGACGCACCACCCAAAGATTGGAGGATAGAATAAAACAACATGTTTCGCCTAGTATTAGAAACAAAACTCGTCTCCAAAGAGAACAGCCACCTCGGTGTTGCAAATCTAAAATTACAACTAAAACCTATGATTCTGCTATCGGGCAGCATTTACTGGAAAACCCAGATTGTGCAAAAAACTATAATGGCGACATGTTTCGGATTATTGGTAAAGCCCGATCGTCTTTCCACCTAGCAGTTTTGGATTCTATCTACATAAGCACGAAAAAACCACTACTGTGTAGACAAAAGGAGTTCGTTTTCACCTTAGGACTCCATTGGTAACATTCTCAATAGGCAAGCGGCACTGATTGGTCAACCTCAACAGTCACGTGCTCGTGTTTCCGAAAGGCCTATTTCGATCCACAACTGGGTATATATATTTCTTAGCGTAGAGTTTTCGATCTATGTTCTGACGTTTTAAACTCTGAAGAGTGTCAGACGAAAAGCTTTAGTTTACTAAATGTTTGCTTTTTTTAAAGCCATTTTCAATGTTGGTTTCGTGCAAAATGACAGATGGTACAACGTGCTTTCTTTATGTATCCTGTTTGATATTCACCTAAAATATCAACATTGTTGTGAAGGAAAGGGGTGGGGAAGTAGTGGCAAATGGTAGTATTTGGGCAAAGAAATAAAACAGAAAAAAGGCAAGATGTAAGCCATTTGGCGTTCCAAGTAATTATGGCGAGCATTGTAGCTTCTAATAACCTCATAATAACGACAAATAAATTGTCTGTTAATGCGCCTTGCCATTTGAAAAATTAGGAAGATAAGTATCCAGCCTTCACGCAGAATATGTAGTGTTGTGTGTCAGAAACGAGGTTGAGCTATTGGTTGGCATGTTGCTATAACAACAGTTAACTCACCAAGTGATAAGCCACGTGTTTTTTCAGCCAGTCATTCTGTCGCCAATGATCGGGAGAATTCTGAAACAAACATAAAAGAAACATGACAATTTTTTAAAAAACGAAACACAGAAAAATCTTCTAAGAAGACACGGGCTAGTGATCTATTTTTGTGACAGTAATCCGATAAGTTCTTGAGAAGACCTTCAGAATATTTATAAACGGGGGAGTATGTCAGGTTACTTGAGTTTGTTTTGCTTTGATTTTACGGGGGCGTTAATCAAGGTAATTGAACCTCTATTTGCGTATTCAAATCAAATAGCAGCCAATGTCCCTTTGAGCTGTTCTATATCTTACCTAGTGTTTTGGTGTGTTTAACAAATTGTATAATAGAAACATTATAAAAAGCAACACTGGAAAAAGTAGGAGAAAGAACTATATACCGTGTTGGATTGGGCTTGTCCTAGGCTACTTGTCCAACGTGCGACATAGAATACCGAAGTGATGACGTCACTTTATTACTTTATGAACCGGGCCAGAATAACAGTAAACCGTTAGCAAACTTCAAACCTTCCATTGGCCATATCTCGCTCAGTTTTGAACATATCTAACTTATTTTGCATATTGAGAGGTATTTTATGCCGTTCTTTCAGATTATGTGGCCAAATTTTAGAAATTCTAAAAATATATTTTTGATGACGTCACACTTCGGTACACTATTGGCAACGCATAAATTATACGCCCATTTTGTAGATTAAGAATTATCGTTACGCTTTTAAGAATAGATGGCGGAGAATCGCTGACGCAATATGCAGGATATATTCCTAAAATAATCGTGATATAAAGCATGTAAACTGCAAATAGTCCTGCTTGGTTATCACGGCTTGACAATATGCAACAGAAACGTGCCAGTAACATAAACTTAACAACATACCGTGAGTCCACGAATTAGCCCCCCCCCCTGGGGACCATTTCAGGAGGGAGGCTTCTTAGAGAATAGGGGGATAATAAAAATCATCTTTAAGTTGCCATACAAATGGGTCGCTTCGTAGCCTTTTCATAATATTCAAACTGTAATTTTACTAAATAACCCTCTCTAAGATATCGAACCATAAAATTCTAACTTTCTTCAGTTATTTCCTCAGCTTCTGAATGTATTATTAACAAAGGACTTGAATAATGTAGTCTTCTATTGCATCTCGAGAGGGGTATCTATACTGGGGGAGGGGGGAAGGGGCAAAGATATCTTGGTGTTTGGCAAATGCACAAATGTTACCGCTTTAATAAGTTATTTACTTTTTAATAAGTTGAAAGATGTTGTAAAGAATTTGCTCACCTCTCTAACAAATGCATTGACACGTGTTTTGAAGGATGGAGTGAGCAGAAGAAGCTGGATGATAAAGAAGCAGACTTGGGCCTCGTTGCCTTCATGGTGACGTAGGGCCTTTAAATAGAAAAGGAACATAAATAAACAAAAGTCTTAATCTAGCGGATCTATTTCGCACAAAACAAAGAAAACGTTTTCAATAAAGCTTTGAAACTAACAAATAGGAAACTGTGAACAAGTATGATGCAAATAACCTGATACACTAGAATGAAACACTTTTTCTAAAAAAATTCATACATTTTATAGATTTGTGCATTACACATTATGCAAAATATAAAACAATAAAATACAAAGAAAATAAAACAAAAATACAATAGAATCAAATATAACATAATATTAAACAATATTGCACCAAATTATATAATGTACTAATGTGTAATGTAATGTAAAATAACATTTCAATATAAAATAACATACCAATGTAATATAATTAAAAATAATACATCAATATAATACACTATATCAATGTGATATACTATACAAAACAAAATATATCAATACAATATAACATGTCAATATAAAATAGTATATCGATATAATCTCACCATGCTAAGCACTAATCGATCCAATGGGAAAATGTTATACTTCCAAACCATATCATTCAAGTGTTGAATGCACTTAAAAAGACAACAAACAAAGCCAGTCACCAAAAGTGCATAATAACATAAGGTAAATGATGAATTACTTTACCGAAAGGCAGGGGTGTATACAACAATACATAGGCGTAATTTGGCTGTAATTGCAAATCACAAAACGATAGCCTCATGTCTTACAGGACTGTTGAAGAATGCAAGGGTAATACACCACAAGGGCACTCGACTATACATAAAAAACAACGTGTCACAGGCAAAAGGAACGAGAAAGTAACTTATTTGCGCAAAGGGATATCCTTTTATACTACACATTGCGGTTTACAATGAATGTTTACAATGAAAAATCACAATTTAGAATCACTTGATGCACGAACGGCGAAAATTACAAGGAGAAGTATCAAATGATTAGCGTTGTTCAGATCAATCGGTGTTTGCAATCAATTAGCATTTTGTAACTGAAATGACTTACGATGTTCACTTCCTCTCCTGCCACTGCGGTGGAGACTTCATAGACTAAAAAGTCAGCGAAAACTCTAATATGCGTAGACAAAGCTCGCGCGCCGATGTCCATAAGCACTCTGCAATCAAAAGCAATCGTAAAGAATCATACGGTAACCATAGACAATCGTATGGAATCATACGGTAATCATAGACAATCGTATCGGTTATCACATGCATACATATGCAATCATACATCAAGTTTCACTCATACTGGGTCAAAACTGTTCTTTCCCGGCAAACCATTTTAATGACTCTAAAATGATGTGCATCCCCAGAATAGTTTTTTAAAAGATCTCTGGAAAATATATTCTCAAGAAGCAGAGTCTGGCGTCTGACGCTAATAAAAGTGGATTAATTCACTTTTAAAATATAACACTCAATAAAATATTTTATTCAGGAACAATCCCTTGCTCGGTTATAGTTCGAAATCTTTTGTACAGGGGAGAGACGATTGGCAGTAAAGACTGATTGCTACATGAAGAAAAGAAGTTTATGCCCAATAGAGTTGATGTCAAAAACTCAAAGCGACCTACAGTATCATGACACATTTATTAAATGGTTTAGCAAGACAGACTGTATTGGTAAATTTTCAAAACAGCAGCAAGAGGGCGGTCAAAATGGCCTTGAAATGGAAAAAGCTACTAATACAGGAAAAATTAGCAACGAAGTGCGCAATCGAATTGATAATGAGTTTTGCCCAAGGAAATTCGAGCATTCGCCTTTTTGTGAGAGAATTCAACTTCCATTGTTTTCATAAAAAAGGGAATCAATATTGCTAAAACTAATTTACTAGATTTTATGGAGATGGAATGATATAGAGCGGACGGGAAAATAGTTATCTCTAACTTACCTGTGGCAAAGAGTGGGTATTGTGTCGGTATCAAAAAGTATCTTCCATAAGACGCTAAACAAAGATGATAAAAATCTTTCAAAGGCTTAGAAAAAAGCAAACATTTAGTAAACTAAAGCTTTTCGTCTGACACTGTTCAGAGTTTAAAACGTCAGAACATAGACCGAAAACTCTACGCTAGGAAAAATATATACCCAGTTGTTGATCGAAATAGGCCAATCAGAAACACGAGCACATGACTGTAAAGGTTGACCAATCAGTGCCGCTTGCCTAAAATCTTTAATATCTTATCAAAGTTTGGAAAAACTGATAAAACAACAGTTATATCACAAAAATTTCTATAAAAATGATAAAATTCTTCAGTGATAAGTTTTATAAAAGAATTTTTACAATATTTTTCCAAAACTTTTCAAGCAACACCAAACACGATTTGCGATGTATGTTGCTCAAGTGATGTTTTCTTGGTATTCTTTAAGCACAGGTTAAGGTTTAAATATATGTTATGTAAATCGAAGGATGAGAATATTATACTAAAAGCTCTTGGAAGATTTGGCTAACTGGCCACTGGCAAGAAGCACAACTATTTGGAAAGACGCAAAATTAATAGAAAATTGCAATCGAAAATACGTTGCATCAAAACATAATTATGGAAGAGAGATGAAGCTAAGCTCGAAATATTTTTAAGATTCTTGGCAATGGCGTGCCTGGTGCTTACCACAAGAATACATCCGATGCGTTTGACCCAGCGAAGTAATTCACAATGTCCTTCTCGTTTGTCATTTCTACGAAGAGAAATTTCGAGACAAAAGTTATAATAAGATGGACAACGGCAAAGGAAGCAGACATTTTAAAAATGGCTTTCAAAAAACAAACAATCTGAATCATACTTAAGCTTTCCGTCTGACACTCTTCAGAACATATGCTGTTTGAGGCATACAGTTTGAAATTTCAACCAAAAAGCTGTACGTGAAATTATCAATGGCTTGTTCGAAATAGGAGCGTTCAAGGCCATGGCATTCACATGACAGAGAGGTTGTTGGTGGATGAAATGAAAAAGAGGCAATGCTTGTGATGAACACATTAAATTCTTTATAAGAAACATCTTGGCATGCAATTTTTTTTCCAAAATTGCCAAAAAATTAACATCAACGTTTTCAGACAAATATGTGCATTAATGTACTTTGGTTGCAACTTATAATTTTCAAGAACTCTACGACAGAACGATAATTTTCATTAAGTCCAATTTCAGTTAATTTGAAAAACAGGCTTCAACCGGTAAAAGCTTTGAGAAAATTTAGTCACTTAATTAAGTCAGAAATTGTCTCGGTGAAACTAATTGACAGAAAAAACCAAATTAGCAGATGCAGTTTAATAGAAATGTCAATTCGATTAAACTAACAATTATTTTTCACCTTTGAAAAGTTTATATTTCTCTTCTACTCTTCTTCTGAGATCGATCTTTCGTTCGCATTCGCAGATGTTTGTTGAGTAAAATTTTTGGAAAACTTTGGGAAAGCATAAAAGTGTGTGTTTGGCCCATCTAGGAATGAAAAAATATGGGAACTGTAATATCATAATGAAAGAAAAAGGTATATTATCTGAAAAGTCGTATGCAAAGCTTGTCCATAGTATTTTCATGGATTTTATTTTTGTAGTTTTCCAAAATCACTGACAACTGTTGAATGTTATGGCATTAAAGAAGAAATCAGTTCACACAAACGAGAGTTCGGTAGGTCAACAATATATGACTTGTTGAAAAAAGATTTAAATGTCATACTTGTGAGGAGTCACTCCTATCGCAGCTTTCAAAACATCTTCACACCAGCTAAGTGGCAATGTTTCTGAACCTTGAAGAAATATCTTGCTTTATTGAACTGTCAAGTTGCTTTAAGAATATATTTAAACGAACAAAAATGTTCCATGAAATGAGCTTAGAAATACGGATTTGCCTTACGGATTTGTAATGACGTGAAAGTCAACGAGAATATAGTGAAGATGAAAGGAAGGGAATCTTAAAAAGACAGCCCTTTATAAATATCTTGGCTTAATGAGATTTTCATAACTTTTACCAACATATTAAGACATTTACGGGCTTCGTCCTTCGAGGTCTAATTGGGAAAGAAATTGAACTAAAATTTAGACTCTGTGCTTGTATACACAAGTACAAAATCAGGTAAAACCAAGTATCTTCGCATGGTTTTGTGGGTGCGGCTTGTAATTGAGGGCGGCTTATAAATATGAGCGTCTTTAAATTGAATACAATATTGATGACATAATCATGATTATAATGATGAAAAGAACCATACCTGTCACGTGAACAGCACGTGCCATCGTTAGAATCAAAACACGGTTAAGTTCTTCATAGTCCTTTGAGAGAATCTAAATTGACAAAAAATATGAATTTCAATGTCACGCCCGGTATTGGCAAAATGCAATTTGTTTGAAGCAGAGCGCGCGGAATATCAGTTGAATAAAACAGACAACTAACTCAAAAACGATACATTAGAAGCCCACATGAAAGAACCTGGTTTTTTAAGAACCTTAGACTGAAATTTATATATAAACATAAAGGATTTTTAGACTTTTATCCTTATACCCTTTTCATACTTGCAAATTAAACCAGCTTAGAATAAATCAGGTTATGGTATGTTCCATTCTAATTAGGGAACCCAACAAGAAAAATGAATTTGATTGGTTGAAACTCAACATGAAAACTATAGCTGATTTAACTGTGTCAGTGACAATTCTTGCGGTGTAAAATATTGTTAAAGTGTACAAGGCCTGTGCGTATATATACGAACCTGGACAAGAACCTTACAGGCAGGATTTTGGTTTGTTGTATGCAAAGATCTTTGACGCACAACAGAGATACTTACGCAAACTTTTGGCATGCTTCTTTGGCAAAATCCCCTCAGTATGTATGATGTAGGCATTTGAGTTAACCCCATTTATATAACGGGATTTAGACACAATTTATACTGTATCATTTTCAATTGAAAGTTTGCAGAATGCTGCCATTTTGGCACTTCTTTAAACTTAAACGTTTCTGTAGTAGGTATCAAATGGGAAAATTTTGAAAACGGCAAGATTTAAAAACTGCATGAGCCTTTTCACTCTTAAAATTGTTTCACTTTCAAAATTTCATTAGAGATTGAAATAGAGGCAAATTATTCCTTTGTCACTCTTTGCATCTTGGGCGATATCGTTCTACTTTGAAGTGCTTACACTACAACATTTTATGCATTTTTCCTGCGGCAGAGTACGGACCGCTAACCTCTAATCTAATTGAAGAGTCCAAGAGAGAAAACGAACTTTTTCTGTCTACACAAATCGGAGTCCAATCAAATGCGTCCCTCTTCCTCTCAAGTTACTTTCGATCCACACCTGGATTTAAATTTTCAGCTTACTTTTCGTCGTTATCCGACGTTTATTCTCTGAGGAGCGTCGATCGAGAAGTGCTTTGGTATGCTATGTTTCCGGTATTTTCAATTTTTCCGGTACCAAAAATTTATCAAATAAACACTATCGAGAAATAAATAAACAAACCAACACATGCATCGCGAAGTGAACCGGAAAGTAAACTAAAAATACCTGTTTTGGGTCCTGAGATATTCTTGGGCTGGAAAACTGCGGTTGAACGTCGGAACTCTCAAAGCCAGTTATCAATCGCAATGCTGTGCTCTGAAAACTAAACAAAACACGCATACATGAAGTAATTCATCATTACGACATGTAATAATGTTCGTCTATTAGGAAAAGTTATTTGCAAAACATTTCAGAACAAATATTAAAACTTGTGGCCAAATATTGTCTATCTATAAGTATTTACTTCAAGACGAAGAAAGTTAAGTGTGTGATTGCAGGCAAAAATTTTACTCTAATTTATTTTCAGGGTCAAATCTTTTACAAAAAAGGATTCAGCGAAACGGATGTTTTAGGCCCTTTGGAAATCAGCCCTGGTTGTATAAGGGTTTCCTCTTCTCAATTATATGAAATCTAATCTCATCGGCATACCCACGAAAAACATCGTTAAAAAGGGTTTAACTCAATCATACACGGTATAAGAAGTGGGTGCCATATTGACTGTTCAAAGTAGACTTTGCACAACAATTTCAATCACAAATAATTTATCATAGAGCTTTCTCAATGGACTTGAGAAAATAGTCAGCGACAAAAATTCCCAACTGAAATAACAAGTAGATGATCTGTTTTAGATTAAATGATTTTGGATCTGCTAATTTTCTTTATATAGTCTATGCCCCTTTTCTTCTTTCTTCCAAGAAGTAATAAAATTTTCAGTTAAGAGACTTCCGCTCCTATGTTATAAAACCTACACAGTGGAACACCAGCAAAGCATAGAAACGAAAACTTAAGGATCTACTTCTTGCCTTAAGTTACTTTTTCTTCAAGCTAGGCTTACATACAATCCAAGAGAATTAAGGCGTACCATAGATGAAGTTGATGGTTATTTGTGAATGGTACCGTGGCCAATGTATGCAGATGAGACAGCAATGTGGCACGATAATGAGGCTGTATGTGATGCAACCTGTAGCTGAACATCTCCAGTAGCGTGTGCAGTATCCCCCAAGCCTTTGACTTAAAGACAGCCGGCAGCAGTTGGCCTAAAACAAACAGAAAAATAGTGAGGACGGTGTCAAATGAAAACACAGAGAAAGATTGTGCAAGCTCTAAAATGGCTAAAACACCAGTAACATGCAAAGACAGCCACTGGTTCATGCAAAAAGAAGTAATTTCGCAAGGTATTAAGGGCCTTTTAACCAATGAAATTGACTCAATAAATACATAAGACAAAGGAAGCCTACTAATATAATGTAAAAAGAACTGGGATGCACGCTATTTTGTGTATAGAACAGGACAGTTCAACGTTTCAACGGACTGTCTATACGGCATCGAGAACTTTATAACAGATCTTTTAACAGAAAATTTTCATTTCATAACTCGAGATGCAGATACAATAGGAAAACATAATCAAAATTCAAAAGTGACAGTCACACACCGAATACACCATCAAGTCATTTACATTTACATTCCTCCCTTTCCCTAAGGCTTCACTATAGGCACTTGAGCTTTTAGAATGAGAATTACCAACGAAACAAAAGTTTTATGTTCATTGATGTCTAGACTATCACAAAGGTGTCAGCGGCAAGAGAAAACGTAATTGAAGAGCAAGACTAAGAATTCTTACTTATAAATCCTTTTATTCCAAGAAGCTCAATTTCCATGTAAACAAGCAGTCTGCTATATGTTTCAACCAAGGCAGGAGCTAGTGCTGTACCCGATTGTGCATTTGCCAGCTTTATTACTCTATTTACAATGCTTTGAATCAAGCTGCAAAACAATGAAACGAAGTCAAAACAAAGGTAACACGGGTTTTGTGCTGTTAACATGGGTAGATCATCAGTTCAACCAAAGCAAACTGATTGGTCGCAGAGTTGGTCACCAACACTTTTTTGAAGCCTCTACTCTTGTAAATTCTGCTTGTGTCAACGGGGGATGTTTTGACATTTTAAGGTTAACCGAGACGCAGCCTGTTACTAAATGTAGATGTACTTCAAACTATGGTATGAGAAACGAAACTAATAACACAATTCAAACAATTCTATCCTTGAAATATATCTGCTTAGTTACGGGGTTTTGTAGCAACTTACCCGTGTTACATGTCAGAAAACAAGAACATGGGTGTTTGCGTGTAAGCAAAAAAAGGAAACACGATCACCACCGCGAAATAATCTCTTCTTATAGGCATAGCTAAAGAAATGCTGCAAGTACCACTTTATAGCAAAGCAAGCTCGTAATTTCCTTTGGGGAAGTGTTTTACCCACCCCGTTCAATCCAGACTCAAATTGGGGAGCTATTTAACAATGCAGCGAAATCTCCACAAAAGGACACTCCGAAGAAAAGGAACTAGGCCCAATTTTTCTTTTCTGTAGTGAAAGCCTTGTAAAGTTAACCGCTTGCTGAAGGAAGGCTCCTTGCGATGTAAAGTCTCTAGGTGTAAATACAACACGTGTAAAATAAATGGATTGTTGACTGTTAATTATAGGGCAGTAACAGCCCTTTGCATACCTCATTTTGGCATGAACTGTAAGCGAATCCAACATTTCCATTGGACAAGGAGCGATAGGACCGGCTGCTTGAACTTCGCCCGGTAGAGTCACCGTTGATTGGTCGTTTCCATAGCAAGTGTCGACGAGTATGCCCAACGGATGCGAGAAGTTGTCAGCATTTGTGCTGTCTGCATGAGGAAAGGAAAACACAGTTAGCGAGGGAAAAAACAAAAAACCCATAAGTAGAATTACAGTATAAAAATGCCGAGGCAGCAAGGATTTACTGTGCGACAACGACAATCACTGAGAAAGAGGAAAATAAATAAAAATAATGGCAAGGATGACTTTGAGGACTATGATGATCACGATAACATACAACAGGAAGCTGACAAATAAAATTAAGAATGGTGAAACAACTACAACGAGGAAGATGACAACGATGACGTCGACAGTGACGTCATTAATTCAATCACTTACATGCATTACAAAGTATGACGATTCTATAATCCTGCAGCTCGGACGGTCTGCTCGCTAAACATTCTTTAAGAAAACTAAAAATCAAGAAGAGGATCAACATATTAGTTGAGCGATTTCCACATTCAGTGACTAACATTTTTTCAAGGAATAAAACAACAGTTCACAAGGTGCTAAAGAGCTTCTGCAACACATATAACGTTTGAGTAAGATACTGGCTTTATTTCATCCAACTCTGCAAGCTTACATAATTTCCCTACATTGCTATTTATTTCACATCATTCTAAATCACATTCTTAATATCTCCGACAACTTTTACATATAATTGGTTGATTATGAACACTGAATACAAATATTACGTCAGCTGATTCTGGAGAAGCCTTGGCGCAGTTCGTATAATGTTCTGGTTCTCGATTTGGGCCTATAAACAAAGAAAATAAAAAATGATTAAGAAGATATATGAAACGTTGCTACTCCCCAGTAAGCCACGTTTGGAATCAAGCCCGACACAATCGTTGCCTTTAAAGGGGCAGCAAGACTAGAAGCTGCAAGTATGGCTCAGTGTTAAGAGTCGCTGACTTCAGATACAAGAGGTCATAGCACGTTTTTTTGACATGGATCAAACTTTCTCTCAGAGTGGGGAGAGTCGCCAGCTCACATCATGGTCACATCAAGAGGAAGGACCAGGAAACTGCTCGATAAGCATAGCTTTTCAGTGTCCTAACACTATTTTCGGGAGCTAGGTAGCAAATAATACAATAGGCTAGAAGCCCTCTGATACATATTTGAATTATATCCTACAACTTATTAGCTGCAAACAAAATTACTTTTTGAACATCAATATATTTCAAGATGGCATGAAAAACGGAATATTAATGGATAGCAATGTTTTTCCGCGTGTTTGTTGTTGAAATTTTGTGAAAGTATGAAAGACAGAACTTCAGTAAATATAAATGACTCCTCGAGCAAATGTGAAGCCAATGATATATTTAAAAATCCTAAATCTCAATACAGGCTATCTAACAGACCACCAACGACTAACCATTGCAGATGCGCTTGATCTGGAGCAAAACAAAACGCTTACCTTCTTCGACAAATGCACCCAGATGCAAGCGACAGCAAGTGCTGCAGTTGATTCTGGCTTTGTGACGTCAGGTACTGGCAGAGGCTATGTTGGCGAATGAAATAACCTTATTTTCTTAAGAAGATATACAGAAAACTACATCTAATTAAGTCAATGAATAATCTCACTCGTCAAAGTAACATTTAGGCCCAGCCTTGCTCTAAATTCACTTATGAGATTACTTACTTGTAGGTCAAAGCTTTCTAGATGAAATTTTCCTATTACGAATAAAGGTTTCGGTCCCAATCGAACTATTATAAGAAATATATCATCGCGATTTATCTATCTATCTATCCCATTGCCTTCCTAATGTTTTGAAGATCTAGGGGTTTGGAAACAAGAAATTAGCTGTATAGCGTAACATTATTAGAAAATGTATTACAGAAAAAATAGTAATGACAGATTTTAAGTAGAATGAGAAATACCTCATCATCTGGATACAGAGTTTCGACGAGTTTTATCACCGGCATGAAATCACTTGACTAGAACAAAGCAATGTATAGGTCACAAAATATGTACAAATGAATGAGTAGAAATTGTTAAAACTTGATTGATTGGAAAGCAAGGGAGAGACCAAGATGCGCCTGTCCGTCCGGTTGCGGGGAGAACCGAGGGATATGATATGTCTCTATATATCCAAAGTTAATCCGGGACATGAGCTGGTTCTCAACAGCAATGATGGAACTGAAAGCTTCAACGGCTTCTAGTCATTCGATTTTCCAATTCAGTGACAATCAAGAGCAGTAGACGCAAACACCTGTTACCGACACAAAGGCAAAGCTCATTTTCTTAACATTACAGGAAACATTAAAAATATTCGACTTACCGGACTCTTTTGAATGCTTCCGGATATGAACTGAAGTAGAACCCACATGAGCTGGTCTCTTCCCATATACAAGCTTCTTTCAGATAACTGTGGAGGGCGAACTTTTATTAACTATAGCAGCAATGCATAACGTGATTTCGAAACATCAAAAGTTGTTAGTTCATCAGTATTACGTATATTGAATAAATAAGGATCAGCTCCCCCCCCCTTGACCCCCCCCCCTTGGACTAGAAGGCAAACCGGGAAAGGGTAAGGGGGCTTCACCATTAGAAGAACGCTTTTTCAAGACAACAAAATTTTTCTCTCTAAAAAAAGTAGGCTTGTTAGTTTGAAACGTCAGAGTTATCTTCCAGAAGAATTCCAGTCTTTATTGCCAAAATTAGAAAGATCGAATTTGAAATTTTTCACACTTTTAAGCTACATGTTACTAACTCTATGCAACAAAAACAACATATTTACGTTTTTGACAAAAACATAGAACATAATCTTGCAGACCTTGTTAATAGCAATTTTCTGTTCCAAATTCGGTGGATAGTAATAGCATATGCAGTTTATTGATTTTATCGAGTTTCTCGAGCCACCGGAACACCCTCTGCCATTAGCAAAGTTTGCTTTAAATTAAATGTCATTACACTTTACATTGTGGGTTCTATGTTCAATTTCTTAAGGCGTTATTGCGTACTGAAATATAATTTTCAAGTAAGCTTAAGAAGCAAGCTTAAGGCTGTTGTCATACAAATAAGCGATATATGTTTGTGAGTATGATAAATGTCTAAACATATATATTTCATTTTCCTCACTTTTTCGTGTAGCAGATTCACCATGTGTGGAAAGCTTGCGAATTGAAACAGGACGAAAAAAATCAGCTGACTTGAGAGATGTTGCCATAACAACTGATTTGATTTATCACCGTCTGCCTCGTTTTCAGATCTCTCCATTGCAACAACTATCAAACCAGCCAGGAGTTCCTCTAAAGCCTGACACCGTTCTTTTCGCTAAAGAGAGACATTGGGAAAAGGGTAATTTTACTCATATTGTACTCGAGTATTTACTAACTAATAATTTGTAATTACCTATTACTAATATTTTGTCTCTACAATGCTGAAGTGTGTAAGCTTTTTGTGTGTTTGCAGAGGTCTGCATGCCATGTCAATTTCGCCCCTTCTGACGTCACTGTGACGTAGGTGACATAATCGAGATATCCATGCATCTGTGATACATTAACCTCATCAAACTCTGCCAGCATATCTTTCGCAATTAAAGAAAATCGACAAAGAGAAAGATAGTGCTCTGTGATAATGAACACATTACAGGTTAGGGGCACAACAAGTGAGAAAACCACTCTAATATTCAAGGGAAATGCCACTCTTCTAAGCACTTAGTAGATAGACGAACAAAAAGTTGACTTCCATCAAAATATTTACTTTAAATTTGTTTGTGCTTCAGCGCTGGTGGGATAAATGCCCTCGATATGTTGATCATTTCATTTCCAGTGATTCCAGTCATAATTTCATGTCAAAGCTTACTAACAAACAAGTGAAACTCCATGGAGCAAAATCATCGAAAAACGTCAACTAAGATGCTAAGGACATGCACTTCTTTTACCAGAACAGACCCTTGCAAAGCTAGCCTTAGCATACGCGGATGAAGTACCAAACCAAGAGGCTGTCCAAAACAAACGTGGCTCTCAAAGATAAAATCAAACCTATGGGACATATATATAATTGAACTGAAATAAGTTTGTGAGCCAGCAAAAGATAGACTTGCCTGGCAAAAACATCTAACTAGAAACCATGTGTTACAATAAGAAAACTTATTTATAAAAAAGTGTTTTAAAGTAATAAAGGCTTGGAATGTCTTACGTCAAATGTCTTATCGTTACGTGAGGCTGCAAATTCCCCCTTTGCCACTTTCGCTGGAAACAGGAGACCCAGAAGGGCGCTTACATGGGATCATTTATATTTATTAATGAAAATACTTACCTGTTTATTTAGCCCTAGCATGTTGCAGACGAGGTCTCTTGAATACGGTTGAGCCAGCGTGTATTGGACAAGGTCCCTTTGCGGCTCGACAAGATCCTAAGGGAAGAGGTACAGCTTTTAGCGATCATAGAAATACGAGATGGCATTCAGCAATGCTTGAAGTTAAAATGCCTGACAAAATACTCTGTATTCCACACTTTACCCGTATAAATGTCCCATCGCAACCCCTAAACAAGTTGCTTTATATGGTTCTCCAAGCATATAAGATTTGTACGAGATGGTAATGGTTGCTTATATGAGATAGCTATGTGGCAAACTTCACTTGTCATTAGAAGAGGGGAGCAGGGAAGGAGTCGTGGCAGTAGCGGTGCCAGCCAGTACAGAATGGGAGCGTAATATGCGTAACCAAAGAGACCACGTCCTTTTTACTTCTTTTCAGTACTTTAAACCAGGTGTATTTTATTAGGCAAATCTTAAGAATATATGACCTACCCCCACCTAATGCATTTTCATCAAATTTTAGAAGAATTATGTGGACCAGGTTTTGACAAAAGTGAGAGGGGGGGGGGGTATTTATCCAAAAACTTGGCGCCGCTACTGGATTTTTGTATCTGCAATGGGATACCGAAAGCTAATTATTTTCCAAAAAAGCACATTAGCTAGAAGGGTTCCTAAGGCCTTCACATATGGCTAGAACAAACGAGCTTTTCAAAGCTATCCAATAGTAATGATGAGGTGACATAGATAAATAGGCTATTGGTAGATAGTACACCAGAAAAACAAGATAGCATTGATATCTTGACTGATAACAAAATAGCAAACTAGCATTGATACCTTGCTGTAAGGCAAAGGACCCTTCAAGGCGAATTTGAGAGTTGATGGTTCTAGTTTCCAGGCCGTTGCTGAAGCGCTTGAATGACCAACGATCGGAAGCAGTGACGGTCGACCTGAAGCATTGGAAACAAAGTACAAAATGCAACTAAAACATGCTTGAAGGAGGACAGTGAACTGCAATTGCACTCTAGACCTTCTAATTAAGTTTCAGCTTTAATAAAGACCTCTAACAAAGGTATAACAACAAATGTGTTGCATATTGTATAAGGCAAGTATACAAAATATAAAATATATAAAGATTAATATATATTGGAAAAGAAATATAAACAGTTTGATATCCGTTATATAAAACACCTTTGTCTCTAGCATCTAGCACGATCTTTCATTCCCCCTTCGTTTTCATGAATGGCGTTTCTATGTTAAAAACTGTTTGTTATCTCGAATGCTCACTTGGATGCATCTCAAACAAATTTTCCGTTGACCGTCAGTATTCGAGACATTATATGTAATATGGATTCAAAGTTCTCCGAAAGAAATCGGCAGTTCAAGAAACATAAGTGTGAATTGTTCTATTATGCGTGTCAACGATGTTCAAAAACTTAAGTTCTATTTAAGAAACGCTTATCAAATAAGTTCTCCGATATAGGTCTTAAAGCTTTCACCAATACCTTCCTGTTTGCTACAACTCAGGCCAATCTTATTATCCCAAAGATGTTTGTAACAAGGATTTGGCAGGTGCTGTAACGTATTAAATGTAACATATATGAAAAGCTGGCGTCTACCGAGGAACTAACAAAGAGGGAGTGTTGTCAAAAGGGGGCGCCGTAACGTTTTAATATTTCTGTAGCAGTTGAGCTTGCAAAGTATGGCACTTAAGTATGAATTTTGAACTAGAACCGCGTAAAAAGCAGCATATAACACATAAGCGACCACAACCTTAAATAGTGAGACACGCCCATTTATGTCGGCAAAAATCATTTCTGTGCCCCTCCGAAAAAATCTTTTAGGCTTCGTCCTTGCTTACAAAGAATTAACTTAAATGAGAACATTCTACATTTAATGGCAATGGCCGAGCTTGTAAAGAAACCCATGTTCAAAATAAGATTCACTTGAAAAAGGTGAAGCTATTACTGGATTCTCACCTGTTATTGTGACTATTTGAGCGAGAGGCTTGAAGCCGGATATGAAATCCGTAAAGGCTTTACCAAAGGCCTGAAATATACAAGTTCATTGTGAAGCGTGAATCGGTAGGTGAATCGGTTAGGACATCGAAACTGAAAACGATAATACTTTATTTACTATGTCAGAATCGCCGTCATCAAGATACAAGATCGTGAGATGACCTGTGGATTCCTCAAGGTGTCACTCATCCTGACCAGACCCCGTATATATCAGGGATTTCATTAGAAGAGAGTCACCGGCAAAAGTCAGCCGCTTACTCGCCGAGCCTTTGCCGCCTACATTCAACCTCACTTTAGTAAGACTGCACAAACTCAAGTTAACTTATAGGCGCCTACTTTTAAAATGGAAAATTCTACTTAAAAAAATTTAATAAAAGTCCGCATATTTGCATTTAATACAAGACTTCCAACACAGAACAAAATGAATTCAGTTAATCTTGATCATGCCAGGAAAATCTATAGCTTTAATTGAACGCCTTTTTGTTCATAAATGTCACACGCTCCACAAGAGTGGAAAGTGGGAGAGACCCCTCAAAAATCCGAGTTTTACCAAAGGGGGCTAACACCTCCTCCTGCAAGGCACCTCTGACTATGGAAAAACGTATGTGGAAAAATAATTGCCAACTACTTTATCTGACATGTTGATGTTAGATATTAAATCTGCATAAATATATCAAGAATGGAAGACACACAAAAACAAACATACCCAATGAGGATGAAAATTGTCAACTGGATACAGCTTGTATATCTAGAAAAGAAAGCGTTGATTCTTCTGAATCATCAATCGTACAAAATAAATATACCAGTTTGTTTTACGTATAAACCAAACAGAGGTTAAGACCGTACTATCTCCCTACAACAATAGCAACGTACAGGCAAGACTATTTATAAAGCAAAGCGTAATACAATACGAGGCTAGAGCAGAGCTGTATATATACAAGTCTATAAAAAATCAAAGAATGTTCACCAGAGAAATTTACAGCTGCTCTTGATCAAGATAAATATAATATTCAATAATCTGAAACCAATATTATATGAAGATTGCTTTGTTACTAGAAACGAAGTTGGAGCAAACAACAACATTGTTTTACCTCGTGCATGATCAACAAACATATGGCACAGAGACCATTAAACTTATTGGCCAAAAAATATGACAGAGGTTACTAATAGAATTAAAGAGTTCCATTCGCTAGATATCTTCAAACGGAACATAAAATCTGTAGATCACTTTTAGAGAGTAGCTGTAGATTAAATAAAAAATTCTAATGTATATTTAGGCTTTTTATAATGGTTACTTTATTTTTTATACATATTGCAAATAGTTGGCTTTAATTTGCTTTATACATAGCTAGTTAAAGCATTTTTGCCCATCCCGACTTATAAAGCAATGCTGAGCTTGAATTCATGATGGGGAACAAGCGGTTTTGAGAGTTATAACCCATTTTGATATCAGTGATCATTTTGTATAGAATTATATCAAAACAGAAGCCTTTGTGAAAGTTTCAGTATGTATTAAAGGGCAAAACAGCATTTTTGACTTGAGCTGAACACTTATCAAGTTTATGGAGATATAAACTTAGATTTCAACAAGCTTAAAAACTTTTTCTATGAAAGTAGCACGTTTCTTGTGATAGTTAACCAGATATGAAATGATAAAATTCACTGGCGATAAAAAGCCGTTAATGAATTTACTATTATTAGGAAACATCAAAGAAATGACTGTGCTTAATGACTAGCGAGGTTGAATTTATGCAAAGCACGTGTTCATATAAAAAATAAAAATGTTATAACAAATTATTTTAAAGCTTCTGATCGGGAGTGAAAAGAAATAATTCGACATAATCATTTGAAAAATTCAAATGGAACAGGTGCAATTTAATTCTGGCTAAATCTGACGAAAATAGCTTTAAACTCAAGGTCCTGGCAAGAGTACTCTAAAAAATCAAAGCCTATTACAAACAACAACTATTTTGTAAACTTTACGGCTTTGATTAAGAAACTTTCTCATTTTCATGATGCAAGAAACATTCCTTAAATCACTTAAAGAATCAATTTACATCACTAGGACAAAAGAGCATCATTCTGTTGATGATCAAGTTAACATAAATGACTCTAGACTAGGAAACGTGGTAAAGAAGAATGGAGAGTAATTCATCTGTAACTGATGTTGTAAAAAATACCTCATATACCACGATGTATGTTGGCAGCAGACAGGAATCTTTGTTCACAATAAGAAAGACAACCTAGAAATAACGAAACTTAAGTTACTTTGTGTTGAATGAAGATAGCAATGAACTGTCAACAAATTTTCAAGGAATATTTAGAATTGAGAAAGTAGTTTTTTATAAAAATTTAATTATTCAAGAACAAACCTTTTTAAGGTCATCGAGTAAACTTTTGTCTGACTCTTTCAGAACATCAGGAATATCGTTAATTTTGTTTAACATCAAAGCAAATATTGTTCGAACACCCTGCAAAGGAGAGAAAAGTTGAGTATGAGCAGTTTCCATCGAGCAGGAGAAAAAAAACTGAAGGGCAAGGTATGATTGAAATCCAAAGTAGAGATATGGTGATTCATGATTAATGGCAGTATTGATTGATGATTAATCGTGATGACTGGTGATCATGATAATTTGTACTGAATATTGTTGGTGATTGATGGATGATGATGAAGGATGATTTGTGATTACTATCATGTTGATAACTATAGTAATGACTGATGAATGATACTTAATCGTCATGATACTGATGATTGATGAATTTTATATTATGATGATGCGGATAACAAAAATGACGAAGTTGCACCTTTTACAGTTAGCCCTAGGTTTGTGAAGGCATATAGCTTAAAAATACAATCAAATACTACAAAATATCTTTAAAGCATTAGTGCTGTGGAGGGGGCTTTGGGAGGCTCAGCCCTTCCCTTAACTAGCCAGGATATACGAATCCCTTACTTGTCAATGTGAATTAATTCCTTTTTTTCCACAAATGAGCAATTTCTTTAAGTCTTTAGAGTCTGTGAATATTTTAAATGACTTCAAATACACAACAGTGAATCTTTAAAATAAATGCAAGTATAAAGGGTGTGACCATTGGATTGGTCTTGAGCGTGGAGTCTAGAAGCCTCCTACAGCAAAGCCCTCATTAGTAACTTTTTAGGACGGCACTATTGCTTTAAAGATTGTATATACAAATCTGGAGTAGACAGCTCAGTACCACAGAATATTACAGAATTAGCCATTTGTTTTTAGGTAATCAAAGATACAAACCCTGTAATCCATTTGCTTTACTGAATGATAAATAAAGTCACATCCATGATGCCAAACTTTCTCTTCTTTGAATGTAAATTTGGGAGATGAAAGAATTGTTTCACAGACTCGTCTGAAATTAGAAGACATTGTCAGTCAATCCAAACTGTAATTTCACATTGAAGAAATATCAGAATTCACAGAAATGTTGCTTTTGGCAGCAAACACATAGATCAAAAAGTAAACAAGGTTTGATAAAGTTTTGAGGAACCTGGTTTGATAAGATTACAAATTTGTAGCAAAAAACTTTCTAAAATTTCATTTGTAAAATTGCTTGCCTGCAACATTTCTAGAATACTATATAATCAGTTATAGTTAATTGTTCATCATAAAACTAAGACTGTAATGTTAGCAAAATTTGATGATCCACTAACCTTGCAGTAAAAAACCCTCTTTCCACAAGCAGTTGAATTAGTTCATATTGATACTCTAATCTTGCGTGAGTCTTTTGCTCATTAGCAAACGCAACAATACTGTAAACCACGCCATCATGTTCAGTCTAGAAGACAGGCATTAATTATCATCAACTATAATTAATTATCATGTTTTCATGATTTGAGGTCTGTGAGAAATGTAAATCGTTTGTGCTATAAGTAGCTCTCACACCCATATCAAAGCAGAAATATAAAATATGAAAATTGGGATCAGGTTATCTCAATGAATTTATAACTATAATTGTTAGTAACAAAGAATTGACACTAAGATAATGCTGTATGTTTGCAATGCAGCCACCCTTGTATTCGTATGTGTATGACTTATCTAGTTAGTTTTTAAAAAATAGTGGAAACACTAATTCAGAGTAACATGAGGCAATTTCAAAGATTGCATACAGCAGTTCTTTTATTTTCGTGGAACCAAGTTTTAATCAGATTCATTAATTCTTTCAAAATTTTGTGCTGCTTTGATTTCAACTGGAAGTGAGTTCCAGATTTTGGACCCTGGGAAACTGAGTGATCTGATTCCATAATTTGTAGTTATAACTTTAGGCATCAAAAGAGGATTTTGTACATGAAGGTTCCACGACTCCCACATTAGTTCCACAAGCTTCTAAGGTAATGATCATTATGACCATGCAGGGACTACCAAGCATTGTTCTCCTCCGCAGAAGCTATTGTGGAGGGACATAGGGAGGGAAAAGGATAGGATAAAAGGAAAGAATAAGTGGGGGAGCTGCAAGGGAGAAGCAGGAAGAGAATAGTTCCCCTCCTGTTCTCTGCAGCTTCACAATTTCTCGTTCCCCATCTCTCTCCCCAATAGCCTCTGTGGGGGAGAGTAACCAAGCATATAACAGATGAAGGTGGGAGGCAACAAAGATTTGGGGAGACTCTTTGCTAAAATCCAAACGAAAGGTGATTCAGTGTTTTGAGTCAATTTTAAGCATGACTAGGGGCTAAGATCCCTCAGCCCCATGATTTTAAAGGTCCCTTTGACCATGCAATAATCATTATCATTCTGATTACTATAGATTCCAATGATAGTTATTATTATTCATGATGGTGGCATTGATGATAATGAAAGAAATGTGGATTAAATCTTCAATAAATACTTACAGCAGGCACAGTGGTCCATAGTTCCTTGAATCTGTCCAGAAATTTCTCTTTTCTGGTTGCTTTATCTTCAGGATTTTGTATAGTCAAGCTAATGGTAAAAGAACGTAAGTTGTACTATGCCTTTTTTCAGAAAAAAGGATCAATTGGCAATTGGCTTTCGCAAATCTCAAGAGTAAAGAAGATTCAATGAGGAATTTATATGTTGGTGCAAAAGAGGATTTTTTTGTGTAAAAGAAGTTATTTGCAAAAATACCCCTATAGCTACTATAAGTGCATCTTTTGCTCCGATGAATACCACAAATAACACAAGCTTTGATTTGCTGTTTGCTTAGACAAAAGCAAAATGTGATACTTTGATTTGTTAAGTAAAGGATGATACAGTACTTATCAAACTCACCCTGCAAAAACAGCCTCAACTGCTTGAAAATGCTATAAAGCAAAGACAAAATTAAACAAACATATCAGAGAGAGCATCAACAAACAAAATGAAAATCGATGATTCCTGTGCAATGGACAAATTTCCACTTTGATGCATGGGCAGACACTTGGTCAAGTATTGTGGGGGGGGGGGGAGCAAGCCTATCGATTTGATAAGATGATGTCACAATTTCCCATTGTTGTAGAACAAAAGACCATTGTTTTCCAAAATTTCAGGGGTGACCACCACTGCTTCCATGGTATAAAATTCAGAATATTTGCAGGTAAAAAAACATGGCAAAAATGACTTTGAAGGCACAAGATCTTGCTAAGATATGCCATACTATGCATACAGAGCTATACATGTTGATTTCCCCAGGTGTAGTAAGTTGGGACTTGACTCGAAACTATAACCAGAGGAATCTATTTTATGTCAGCCAATGAACTGTGCCACTAAAACTGTCATGCAACACTGTTATTCAGTAGACTTAGAAATTATTCATAGTTTGCAGAAATAGAAAAATCAATTTTGAAATAAGAAAATTGAGCATCAACAAAAATTATCTTTTTCTTATAAAGGGAGTGTAGTGCATCAAATTTTAAAAGTAGGCAAAACAGGGTTAAATAATAGCAACCTGTTGTTGATGCAGGCAATTAACCCCAGTTGAAAATACAACAAATAAAAACCAGCTGTTTATACAAAACTGCAACCAAACGTAGTCAGTAAGAAATCTTTCAAGAATTTTTTATCTATATATATCAGACTTTTTGTTCATTTTCATGAGTATCTTAATTCTTTTTCTGGTTTAGTCATCAATGGCTAACCTGTGGTGAAGCAACAATTCTTCACACAGCTTTCTTTGAGTTACATGATTCTTGTCATATATCTAAACACAAACAATCTGTCAGCCCTCTCCCCAACTTTTTCAAAATTTTAACAAGGGGGCTGTGCCACATGTGTTACACATGATCTAAATCAATAAACCACAACTCAGTACCTTGGAAAACTAAGTGATCGCCACACACTTAACTTTTAAAATGCAGTTCGTCAAACAAAATGGTTTTATAAATGTAGCTGAATTCTAGAGATTTATTATACGTCACTTGTTTTTTTCTATGGCTTTTTGTTTTCAGAGTGAATCTTGACACCGACACTGCTTTTGCGGCTTTTTGATTCAATCATGTTGGTAGCGCTCGGGGTCAAATAAGGAACGGGGTCAAATAGGGAAATCGGGGTCATATAGGGAAATCGTTAATAACTCCAAATATTGGACTGATATCGCAAAACAAACCTCAGAATCAGATTTTGCATGCTTCAAACTACCTTTTAGATGCTTTTTTAATTCAACTACGGTAATTTTAGCAGTATAAATCGCAATGCTTTGCTTCTACGTTAGCTTGAGGCTTGGCTCCTCCGTAGCTACGGGAGCAAATAGACAAAACTCGTTAAAAAGCACCGTTTTAATTCAAAATAAATAGCAAAAGGTAGTAATCGCAAAGAAAAATACACACTCTCTTCATATCAATCCAAATTTCAAACATCCTGCACCAAGGTTACAAGATTTCTCAAAATAAATCAGCTGAGTGATTGACGCGCTCGGGGTCAAATAGGGAGATCGCTGTTTGGGGTCAAATAGGGAAATCTTAAAAAACAGCAAGGAAAAAACACGAAACAGGGAACTAACCTCATTTCAGCACGTAAAATGTCCAATCTATTGTTAACACCATTTAGCATGTTAGAAATCAAGGTATATCATTTGATAAATTCATATCAAGTCAATGCATCACATAAATTTAGGCCCTTGTTTACAGATTTCCTAGAGAATAGGAAAAATTCAATTAACATCTTTAAAATTCGCTTTTTGGCCCGAAATCAGAAATATTCTAAAGATAAATTTGAAGACTTTGATGTATGCTGGGCGGTATTTTTTTACTTACATTGACGTGACGATAAAAATCTTTTCACAGAATTTGTTTACTTACATTGACATTTTCAATAAGTCCCATCAATGTACGACAGTTTTCAGAATTGCAGCTTTTTACTACTTTCATGATAATATTTAAACAATCTGCGATTTTCAGCTGAAAGTTCCAAAACCTATAACTAGGGGAAATTGTCAAATATTCTGTAAAGGTGCAAAGGAGGGTCTCCTGCAAGCAATTTGAACAAAACATTTTGCGATACAACCATTAGATTAGCTTGAAATACATTTCAGAATATTTCTTACAATCGTTTGCTTGAAGTCGTCAAAGACGTTTCAATTTCGTCTGAAATATAAACTCACTGAGGTACTAATTTCATTGCATATTTTCACTTTACCCATACACCAACTTTCCGAGCCTCGTCCCCCCCCCCCTCCATTGCCAAGCTACTGATAAGAAGATAAAAAGTAAAATCTTTGCGTTACTTTGTTACTACTGGCTGCCAAAAAGGATACAGAAATATTGGGGGGGGGGTGTGTCACACCCCCTACACATCTCCTGCAAAATCCGTCCCTGAGTACATTGCAAACTTGCAAAAAGTACAACAGATGTTGTAGCCACATATCTTCATAATAATAATAATTATTATAACTTTATTTCAGTGTCAAATTGATTTAGCATTTCTGCTAATTGGGGACACTTTTTACATACAATTTAGTAAAAAACGTAATCTACAAAAAGTGAAATGTTGAGAATTTCAAGAAAGGTTAAAGATCCTATAATGTCCATTGCATGAGTTGTCTTTTAGTAAGGCCTCAAGCTCCTTTTGTCTAATACAGTTGCGGAAATTATCAATACCTGAACTTGTCTTTCAACGATTGTTTCCAAATTGAGATATCAAACTTGTGAACAACGTCAAATGCCTAAGAGTTCTAGAGGATCAAGAACTCAAATGGAAAAGACCCCAAAAAAGACTTAAAGAGGTATTGGCACTCTAAGCTTTACAGAACAATCTCTACACTACCTTTCTTTCTTACAAAAAGAACTGTATAGAATCACGGCAGAGCCCTATTCAGTTACTGCTGCAGGGAAAGCATAATGGGGGGTCGGGTGGGTAACAACCTCACCTGCCAATTCCTAAGAGGGACAAAGGGAGCAAATATGCCCTTTTCAAAAAAGTGCCCTTGACATCAGCCCTTTCTAATCACTAAATAAATTCATATAAAAGCCTTGTTAATAAGAGCAGTTAACTCATTTACAAGATACCTTACGAAACCAAAATGAAATACAGTTACAACAGAGTCAATAGAAGCTGGGAATTTTTCAGATGCCTTTTTACTGAAGCCTGCCCCCTTGCCCCTTGGCCATTCTGGGGTCCATGTACTGCTGCCTGATTTTTGGGGGTTTTCGTTAGACTGTAACTTTTCTGCTATATAATTTTTTCACTGTTGTAATATCTACTAGATTTGGTCTAACTCTTGAGCAGTGTTTTTATTTGTAATTTTATATATTATTGCATGGTAACTGTCAACTAGTTCTTAATTGAAAATAAAATGAAAATGTATTGAAAAACACCATTGTCAATAGAAAAATCTGTTCATCATTTCCAAGGACCGAGAGTGATTAATTTGCAATAATCTTTAGTTGAGGACATTCTCCTGAATCAAAAAGGTTATTGGAATAATGATTTCCGGCAAAAAAAACGGATTTGATAAAGCTTTCCTATTTGACCCCGAAACTGCGAAGGAGATCTATCTGTAAACAAGGGCCTAAATTTATGATGACTTGATATAAATTTATCAAATGATATACCTTGATTTTTAACATGCTAAATGGTGTTAACAATAGATTGGACGATTTTACGTGCTGAAATGAGGTTAGTTCCCTGTTTCGTGTTTTTTCCTTGCTGTTTTTGAAGATTTCCCTATTTGAACCAAAACAGCGATCTCCCTATTTGACCCCGAGCGCGTCGATCACTCATGTGATTTATTTAGAGAAATCTTGTAACCCTCGTTGCAGGATGTGTGAAATTTGGATGCATATGAAGAGAGTATGTATTTTATATTGTTATTTCTACCTTTTGCTATTTATTTTTGGTTAAATCAGCTTTTCAACGTGTTTTGCCTATTTGCTCCCGTCGCTACGGAGACACGCATCAAGCTAACGTAGAAGAAAAACATTATCATTTAATCTGTTAAAATTTCCGTAGTTGAATTAAATAAGCATCTAAAAGGTAGATTGAGGCATACCGAATCTGATTCTGAGGTTTGTTTTGAGATATCAGTCCAATATTTGGAGTTATTAACGATTTCCCTATATGACCCCGATTTCCCTATTTGACCCCGTTCCCTATTTGACCCCGAGCGCTACCAACGCTGCTCTTTTGATTTGATCGCGAGTTGGGCCTAACTATGCATATCTTTCATTCATAAATGTACTTAAAAATTGTTTTTTTAACATTGTATGCTCCAGCATCTGTACTGCTTCAACTGCACACAGAAGAGTTGCTTCAAAAAGAAACATAGCCACAAGTTCCAGAAATCACATTTTCCAAATTGAACCAAAACAGCCCCTACACACACACACACTCTCTCTCAACCATTAAAGTGGATAACGGAATTTACACCAGTTGAATTAAGAAATACTCACCATAGACTCCTCAAGAATGGAGTACAGCTTCGACTCAAAGTCTTGAAGCATCTTGGCGGGGTATTTTCAAATTTTCATGGAATATTTTCATGTAGAATCTTCACATGCTTCCTCCATCTTGGCGCTCGTTGCCTCGATTAGAATTGTGAAATCGAGGTAGGAAATTTTTTGATTTTAAAAAGGCAAAAACGTAAATAAAAGGGGGCGTGGCAAAGTTTGGAGAACCCAATTACAGTCGGAAAACTTAAAAGTTTACTGGGATTTTATTCTCAAGACAAAAAATGCGAATTCTATATTTTAGGAAGTTCAGGATTTTAAATATAGAAATTTGAAACCTCATTAAAATTTGAAATTTGAAACCTTATCAATGTAAGAGTGATTCATCTTACGAATCAGGCATATTAGAAAATTGTTAAAAATTTCCTACAATTAAGAACAAAGATGAAAAGCTCAATTCCATAATACTTCTATATCGTGAAAGAGATATTTTGGATAAAATTGATCTCCAGCAAATAGCTTTAAAAAGGGCATGACAAAAAAGAAGAATCGCAGATAATTGACTTGAAATAATATTACATTTAATCATCAAATGAATCTAATGCTGGTTATTCTTTTATGTTGATTTTCTTCTTACGACAAGTTTTAATGCTAGTGTTACGTTCATCTAAATTAAGATATTTCCTTTATCGACTTTAGTGTTTTTATGCTTTTGGCTAATAATTATGAATAAAAAGTTGGTAATTATAAAGAAACTAAAAATGAAGAATTAGGGCTATTTTCGAATATCAATTTGGTTGATGCAATAGATTTACAAGTCGAGCGAAAAAATCCTCAGGTAAAGTTGGAATTTTCATCCTTTCACGATCCCCTAAAATTAGCCATTTGTTTTCGTCCCTGTAAAGCACATTATGAGAAAAAGTATAGAAAGCTTGTAAAACGTTATTGACACAAATATATTATTGAGAAGTTAGGACAGTTTTAAAGCCTAGTTTTTTTAAAAAGGTCAATTGTTGAAACGCGATGGGAAAACTGTACCATGGAGAGGTTCGCCTCTGCTTTCTCCGCTTTTTCCCGCAATTTATGTGGTTCTAGTACGCGGGGTAGGAATGCAATTCATTTAGATTTATTTGTGTTTTTATACCTTGTTTGAGAACATCTCACATCTAATGGTTACCTCTGTTCCGCAAATAATCCCTTTTATGTTGTACAAAGAGAAAGACCGGTCATCACTTCTTTCTATTTTTAGCCTGCCCAGTCAATTGGTACAAGACACTTTTATATCCATCGTGTTTCTTTATTTACAAAATACGATAAAAACTGCAAAGCTGCAAAGTCCATCTTAGATCTTGAGAACCCAATAACAAGGGAAGAGTGGGGAGGGGGGGGGGGTATAACGAATAAGCGAGAAAATCTTTACAAAGATGCATAGTTATAAGACTGTTCTAATGACTTTGAAAGGAGTTATAATTGGTAAAAATGAGAACTAAGAATGGGATCCTACAACCAACACTTATTACTAAAAATTTAAGCTGAAAATGACAGTCAACTCATTACCATAGTATAATTTTGAAATGAAGTTCATACAAACAAGAAGGGCATGCCTTTAGAATATTGGCGAGTATAGAGATTGTTTCTTTATTTATCAAAATAAGTATTTTTAGAGCTTTAAAGAATTGGTTGACTGGAAATTTTAAACCCATTTCTGGATGAAAACAAGAATATCCCAGAACCGGCATTTTCAACCATTTTTTCGGCCTCGATGCATTCACATTATTTTCATCCGCAACGTAAAATGCAATATCATTTCACGAAAAAAGATGCACACTTACGCATCTCCTATAGTGACGCAACTAATGTTAAAGCAATCGTAGGCACACTCTGGACCTGTAAGAGTCATTGACTTTGATTGGTTTTGTTATAGGCCCTGAAAAGATGACAATGCAGGTTCTACAAATCACCTACAACAGAGGAAAGGAACTCAATAGCCATTATCACGTGGTATAGGACAGGTTTTTAGGTTGCTAAATCTTAAATGGTTGCCTCAAGACTCTGTGCTAAGCCCTCTTCTAACTGAAATCTTGTAGCAATTATGCAAGAGATTCAGTGGAAACATCTTGTTTGAGAATCTCCTAAAATCAAAGTCACTCGCACATTTTTCTCTCATTTTCGCTGGCTCTGTTCAAAATAAAAAGTGGTAAAAGAGCAGCAGCGGCTGCATGAAATAGTGGTGGGGTCTTTCTGACGGCGTAAAATCAATAGGCGTTGGGGGTGTAGGGGGTGGGGTGCTGCAGCCCCCTAATCAGATAAAATTTATCGAATTTAAGATTCTTTTTGGCAGCTCTATCTCAGTGAAGCAATAATATTCCGGGAAGATTAATGCTAAGCCCTTCCAAACATTTAGAATCCGCTTCACCCACGCGTAATATGAAATCTAAGGCCAGCCAATTTTCATGTTTCTTGAACCGAAAGGCATGTCTTAGCCCACATTTGTACATTGAAAATTATGTACATTTAGGCCAGGGGTCGGCAACCTTTATAAAACAAGGGGCCAAATTTGATTTTTGAAATGCATACGAGGGCCGCAACTCAAAATACAGTATAATTTTAATATATACCAATTCTACCTAACTGCTAATCTATTCAATAAAATTGTATTGATCAGTAAATGTACTGTAACGTGGAAGCTGTACGTGAATACAAACATAGATGTAAAGTACATGTTCACTGGTCATTATATTACAAGAAGCTTATACGCAAGTTGGTGTTGCATGTCCTTGGTCAGCTTTTCAAAATTTGGCAGAATTGTTGATATTGGCAGTCGCAAGTTGCCTTCAAGGTGCTGATCAGTCATTCGAGATCGCAGTCGACTCTTCGCAAACTTGATTTTTGAGGCGAGACTTTCGCAAAGATTAGTACTTTCAAACATGCAACACATCTTCTTGGCATGCTGCACCAGACCTGGATATGAACCATCATCCACCATGGAGATACTCCATATAAAACGGGATTATATGAGTTTCCTTGTATTTCTGTTTCAATTCACTGGTACCCTGCAGCTCGATCAACTCCATTTGAAGATGGAAAGTGAACCAAGTTCCCTTGATTCAGCTGAGTTTTCCAAAGATGTTGCATAAGCAGGAACATGACAACATGCTTATACATAACATTCACAAATTGACCATGGCCTTGAAGCTTCTTGTTCAGCTTGTTCGAGTGACTAGTAATGACAACGAGGAATCCTAATCTAGACAAGAATCTAGGATCACTGAATCTGAGCCAACACTCGTGCATTGGGCCAAATTATTTACAGGTTAACAGGGGCCTTCCGGGCCACACAAAAGTACCTTGCGGGCCGCGGGTTGCCGACCCCTGATTTAGGCTGTAACCATTTAACAAATCACAAATTCTGTCTAATCACAAATTGTTCACTTAATTTCAATTCAGTATGAGCAAGAGGATCAAAAACCGCCCAAGGCCATAATTGGCGTGGCCACTAAGTCACGTGACTGATGACCTCATCTTTACCTGGTCACTAATGAGGCAGGTAAGGTTTGATATACAAGACTATTTATTATATTTTGCGTACACGACGTAATATCATTTCTGTATATCAACTGTTCAGTTTGACGACGCAACTCTTGCAAATGGCAGCTAAATCACTCCATCGTCAACCTTTGAAAACTTGCCATCCCTAAATTGTACGTCGAAGGCAAAGATCTTTAAGAAAATTTCTTCTCAGTTTTTGATTTCCTATCGAGTGATACCATTGACTTCAAAAAAATTTTGAGTTTTGATTTTTTCAGACCGTGAAAAATTACCTCATCAGTCACGTGAGTTAGGGGCCACGCCCAAAATGGCCCCTGGTTGTTTTCGATCCTCCTATTCATACTGAATTCAGATCAAGTGAACAATTTGTGATAAGGCAGTGTGCTAGATGGTTATAGCTCTTTCCCTGCCTAATTGTACAGCTTCAGAAAATTCAATTTCTAAGCAAGTTAATGAGGATGGAGATATTATAACAGCAGATGCCTGGGCAATCATTCGCGTCAGGTGCGCAAACAAATCCTCATTTCCCTATTTAACAGTTTCGTCAAACTCCGTGTAATAAATCAGATTTTGATAGGCCACTCAAGGTTCAAAGGAAAGAACTGATTACAAGATGATGAATCTCCTGGCATTACTTGGCGTTTTGGTTGTCGTATCAGCACAGGATGATGTTTGGCCTTGTGACAGAGCGAAAGCCATTCGGCAGTTTAAGCTAAAAAGGTTTGCATTTCAATTCATATTTTTGTTAAATTTGAGGTCAAACTGAGGAACATATGGCTGCATAGGAATCTCGTACATCTTGGTGAAATCCCCAATGGTTTACAAGAAAATCTCTTTAGTCCTTTTGTTTTGGTGCAAATCTTGTACGCTATTTGCAAGCATGAACTCCCCTCTCGTGTTTTTTAGGATACTAGCAAATTGTAAGAACTGAGAATTGCAAGGGAACTTTACCTTTAAGGAGTGCTATTATTGTAATTTCAACTCATAACATGTTTAATTATAGTCAAACACAAGTGTGCGTGCGAGAGACGGACAGAAGTGATCTCCCAGTGAGTGAATTGTGAATGATTTTTCCTTTTTAGCCAAACAAACAAGTGGCCTAGTTTCGGAGGGAATGACCCATACAACAACCAGACAAAAGAGTCCGAGAAAGAGATAGCTGAGACACTGAAAAACAACGACATTGTCTGCGCCATCCGTTATGTTGACGATACGAAGGTTGGTTACGAGTTACGCCAGTTCGAGTCGAAACAAGCAGCAGAGAGCGCAGGTTTCATCGTAACTCACCAAGGCAAATGCGGCGCTTGCTCGAATCTTCGTGATCTGGCTGTCTACCTTGAAAAGAATCTCACAGCTCCAGTCAGAAAATGCGCCTTCAAAGCGGTAATTTCAAAAAGATGGGCACGCAATTGTATTTTGGCTATTGGATTTACGGAAACCTGTACAGATATTTGGTTGTATAATTCAATAAACACAAGGAAAGAGTGCTTTGGGATTTGCATGAAGGATTGGATCACAGGGAAACCAAATAACAACCCAGACGGCAGTTTAAACGATTGCTTACAGTGTGACGAGGACAAGAGTGGTCCTGTGTTCAAGTATTTCTCAGGAAGAACGCGAAGGAATTCTGGAATCAATAGCGCCATTAAGAGGCCAGGACAACAGGTCTATAAAATGAACCATTGCTATTTTTAGTGTCAAGTGAGCATAAGAGTTGTAATTAAACTTTGTATTTGTTCGAAATTACGAGAGCAATACTTTTAAAACCACTGCAAAGAAACTGACTTGTCTTCAAAAGAGTGTTATTCTTATTTTCCAACCAAACAAACGCATCGCTGCCAAACATGAAATTACGTGTGATTTAGTCATCTTTCACTCTAAATCTTTTCAAAAACGGGCAACTTTTTACTTTCCCCGCATTTTTTTGGACACTACAATATGTTAGTTCATCTCTTTATCTGAATAAGTTTTGCTTCGTGCGAGGACAACAGTAGCACAGAATAGAGATTACAGTAGTCTTCCGTTGATTTTAAAGGCACAAAAAGAGCATGCTTCCTTTAAGACTGGCTATAATATTTTGAGCTTTAAATATCACATAGGGTATAAGAGCACCCACTCTTCAATTGATGGAAAATGAGCTCTAAAAACACCCAGTTGAAGTTGCTCTATTAACTACCCACAAAAAGGCTGCTACGGTGTGTTTTGCAAAATAAATCGTGTTTACTCGGCGTAGGGGCAAATTTTTGGTCGTGAACTTTCGATGTACTGAGATAGTTTTCTAATTAAAACGGTATCAAAATGTCGTGGGTTGGAATGAACAGTTATTAAAGATTATCAATTCAATATTGAATTACATAAAAATATATGGAAAAGTTTGGCAAGCTATCAAAGAAAGTTAGCTATACAATCTATTTTTAATGGAATTCTGTTTGTGCTGTTTTATTAAAAGAGTTTTTATCTAGTTTCCATAACAACAATATGAAGAAAACTTGCCCACCAAGTTATCTGACGATTTGCCACTAGCTATGGAGTTATCAGAATATATCAATGAACCTGTGTTCATATTTGGTATTGCTCAAATCAGTTTTGAATTAAACAGACTGGGACAGAAATCAAAATGAAAATTTTTCCGTGACTACCATGCTAAAGGAACATGGCTTAATATCAGTATCTAGGTAATATTAGATACAGATATATCAGTAGCAGACCAACTGGAAATGACAGAAAGCCAGCATTATGTCATCCACTCTTAATAAATACCGTAATGCCTCGAATAAGCGCCCAGGCGCTTATTTAATTTTTGAGGCTCCAGGATGGGCGCTTATTCGAGGGAGGCGCTTAATCAAGGGGGGCACTTATTTAAAAAATAGTTTTGGGTGCAAATTGTGTTGTTCATAAATCTTTCTTGTTGAATTGCCTTCCAATTATGTTTTCGTTGAAAATTCGAATAAGCGCTGTCTCTGAAGGTTGAATGATGGGTAGGCTATTCGAGGGGTAGGTGCTTATTCGAGAGGGGCGCTTATTCAACAACCTCAACTCTAGAATGGGCTCTTATTTGAGGGGGGCGCTTGTTCGAGGCATTACAGTACGTATAATGCTCTGTCAAAGCCAGGGTTGTAGTCTAACAGTCTGTCGAAATCAGGATACCCCTAGGGTAATATTTCAAGCAAATATTGAGACAAACCCTACACTGATGATACATGGTACATCTCAAATATAGCTGATGCTTCCTAAGCTGTCTTTGGAATAGCACAGTACAACAGATGTGAAAAGCTTCTCAATTTGACAGGCCTCTCAAACCCTACTTCATTGCTAACATGATAGACAATGTCTAAAAAGTTTTTGAGAGATCTGACTACATACACTTAAAGTGTTTCATAGAAATAAAAACACAGAAAGAATGTAATCCTACACGAGCCAAGAAACCTGGACAAATTGCCAAAAATGCATTTTTCTCTCTGCTTTTGACTCTGTTTAGTCACATCAGCGCGGTTTTTGGCTAAAACGAACGAGTGTCACAACTAAGAATCGATTTGTAATAACTGATTGAATTTTGAGTAGAGGAAAGTCCAATTTCCACACCGATCTATTTTCCAGAACCATTATCTCTATTTTGTAAATTAAACCAAGAATTCATTTTCTATAATCTAAAGGCCGGTTTCCACTTAATTCGCCCTAGTCGTGCGACTTTGGCCCAAGCGAATCAACAAATCAGCGAATCAACAAATCAGCGAATCAACAAATCAGCGAATCGCCGAACTGGGTTGAGCAACTAAGCGACTGGTCGCGCATTCGCAGCGAACGAAAATGCTAAATTTGCGCATGCTTGAATGTGCATTCGCTCAGTCGCCCAGTCAGAGACAATCAAGTGGAAACCCATTTTCAGACTGAACTGCTGCAGCAAACCTCCTAACAGACACCATGCAGCATGCAAGTTTTAGTGGCAATCGCATGACAGGAACTTTAACAAGAAACAAACCGACAAAAAATAAACAGATGCTTTGATGTGACAAGGGAAGTCTGCGAGAGAGAAAAAACTTTTGTCCAATTTTTTCTTAATATCAGAATTCAAATTTAACCCAATTTTTTGACAGTTATCAATGCTCATTAATATATTGAAATCATTTAGAAATTTATAGCAGTGTATCTTATATATTACACAGACTTTAAACGAAGGTATCGATATTTTTACTCGTCTTTAGCCTTACTTTCTCCGCATGCTTTTCCTCAGTTATTGTTACTTTCAACGGCGCAACGATCATGACGTCGTCATCATCGTTGTCGTCATCGCATTGATGGTCATGACAGTTGCGCCGTGAACCGATGACGTCACAAAAACAGTTTGGTGTACCCAGGCCATTTTTGCAACTCGCCTGATTATAAGAGCAACAATCCTCGCTGCCCAAGCGGTATTGTTCTCCTGAGTCCTTTCTACCCCGAGACATATTCATTGAAATGACGTTTGGCATTGACTCTATAGTTTCTTCGTATTTCCGCGAACAACCTGGGCTCATCAGTTTTTCATCGGCACAGCAATAACACTGCAATATAACATTCTGATCTGTCCCTTTGATAAAATCGTCTCGAGCAGCATGACCCTCAAAGTAGGGATGGTAAAACAAGTTATTGTTCTCCGCATGTTCAACTGGCGGAACCCTTGCTTGCAGCACATGCGTTGCTATGTCATAGTTCTTGGTGATATTCAACGACCGAAGGCTAGCTGACCTTCTTACCGGAGTGGGGGGACTACGGACCATGAGGCTATGAAGGGACAGCGCTTCGCATGATTTCGACGAGCTCATTGGAAAGTAAGGGTAAAAGGGAGGCTTGACCAGAGAGCAACTGCTTCGCGATCTTTTACAATCCAACTCGTACTTCTGCATTGGATCCCGTCGTAGAAATTGATTTGCACACCTCTGGGTGTTGATGTTGTCAACTGACTTCGACATTGCTTTCAACCAAAGATGTCTCAGCGATTCCGGTAAGGAACGTGTGCTTCCGGATCGCTTTCTCCCGAAGTCGGTTTCACAATGCGAGCCCGATCGATACATCCGTCCATTTGATAAGTTGATATCGATGTTTTGCTTGGATGAGCTTTTAAAAAACCGGCTTAGGAAACTCCGTTTTTTGGCTGGAATTGTACGACCTAAGCGAGATAATTGATCTTTCTGTATAATATCATCACAGTCACAGTTGCAATTCTCATCAATGCATCGACTGTGGATGCTAACATCATCGGAAAGATAGTTATCAAAACTGAATGGTGAGTGACATCGTCCATTACAGTCAATACCTTGGGCTACTGAAGAACTCTTTGAATCTGAATGCAATCTTGGCTTCATAGTCCTCAGTAAGGCTTTTATTCTTTGAAACCTCGATTTCCTGTTGACTATAGCCTCGTCTTTGCTGTGGCAGCTGCTGGGAGACGACGGGATGGATTCCTTACGATCAGCCTCTCTTGCATTCTCAACAAGCTGTCTTATAATCTCGTTTTCCATCTTACTTAGTCCCTGGCTTTCTAGATTGCTTTTGTTACATGATGATTCCCCAGGTACTTTCTTTCCTTTGTGTTTCTCTTCATTTAATATTTTTCTCCCTGCAAACCAAGAAACAGCATAAAATCTACACGTTATACCAGAAAGTTTGGCATAATCCAAAAGTGTTGTATCATAATCAAACGACAAGTACAGTCCAAGAATGGTAGAATTAAATCTATTTATTTTCGGTGTAAATGGGCATACGCTAGACCATACTTAATTGTACCAGACCAGACATATTTACTGTAAAAGTAGTGTTAGAATGTGACGTCAGGACAGGACTGGAAAAGGAGAAGAAATTTTCTTGATAGAGATTGTAATCATTGATACCATTTCCATATTTTGACCAAAAGACAATTCTTTGGGTTCTTTTTAAATTAGAATACGTTAAAGGATATTTAAGCAAACATAAAAAATACTTGAGCCTTAGAGGTTTGGTGAGGAAATTTTAATTTCAATTTCTTTCCATATTTATTCCAAAACGAGGTCGAATCAATCAAGACACAGTTGTGTTCAGAGGGAGGGTATCAAAAATATTGTAATAATTATTCAACATCCGGCTAAAATGGGATTAGGAATTCGCTTGAGCTCTGATATGGGGCATGCTTGCATGAAGAATCACTGCTACCTTCTCATAACAGTTAACGTTTGCTAAAAAATGCAACATACCAAAACTGTCCTTCTTGATTATCTCTGGATGCCTTTGGCTACCCTGTCTTCGAATGCGATGCTCTTTTTGTTCAGCCTCTGTCATGTCTACTGATCCAGGTTTCTCGACCCCTTCCGTTGGCTGGAGAGGGGCACTTCTGCATTCGTTCTGTCTCTGATCCTTTACCTGTCTCAGATACTCGGACACACTTCGGCTGCGACGATTTATCTCTCCCCTCAGCAACTCCACTGGTGAATCTTCACATCTATCGAGTAGCAACTCATCGCTACCTGCGCGCTTCTTTGACATTATTCTCGCTGCATTCGATCGGTCCCCGAGAGTACTCGGTTGCGAGTCAGTTTTCGACATTGAGACTCCCGAATCAGTCCACGAGGCTTTGCTTCCATTTCTCGGCCTTCGGATGTTTTTCGGCGAGCTATCTCGGTCTGAAAGAGCTTTACGAACAATCAAACTTGTGTCAATAACTTCAGGAGCCCCCCTCGGAATGCGTGTGCTTTTCAGTTTCCGAGAACTGTTTCCCGATTCATCGATCGTAGTATCGGAATCGTTTGAGTAGATCTCGTACTTTTTCAGCTGGTCCAATTTGTGCCTTCGTTGTCGCCTTTTCCTAGCCTTGTTAGCTTGTCGACATTTTCCTACGTCACTTGTTGCAGAATCGTCTTTTTCACAGGAAGCATAACCAACTTCAGATTCAAAATCACTTTCGGAGAAAATATCGGACATCGAGTCATTCACTGTATTGTAATTAGCTTTGAGCGATCTTCCCGTGATGCATTTGTGCCCACCAATAGATTTCTGCACGCTTGAAGTTGAGCAAGCCTAAAATATAAACAGCTTTGAATAGAGTTTGACAAAAACCACTGCTATAAAATATTTTGTTGAGGATTATGATCATCATAGTACCGTGATGTTTGATGAAGATAAGGATTGATCATGATCATTATAATATCGATTGCGATGACGTGAATTCTAAGCTCAATAAAAAAGTTTTACTATCTTTCTTGCCACAATTCAAATCTGTAAAGTGGCGACAGAGCTAAGAAATCTGATAACTGCGAAATAAAGTGTTGCAAAGATCGTAACAGATATCAGGAATTGCTCGCAAGTACGACCGTACCGGACAGATCGTAACAGATATCAGGAATTGCTCGCAAGTACGACCGTACCGGACAGCTCGTAACAGATATCAGGAATTGCTCGCAAGTACGACCATACCGGACAGATCGTAACAGACATCAGGAATTGCTCGCATGTACGACCGTACCGGACAGAGCGTAACAGACATCAGGAATTGCTCGCAAGTACGACCGTACCGGACAGATCGTATCAAACATCAGATATATTTGCACGGAGAGACTGATTTTGTTGGAATGAAGAGTGTTCTTTAAGTGACAAGTGATATTTCATGAAAAAATTAAGAAAATATTACTATAATAATTGCTAACAATTCACATTAAAAAAAGACACCTAGCAAGGATTACAGTTAGCGTTAAAGTTTGATGTGCAAGATATTTGATACTTTGAGTCGAAAGAAGGATGTGGAGAGGTCTGTAACAATGAGCTTAAAAGAAAAGGATGGATGGCCGGGGGGTATTTCGGGAATAACGCCACAGGCACGTCAATGCACTTCATATGAATTTGTCATAGGTGTACAGGCATTTTGCGAATATTCTTAAGCATATCATTGGTTGAGTTCCAGGATTAAAGGTCTCCACATCCATTCAATGTGCAAGTAGCGTTCGCTTGGTTGAGAATTGGAAACAAAATCGCAAAACATCAGATTATAGAATTCATTCGGACTCAAATGTCGTGCGCATCGGACGCAGTCACACTCACAAACTATTTTAGGCTATTAATTATATGAAAACTACTTTGGCTTTATTTTTTCAAAGCATAAATAATTCGTTTATATTAGGTATTATTTGTAATGCTTTATTTACAAAACAGGGTCTGTAAATGCAAACTACCTGTCAGCTTTCATTATTCAATTTTTCAAAAAATGAGAGAACAATTATTCAAAAGTGTTAAATTTTACATGAAGCTTAGACAAAATAACAGTTGAAACTCCTATAAAATTAGAACCCATCAAATTTACAAGAATGAGGCGATAACTCGGATGCAAAATTTTGGAGTTGGGGGTTGGGTGGGGTTACGATAGAGCTATAGATTATTTGCAAAAAATATTGAACTTCCAAACATAAAATCCAAACAGAAACCAAACAAATAAAGAAAACGCGAAATCGGTCATGAACTGGTCAAACAAACCATCAGAAAATATAAAACACATTTTTTTATTATAAAAATATAGTCTAATATAAAAATATAGAATATAGTCTTTAAGAATATTGAGGCTCAAAATCACTGAAAAGTATAAATATATGTTCCTTAGAATGGACGTGTCTGGCCTTGGAATCATAAACACGATAATGCAACCCAGTTTGAAATAAAAAAAATATTAGAATGTTGAGGTTCGGCAAAAAGAAGGTATTCTCATAAAAGAAAGCCTGAATCTGATAATAACCAATGAAGCACGGACCATCTCGAATTTTGCGCATGCTCGCATTTCGACAAACTGTCATCACTCAGTGATGACACTGATCCAAAATAATTCACTTAATTTCAAAGCTTGCATTTCGATTCTAAAGAAACAACAAAGCATGAAAGCAAAGGAAAAATCCTGTCACGAAATAAGAAAAATTGAATGACCAGTTGCTCTTTCATCGAGACATTATTCAACAGCTTCAATGCATTCTTTCCTCGACAAAACGTTTTACTGAAACTATTTATTTACTGGAATTATCAAAAAACAAATGCCAAAAAAAACTAAAAAAGGTTTGGGAGAAAAACATAAAATTCATCAAATTTGAGTTTTATCTCAACTGTAAATCAAATTTCAATTAATATATATACCTGACGCTTTAATGCAGGAATACTAACCAAAGAGGTAGGGCAGGATATGCCATGAAAAGATAGGACATCCCGTTTGCAGAACATGGCGTGAGTCACCACAGCTAGCTACAAAGCCTTTGAGACTTGTCAAGCGTTCTAAAAAACTGACCTAACCAACCGCAGCACTACTGGCGTTACGCGTTGTGATCTGCTTCGACTGAACCGGGAATCCTACACACCATTCACTAACAACGGAATATCTTAATGAATTATGCAACAGCCCGGGGGCAGTCAGAAGCTGCGAATTCCGATGGCCTATTATTGTTATTCGACTTTTTAAATCACTGGAACTAGTGTATCGATGATTGATATCATATTATAGCCTATTTGGGATCGCTTCAAAGCAGGATCTTATGAATTAATTCTTCCTATTTTGGATTTGATTATAAACTCAGAAATGTCAAGTATCATGTTTTGGGAATGAAAACAGCCCTGAATGGACAAAGGTGACGTTCTTATGTCAAATGGTGTGTTATTGTAGCAAAAACTTCATAAAGTGGGTTTTTATGACAAAGGTCAATGAAGTATTTATAGTATGGTATTTTTGTTTGATGTTGTGAAAAATCAAAGGAGAGAGATTGCTTTGATATGGTTATTTTCAAGGGATCAGTAAAATTATTTTGGGGGTAGAGCGGGGAAGGAAGGGGGATCTAGAGCTCAAACCCATTTTTGAAATATAGAACGAACCTTGTATTTTTAAGTTGTTTCCTATAGGCACTGATTACAGGTATCAGCCCAAAGCTAAACTTGAGCCGGGTTACAAGAAGAAGATCACGAGGGTTTAAGCCTTAAAGTCCCCTACAATGGTCTTGATTTGTATGTCCAGAAAGGTCTTCCGATAGTCACGCCCATCTTTATTTCTCAACTTTGTGCTTGTAGGGCCAGTCGGTAACAAAAGGCATTCCTCAAATATCCTGACTGGGATACCTACCAAAAAAGATCCTCAGGCGACTAACGACTTCATTATCTAACTAGACAGCTTTTATTGGAACCAACTTTAAAGAAAATGGGGCCTCTATTTTCTTATAAGGACGTTGAAGAAACATAGACAACATAAGAAAATGCCAAGCTTCCGATTTAAAAACATACTCTCATATTAACAAAACGAAACAGATTTTAACAGCTAGACTACCATGCTAGAACACTTGAGCCTCAAATTATCAACAATCCCAGACAAAAATGTTGAGACAAAATGCAATTTTTGTAATTTTATGTTTTACCTTGCCCCTGTAAATTCGAATCCTCTCCTTTCCCCCCGAAGCAGTGTTGGATTTGTAGTTCTACCATTATTGCTTCACACTCATGCAATCAACATTGAATTGGGGAAGGGGGGGGGGGGGAAGCTATTTTTCAAAGAAAAGAGAAAACATAAAATTTTCTTGAAAAGTCTTCACTATTTCTGTCCGGGATTGTAGCTTGCGTCCCAGTCCGCAAATCATCCAAAACGAAAGAACATCGACCCTCAATGGCTCTTATGAGAAAATAGTGTACTCTCCACCGTAAAATCACATCTTTAGGCAATAGAAATGTATTTAGAAATCACAGTGACTCGACGACCAAACAATTAGAGTTTGAAGAGAGTCAAAGAGAGATCAAGACCTCAATTAAAACCCAGAGACAGGCCAAAGTTTTAGAGACAAATGGCTCTGCCTTAAAAGTCTTTGCCATTAACAAGATCGTTTAGTTTATTGCAAACTATAATCTTCTGTTCAAAAATCATTTGCCGTTCATCCAAATACCAAAACTGAAAACTATTTTTGCTTACATAAAATTATAAACAACACAGATAAAAGGTAGAAATATGGATTTGTCAGGGGTCGTGAGTTCGAGCCTCGCTCGGGTTGGTTATTTTCCCGCACTCTCTATTAATGATTTACTTTTTATTTAGCGATGATTTCGATTGAAAAATAAGTAGAGATGTTTCACTAGCTTCGTGGTAAAAAATGCCATAGACGAAGTATTCCAAATGATTGTACATCGTTCTGAATTGGGTCAGAATCATCTGAAACGAAGGCATCAAAAACACCTGTTTGAAGCTTTTTTTCCACAAAGACATAAGCCTAATCAAAACCCTCAATAATATTTTGATTTGAGATTACCAGAGATTTCAACATCAGCCATTTTCAGTCAAAGTTATTCTCTAGCTTTCATTGTTTCGTAATATCTGAGAGATATGGCGGCATTTTAATGGCAGACGAATTCTTTGGGAACAGAAGCTAACGGACTGCATTGTCATGTCGAGACTGATTAAATGCAGTTTATTTTATAAATTGTTTTATTAAGTTGATCATTATGATCAAATTCAGAATTATAACAGAGTAGGGTTATTGGAAAAATTTTCTTTAAGCGAGGTTTATGATGACGGGCTGTCGACCAATTAGTTATACTGAAACCATACAATCTTTGTAAGCAATATGTCAATAGAAATCACAGTGGAAAACAAAGTACGCAGGGATTTGAGCACCTGAGCCCCGCAGAAGTGTAAAAATAACCCCGAAATCTCACCAGAATGACCCAGTGCATAAAACGCCTAGCACGAGATCCTGGCTTTAATTCCAAAGAGAGCGCGTGGCTTAATTTGAGGTCAATCCCTCAATTGTTGGATACAAAGCAGTGTAAACTAGCCTGATGATGACCCGGCCTATGTTTTGCCGTGTATGTTTGATTAAATCTTTGCATATGTATTGCCGCTGGTGTTTTAGATATTCAAATCAAAGAATAAATAACAGGAGTTCAAGAGGGTAAACTATTTTGCTTGATGGCACGCCTCAATTAGGATCTCGGCAAATTTTAATTAGTGTTATATGCAGCCTGCATTTGACTGTGCCTAGTACCTTAGTTACTGAACTTTAGTCATTTTTTCGTTAGGCCCACAGAGTCATTCCAATCAGGCCGTCAAACGGGGCGTTTCGCATCAAACGACTGTCGGAAGAGAACCCTCATTAGAACAAAAAGATATGCTTTTTGCACCTAAACTTGCTATAAAACGCGCTAAACAAAACAGTTTCAAAAAACCACTTTATAGTTTCCAGGGGAAGTCTACAAATAGACTCTACCGATTGACAAGCAAATTTTATTTAGGGCGCGAAACCCCTGCCCTTATAGATGCTTGGGTTGAGTAGGGTTGAGTGAAATTGGAGGTCTACCATTTTTATTTGGGTAGCTGCTATATAAAGGACCAACTAGCTAGGATTGCGCGACTGCAAAAAATATAAGGGGAAACTTTCCTATTTACATTTACTTTCCATATTTCTTTCGGACGGACGAAACGTGTGAGGTCTGAAAACTGCCCTCAGCCATTCAATAGAAGCAAAGCGAGGTTTAGGTGTGAAACTAGACTTCATCACGACGTTTACTGTCAGGCAACATCTGGGCTCCACTCTGATATGGAGAATCTGACACCTGTATCGACGACAAACGGGCAAAAGTTCAAGTGCCCCCAAAGCTACAGGGTCATTGCGTGATTGGAACTACAGTTCGCACGACGATCCGTGTCGATCATACAGAAAAATCGCAGTGCTGGTGGCAAAACCAAATATGCCTTGGTATCAAGCACAGGATTAAAAAGAATATGTGCTAACCTCACGACAGGCAAGGGTTCAATGGCCAATGGTTCAATGGTCTAAACTGACAGACTAGTTGGTTGATGCCACACGACCTCTCCTCTTAGCTCGGCTAAACACCGATATAAATTATAGACCAGTTTGTGATGACCAGTTTGGAAATTGCCTTACAGTTTGTTACCGAGGAGCAAACAGCTCCGTGAAAATCTAAATCTGTTTAAATTTTACATCGATACCCTTCTTTATCATATACGTATGAAATCAAATTAATATAAAGACCGTGGTATGCCTGAACTCTTCAAACTTCCTTAAAATCACCCCCCAAATGCACTACAAGTTAAATTATTTTTATCATTGCAAATTCATAAAAACTCTGTGATAACGCACAATTTCTTAAACTGCAGAAAACATATTGTCTGCTGTTATTCGCTAAAATTTTTCGCCTGGTATCTAATTTGAGAGAGAGTGTAGTGTTCTTTCATATATTTAAGTTTTCATTTTTCGTGATGCCACGGAGTAGTCATAGTGTGGCATAGTCCTCGTAGTGTCGTTAAGTATTTTGTGGTAGTGTACAGTGCCGTCGGGACGAAATGCATATCGGGAAGGGGGGTGGGCGGGGCTGCCATTGTTTTCCTTCTCATTCAGTACACTGTTATAAAGGAAACATATTACAGATTGACAACTATAAAGGGGGCTTCAGCCCCCAGCCCCCCGGTTCCGACGGGCCTGGTGTAACTAGTAAATTTGTATTATAAATTTTTATTGGAATGTAAAAAAAATCAAAAATTCCAATACATCGCTGCTAGTGCTGCATGCAAAGTACGATTGAAAACAGAAAGTGATGGCTATCTTTGGGCGTGGTCCAACCTTTACTGGACAGCAGAATTATGCACTATTGAACTAGAGACGTTCGTCCAGGGCATTCTACACTCATTTTCTTATAATAAACTCGCTATAAGGAACGCGTTCAGAGGAATCTGATAAATAAAGAAACTTAAAATGTTGAGAAAAAGTTAAGAAGAGAATTAATTAAATTGAGAAAAGGCAACAACTGAGAAATTTCGTAAAAATCCATCAATCTGACTGGCTGGTTGGCTTAATAAAAACTTAGACAGAGAATGGAGGTACAACTTTTTTATCTATGTAAAGCATCAAAACGGAGGCGAATCCCTTATCTAAGTAAGTCATGAGCATTTGAACAAAATAGAAGCATTGACAATACCCTCTCAGATTTCGAAATTTCATATTTTGAAAATTTAGATGTACATATGCACCCAATGTTAAAGTTCATGACTTTTTAGTCGAGAAAGTATTAAGAAACAAAAAGTATTGGAATTTCCAAAAGCTTTCAGGAGTACTCAACGGCAGTGACGCATTTACCTATGCCAGGGGCCCACTGGGCCAGGGGCCCTCTAAAATTCTTCGATTTAGAGGGTTCCGTGCAAAATTTTAAAAGCCTTTTAAGTGCTCTTGATTTCAATCTTGTCTTTGAATGGAGCTAGGGGGCCTCGTAAAGTAATGAATTTCATTTTAAGAATAGAAAAAAGGGCGTGGTCGCAAGAATTTTTAATATCACATTAGCGCGTTGTTTCCTTATGTTTAACGGCAGCAGATATTGATGTCCTGGAAGTTTTCAGCAGTTGGGTAGTTTTATTGTGAATGTACTGAAATGCGAAATGAATACGTGTCTTATAACTAGTTGATTATGTTTGATTATGTTTAGCCAAGTACTGTGCCCGCGACACAAATTTTTTTGTATATTTTAAGGGGCCCCAATCAACTTTGGGCCCAGGGCCCCAACAGACGTAAATGCGGCCCTGCTCAAAAGCGACTTTGCTTCTTGTAAAAAATCAGTGTATACCCTTGTCGTCTGAAGGAACTCAACACAAAGGCTATTTATATATCCGTTTTAAGACTACATGTAATAAATCATATTACAAAGATACATATTTGTCTGTGAAGTAAGATGCAATTGTCGAAAATAGCTTTACACGTCTTTATCACTAAACTCCGATATCTTTACGGACAGGAGCTGTTTGAAAAACGGAGTCCGTGGAAATGGTATGTTTGTTTAACAGACCAGTCATCAAGATGGAATGACAGTATGGGTGTTCTGCTGTACTATGACTGTCGTCAGCTTTCTAACCAGGAAAAGATAACCCGCATTTTGTCACAGTTCATCACTGGTAAAAAAATTGGGACCGAAGAGGGGCCACGCCCTTTTTTCAGCACGAAGTAAACAAATAAAAATACATATTTAACATTGTGGAAAATATGGAGTTATGGTCTTTTTGGTTCTCAATTGGTAGAGATATGTTCTCTGGTAGATTTATGTTATGTTCCGGTTTGGCTCTCTGGAAATCCGAAGGCCTTATCTGTTGCGTCACTTTTCCCGAATAGCATCCTATACCTAAACCTTCCCGCATAAATTTCTTTCCGTTTGTACACTTTTTAAATATTGCCAAGGTTAATGATATATAAGAAAATGGTCTATCTATCTGCAAACATACCAAAATTCAACTGATGTTTATGCGGATGTTACGGATGTTTATGCGATTCAGTTCAATTGAGTTTTAAAACTTTGAGTGACGAGTGCTATAAATTCCTTTAGATTTCAGCAAACTAAAGCGGATTTCAAAGGTTAATTGAATATAATCAGATTTCAGCTAAATCACGCCTTTTTCTGGCAGAGATAGATTTAAAGGGGCAACGCCCTTTCTAAGGTCAACCGCGATCCTTGTGATTGTAATATCTAGCACTTGAGAAAACCTTGCAAGTGGTTACTTTATATTCTTTATCGGGCGAAAACCCCTTTATTGCATATGTTTATTTAGTTAGGAGTTTTATTCTTACCAGCCACCAAAGCGTCTGAGAAAGACAATGCTTACATGTAAACATTCAAAAACATGACGGAATCATATTTTTTCTCAACCTTCTATTAACGGACCACAACATTAATCAACTGTTTTCTCAATGGGAGGCTGGTGCGAGTGACGTCAATTTCGCCACTGATCGAATGGGAAAAAGAATGGTTTGTATTTTGTGACGCTGAACGATTGTTTGCAAGAATCAACGGGAAGTTATTGTGTTCGCGTGCGACCCTCATCTGTCCCCTTTTAATGATTGCGGGACCTTTACAAAACCAACAACAAGACGGATTAAGAATAATTTCATTTTCTTGTAAAAAAAGTCGATAAATAAACTTAAAAGATAATAGAATCGAACCAGGTCCAAAAGTATGCGTCAATAAAACTCTGAATTTACCACATTAAACAAAAAGAAAGCTTTTAAGTCTATCGCGAAGGAGGAACTGCATCTGGTAGAAAACATTTTTACGTTAAACGAAAACGCTACATTTTTGTATGATTTTTGAAGGTCAAACTAATCACACGTGATTATATCTTTGGCACTGGTATGATCATAAAACGGAACTTGCGAGTGCGATAAAAATCGTCCTGTTTTCCAGGGATAGGCCTACCCTTTATAAAGAGATACGATTATCGTCGAGATTCTGTAGAACACCATTAGATAGAAGTCAAAGTTGCAGTGTAACTTCGCGAAGCTAGACATGTTAATGATGAAGTCCCAGATGCCGGGGGCGATATATTAGCCTTCACTGATTTACGTGTGTTTGTTGTTGTTTATTCTTTTCGCATTGCCGTGTTTCTTATTTGCTACAAAGATATGTTAACCCCACTTTGCTAATTCTAATGACAGCGTGACTAAAACCAGAAAGGACTCTTCTCTATTATGAAGCAAATTCAACCCATCAAGAGAGCCAAACAAATTCACCGGCTGCGAGGCATTTTACAATTTATCGTCATTTTTAAAATTTTGATTCATTCTTCCTTCTCACTGAACTGCAATAGGGTATGCTTTCAGGCATCGTGAAAGCGAAAGGGAAAATACTCGCGGCAAAAGATCTTGAGGACATGCACCCAGCATACTACGTCGAACAATCGAGTGTTGCTAAAAGATATATCAAATTTTGACAATGAGCTACAAGACCTCATAATAACATATACATATACACTCTTTTTTCAAAAGAACCAGTAAATCTAAGTTCAGGCTGACTGTTCTTAATTTTTTCGAAAACCTGAGGCTGGATTGTTTTTAATTTGTTCTTAAATTAAGAGGGCGTAAGCAGTGCTATTGCTAGCGTTTTCGCTCTAAAGAGGTGTTCAGGTCTCATTTGCCAACAAAGTGAGTGAGACAGCCTTAATTTGCTGACAAATTTGACTATTCACCGAAAAAGCACCTACACATCGCTAAAAATCCTCGATTTTGAGAAAACACGTTGTTTAAATTGCATTTTGCAGAAGCTCAGCCTCAGCTTGTTCTTAATTTGTTCTTAACTTTTGACCAGTTTTGACGCTCGTGTTCTTATAAAATTGTTCTTATAAAAAAAGTGTAGAGGTTTTTCTGGATACGCCCCTGAGAGACATGAACATAATTTCGATTTCCTTTGTGGAAAGGCAAAGACTTTTTCCAATATGTAACTACAAAAACCCAGCAGTAGAAACCTCAGAACTGATGTCATGCTTAGTTCCTGAAACAAATGTAGCGTAACTTAAAACTCCGCAAACGCTAAGGATTAACATGTTTCTATTTGCGGCGATCGCAAACGCGTTTTGGGAGCAAAATCATTGGCAAGTTATATCCCCTTTATGGCAAAATTACAGTCTATTTTTTCGGGAACTGTTCGGATATCATTTTTGTTAAAATCTCGGGCAAGACAGTGCCATATTTTGATAGCATAGCAAAAGTTGCGCAGATATATTCTGTAATTTGAATAACTGAGAATGGATTTAATATATCACCAAGATATCACACGCAATGCTCTCGAGGAAGATTTTTATTAGCATGCCCTTCAGTGAACAACCCAATTGCAATTCCCAAGATCCTAAAGTTCGGTATTAATTAGACAAGGGGTTTCAGTATCTTGTCGGCAAATTTTATCAAAAATGATACACTAACCAACAACATTTCAATTTTAGGACGTTTCAATATCAAAATATTTGTAATTGTACTGAAAATCGCCATAATCAATTGGTGTCAATGCCAGCCTGCTGTGAATTTTTTTTAATTAGAAGCATGTACATAGAGAAAATTAATGAGATAAAGATTATAGATATACCTTAGTATCAATCTGTAACATTCTTCAATTTCTATCCACCAGATAGATACAGCAAAATCAACTTCCAAACAGACAGCTCTCATAGAAACGAAATCTTTCAAAAACAAGCCAGGCAATGTGTCTTTATCGTTGCAAAACATACAGGATTGCAATCGTAAAGAGGAAATGTAACTGTGCCACAGTTATAACAAGGTGCAAAACCAATTACAATCAATTAGAATTTATTGTTGGATATTTCAGCAACGTCCGATCTCTGTTAAGCGTCTCTCCACAACAGATAACAGAAAAACCAACGAGCCAGCTCAAATCCGATGCATCTAGGTCGTTAACCGGCGTTCAAAGCAGCTTCAAACTGAACCGAACTCTTTCACACATGTAAGCCCTTTGAACGCTTCAATATTCTCCTTCACAAGGACACTTGCTGAGCAGATCGTGCTGTCTGCCTAAATACGCCCCGTCGTGTTCCTTTCAACGTACGACTTTTCAACGAACTCAAGCTGGCAATAATTCCCTCGATTGTGCGAGTGGCGTCATCCTACTAATGTCTGCTAAAATGCAGAACTACGGAAAAACTTCCTTTGAAATAGTTGAGATAGGGATAACATTTACTGATTATTATCATACCCAACTCATATGGACGCTAAACATTCAACCATGATTTTCATGGAGCTGAATTTAAAGGGCGCGTAGCTCGAAAGCTCCTCTGAGTTATTTCTACGTGTCCTTCAGTATTTAATTTTTCCTTGCTGACAATTTCATGTAAAATATGCTTTTTAAATCTTCTAATCGTTTATGTTAGCACTATCGTATCCCTTGTAATTATTCAAAATATACTGATAATGAAATGTTGAAGTTGAAGTTGTTGAAGTAGTGTGCCGTGCCAGTGTGCCTTGAGCCTCATGCACAACGTGGAGGAAGGGCCTCCGACGGACATTGCCCCCCACTTTTTGCAAAACAATAGAGTGTTTTTTGAATAGATTTTGTTATGGGTGTAAAATTGTCCCTTGCCCCCTACTTTCCAACCTGTGGGAGGTCTTGTTTAAAAATGATTGAAATAAAGGCTACCTGAATGGGGGTAGGGTGGGGTGGGGGGGGGGGCACTGAATTCTCTTTTTAAATTCCACCGGTGGAGATGGGTAGGCGAACACGAGCTAGGACCACATCCTGAAGCCAATCCTCGAGCACATCCTACCATTTGGAAATTGCTTCAAATTTTTCCCAAAAACTTTCACAAAATACAACAAATCAATATTTGTAAAAATCTATTGAATAAGAAAAAGTAACTGGAAGATTATATTCGGATGCAGTATCGTTTGTCCTTTGCAGTTTTATACAATTCATAAAGTAAATTTTTTTCAATCATTCACTCTTACTTGTCTTCTGACAAACATCTTTATGAACCTTAATTTACCTGTTCCTAGTTTCATTAAAAAAAAAACCCAAAGAAAAAGGTTAACAATTTGCTAATGCATTTTGTGAACTCGGAATTGGGCACCAGTTAAGGACATCTCAGTACTGTTCTGGGTTGAGAGACGGTCCCCTTTGAAGAATGTTGGGCAAAAATTGCCATGTTTACTCTAAAGGCAAATCGGTCCGCATAATACACTATGAGACTTCCAATTGTACTAAAGTCATTTGAGTAACGGGTTTCTGCTGGGCAGATGCTGTGACTGGAGAAAGACAGACTGCGTTGTGTATGCTGGCTGGCAGTTGGATCCCGTCAAATTACCACAAACCATAAACTTATGGATATTAATTAAGGAAGGAAAGATTTCCTCTTCTCATTCATTTGCTTATGTAAACAGACAAAGGCTCGCAGCGTTTCCCGTACAAAACTTTGACATGAAAAGAAACTGCAATTTTACCTGTTGCAAAGAGACCCTACGGAATCACGAGGAACAACCCGTTTTTATAGAAGAAAAATGTCTATAAGAATTTTGAGGCTCAAAATCGCTGAATTTTAAAAATAATTTAAGAATGATGCAAGGCTCAAGCTTTATTAAGAGTAATATTTTGTTTATTTGAGTTTTGTTTAGAGGCAAATCAAATGCGAGTTTTACGCTATATGATTCGATTTTCAAAATACACATAATTTGCATTGGAAACACTATAATGCGACTCAGTTGCAACTTGCATCGCTTAAGAATAATCTAAAGGCTCAAAGTTATAAAAATTTAAGAACATTAAGGCTCGGCAAAAAATTGGGTATTCTTATATAAAGTTTTGCATTTTGCTGCAGCAGAATTGAAACGCTTAAGGATTACTTCTTAAACTTGTGAAACCCATTCTTTGTCCTTTAAAATGGTATCCAGATTTGTCAAATTTATTCGACGACTACAATTTCAAAACAGGGATTCATTAACACAGAAAATGAATGTCTCCCGAGAGCAGCGAAACCGAATAAAATCCACAGCAAAGCTAGCTCGACATCCTGACGCCTGGATTTAAAATCAGCTGTTCTGGCCGAGCGCAGCTTCACAATGCGCAGTTTTTGGTTATTCAATTTCGGTTATTCAATCCAATATTTCATTTGAGCAAATTTAGGGATAACGGGTACACTTTTTCTCCTGTCTCGCCTTATTCTCGAAATTCGTACGCGTCGGACGTCGACATATCAAACAGCAGCCTCGCTTTGGAAATCTGAGATAATCATCAAAATTAATGCTGATTATGCAAAGATAAAATGTATATAACTTTGACCGTGAACAATTCAATTGTTTTATAATCAAAATTAATTTTAATAATTGAATACTGATACGCATTCAAACGTGAGATTGACAAGCAATTTTTCGAAAATGTTTTGAACTTTTGCGTTCTTATGCTAGAACGGAATGATTGGGATCTTGGCTCTGTTCGCTCATGTAAAGAGCTTTTCGCGTTAAGATAAAAACGCGTATTCAATTTCTGTGTGCTTGCCTTTGCATTGCATAAAAAATTAAAGGAGTTTACAAAGGGAAGGCATAGATCAAGAGACAACAAACAAAGTTGCTCAATGCTGATGACCAGGAAATAAACCTTTTATCAGGTCTTGAAATAGTCGCCTTGCAATTAGGAAATGTCAATACCTTTAATTTGTTTGTGGCAATCGGAAGAAGCCATTTCCTTGATAAAAAAGGCATCGAAAAAGATGCGAATTGGCATCATGATGTTGACACATTGATAGCAGGCAAGGCTCCTTCGACTGTCCCTGTTTTTGGTTGAAGTTTCTGCTTTTCGAATGAGGTGAGTTTGACCCCGTTTATTCAGGGAGGTTCTTAGCACATGTCACTGACAGGTAAAACGCTTGACACATGGTTCCCGGAAGACCCTGTTCAGTTTCTGGGCAGCAAACGCTTAATAACTCTAACAGTAAAAGATAAGACTTATCTTGATAAATTTCGGACACAAAAAACCTGTGTTACCAAATTGAAACCTCGGATACAAAGATGCTTAGATTCTGAAATGAAACGTTTTAAATAATGACATGAAATTAAAATCTTGGATACACAGGACCTATGCTCAGAACTATGATACTGAAAAAGGTTGAGCCATTCATAGCATTTGAAGGAAGTCCTCTCTAACATGGTGTTTCCCTCTTCTACCCTTTCGATCAGCGAGGGCTGCCGGAGGTTCGTCTGACGTGTCTTCCTCGTCCGAGATCCTTGCAGATAACCGAGACCTTGGTGCTGATTGAAGGCCTCGGTATCGGCTACAATAGACGGGAAATTGGGCGTGCTTGGGCGTGGCACCTACGTCACAGTGACGTCAGAAGGGGCAAAAGCGCCACATGTTACCAGGTATGTGCCAGACGAGTGGTAAAAATGAAAAATTTGGGACCAAGTGGTAAGTGGTCGCTATATGGTGTAGTTGTGATTTTCGAAGGGGCTTGGCGGTACCAGTTACGGTTGCGCTGCTGTGTGCAAAAAACAAACAAAAAAGGGATAAAAATTGGGTACACCAGATAAATTTCTTTGACCCAGTGCTCGTCCTGGTCAGAACACAGAGACAGAATCAATCTTGTACAAAACGATTAAACTTCGGTCGCAGATACGAATACTTGGAGATCAGACATCATTTTTTTCGTTTTTTGTTATGGATTAATAATACAGGACGCAAAAAATAATAATCTGGTACTAGAATGTGATGGCAGCAACCAAAATATTTGATGTTAAATGAAAATTTCGAAATAAGATCTCAAGCAAATATTGTTCTGGTCGTTTTAATGAGAAGGCTTACCTTCTTCCTCCCGTGTTAAGAAAAGGCGACTCATGCAAAGAAAAGAAAAGCTAAAGGGAAAACTATAATTTACTCAAGTAGACGGAAGCTGTTGTGCTACTGTTATATACAGGGAAACTATTCAAGGCATGCGTGACTGGGGAGAGAATTCGTTAGATAGCAACACGAGGCTGTGTCTGCAGCGGAAAGATCTGCAGGTCGAAGCGATTTGTTTTTTAAATTTCGACAGAGGCAGCGTCGCCATAGTTGAGTGACAGGAACTGAAAAGTTTATAAGCATCCACCTTTTAATTAGATAATTGATTAAACAAATCATAAGATGAAGATTTGTACAAATATCTTTGGCAAGCATCTAATTATAGAGATGGGAACATTATTTTGTAACTTTCAATTATTACGATTCGTGTTTTTAAAATTTTTTACTAACAGTTTGTCTACATTCAATCTCCTAGATTTTGAGCGCTTTTTGCAGTTACACTTTCTTTTATCTAGACTAGAAGAAAAAATCGTAATTTTAAAAATTTACTCTCAAAATACAAAACCAGAGCGGATTTTATCAACAGTTCAACTGATCCACTGGAAAAGTAATCGAAAAGTGTTTTTCAGTGGTTTCTGAAACAAATTATTGAACGCAGTTGTTGAAAAAAGGAACAGCATTAAGTACAGCCGAGCCTCAAGTGTAAAGTTGAGGGGTTGAAAATTCACCTAATATTCTGATAAGGTAATATGACAAATTTTCAAATACAGCACATTGAAAAGA